ATAGATCTTGGCCCTAAGCTTCCCCGCATTTTGATCTTCCCTCGGCCCGGGTGGGGAGATATCTGTCGCCTGTGAATCTGTGAATGTGGGGTACGTGATTAGTTTGACCGTTGATACCTAAAGTATTTTTTCCATGCACAGACATCCTTACTTTTTACCCCACAAGTTGAGTTGAAATGGATCATGCCGTACGCGTAACTCTATATCTACCCATATCAATGGTTTTCTTTTATTTTATTGTGTTTTTATATCTCTTTTGTCATTTCTTTTTATCCTTTCCCTATGTATACTTCTACTGCCTAGGCGTTCGTTAGTTTAGTTTGGGGACCAATGATGATGAAACGTGTGGATAAATAATTACCCGTAACTTCGGTTTTCTTTCTCATGAACATGTGCTTAACGGTGTGCGGTGTAGAATATGCAATTATGAATCTCAAATATCAGAAACAGGGGCAAGCCACGTGAAATAGAGTATGCGCATTATCATCCGTAATGTTTTTGTCTTTATTATAATGAATACCTAGAGAAAGTACTAATAGAGCGGGGAAATGTAGATTAGTCATAAAACAGCATGATCTTGCAGTATGTAGCTCAATTGATCGTGAACGCAGATCAGGGCAGAGCAGGCAGAAATGGGGGTGGAAGCTGCATAACGTCTCTGTCGAAGACGTTTCTTGGGGACGCATGGATACCTAGGCAGAGAGATAGGGAGTGGCAATCGCAAATCGATTGATTAGGTTAGCATTAACTAAACTGAAAAACTTCAAGGATCGAGTGTGCCATCGAAGTTTAAAGGATTGAAGTCATGACTACAACTGGCCTCTTCCTGAAAATCCATTCAAAGGCTACTCGTTAAGACATAGTGGGGCCTGACACTGCAAAACCTAACCTATGGAATCAAGTTTAGATTAGATTGCCTAGCTATAGGTGTTTATAGCTTACATGAGAATCAATGAATGGAAAACCAGTTGGAATACCATTGACAATGAACCCATTAAACCAAGGATAGAGACGTATATGTACTCTAGATAAGTTCTGCATGAGCATCCTAGCTGCCAAATATGTAATTACGGTTGGCCAGGAGTAGTCTTGGCTATAATTACTTTATAACGTTGGTTTGATTCTGAAATTGAATCCAAACCAATTATGGTGCAAACTACCGTACAAAGAAGGGAGAAGGAGGATACAGATAGAATCCCCAGATTCTAAAAAGTTCGGAGAGAGCCGATGTCCTGCACTCGGGGAGAGCGAGATTAGAAATCCGCTTAAGCAAGCCACACGGCAGTTAAGTGCGCTTGACTTTTGCAAACACCCAAACTTATTTACACTTGTACCTTTGTAGATACCAGTCCAGACCCAATCTTTCCTTCTATCCATTTAGGAAGAAGTGAGCCACTGAAACGAAACTACTGTACCCTATATGTACTTGGCTGCCCCTAGCAACGCAGACTAGACTTACTAATCCAATCCTAGATTAAACAGATAGGCGAGACGAGTCTCCTCCTCGGTAAAAACCTAAATTTGTTTCATGAGTCCTCAGGGTTTTATGAAAGAAAAGACAGAAAAATAGCACCTATATACGAAACAGGAGAAAGCATATAGGTACACGTTAAGAATTAATTACATCGACAATAACGTTCGTGTAGAACGTTCCGCATCTTGTCTCGGCTGGGTGGCGTGAAATTAAGCATGGAATTGAGCCCCCAACCCACCAGTTCTTCAATCTGAACTCCGATCCAGGTGCAATCTTGGGTCCAGGTAAAAAATAATACAAAATCCTGATCACCAGCATGAGAATCCTTGGTTTCTTGCCTTGAGGAATTAATATTCTACTGAATTTAACCTATGCGTGTGCATGTGAGCAGCTGGCTAAGAAGGAATCCTTGTAGATCCGCCCTGGCGGTTCCATTATTTTAGACCAGCTATTCATACTACAGCCGCTTACTCTACATACATCTCTGCTGCATTTCCTTCGCCGCAAACAAGGTTTCTCCACTTTGGATTAAAAGCAGTCATCAAGGTTAGGCAGGAGATTAGGTGGAATAAGGTACCCCCTGTAGCCTGTATATCATAGGTTAGTTTAGTAGGGAATGGTAGAACTACTAATCGTTTGTTTTCTGGGGAATCGACCTTGCGGCGGAAAATAAACCCCACACCACACTATTTGACAATCAATCCCTGAGGCGCATACATTAGTTTCTACTCTATTCTAACTTGACACGTACATAGCGATATGTGCTTCAGGTGTTCCAACGGTGTATTTTGGATAGTTGAATGAGCAGCTAGTTATCTAGAGCACATAGAGCGCTCTACAGGGCTTTGGGAACAAGGGTTTTTTGTTTTGGCCATTTTGCCACAGAGCAAAGCATTTGGAGTTCATGCCTTATCGCATACGGTCGAGATGATAATATCCTTCCCCCCTTAAGGAAGGGTTACGTGTCGGGAGGTCGGTCATGGTAGAGGAGTATCTACAGTACCAGTAGAGTAGAGTACTGGAGGTAGTTAGATTGAGGAATGTACCCTACTTATCATTTTCATGTAGGCACTCTACTCTGGGGTAAACTCCATTCGGAACTTTCCAGGTACGCAAAAATGCTTGTTGGTAGTCTCAGCTTCAGTCTCAGTCCAGGTCAGTCTCAGTCTCGTGCTCCTCTCCCTCTCCTGGTATGTGCAGAGGTTTAAAGGGCCAGAAGGAGTGAATATGTCGTAGTAATTAGGTAAGTAGGGGACCTAAGACACGACAGTCGGTGCTGAAAACCCAAAATAGCACCTTAAGATGGGAGTGAAGAGATTTCAGATCGCCTACTCTTCCATGAATGGATGAAAAGGTGGTTGGGTGTGTGTTGTGTGCTGTGTCAGTTCCAGTTCTGCTGTTGTTGCCAGAGTAGTATTGATCCCCTTTCGAAGAACGGGTTGTTAATAATGGTAGGTTAGCTAGGGGTGGCACAACTGCTGCAGCGAAGGTTAATTTACTACCACCAGTCGTGGTTGTCGGTCTTGTTACAAGTTGGGAACCCGTTTCAGGACCGTAGCCCGAGCAGGCCTGGATTGTAACTTGTCGGCCACCGCGGTGAAGGTCCAACCTAGAATGCGCTTGTACCTGTCAACTTTGCGAGCGCCGGCTGGCTAACCATATGTAAAACCAATCGACAGTCGACAACCAATTCGCAATCCGCACTTGCCCCCCCAGACGCCACACACGGCACTGCTCACATGTGGTACCGACTGCTGCTAGATAGGAGGGAGGACTTGAAAGACGCGCTCTCCGCCATCAGGCCAGCCACCTGCTACAAACCATCCGTCCGTCCGCACCTTGAAGTCACGTTTGCAGAGGTCCTGGCTCTGGAGCGTCATTTATTTTCATTCGACCTGTGTATGTAGATAGTAGATTATTGTAAATGCCCTAAGCTGACGAATGAGATCGTCGTTTAGAGAATCTGGTTTAGATACCGTTTCTTCTGTTTTCTTCGAAGCTGCTACATATCGAATGGGGGTTGCATTGCATTCCGCTTCAGGAAGTTTTCCCCGTTAATCTCTGATCCCTGGATGTATGGGGTGGGGATCCTGGTGCTTGCAGTTGTAGTTGCAGTTGATTCTGGGCAGTGGGACTCGTCGTCGTCAAGAGTAAGCTTATGTGCTTGGGAGATCTACTCCTAGTCAACTCCCACTTCCCTCCTCCCACCCCCCCGCGTTATCGAATCTTGCACTACTGCACGCACAATTCTCGGGTAGAGTGCGATACCAGATAGGTTATTTTACTTGCATGTTTTTCTATTTCCAAGCGAAGCATCTAATATCAGAAGCGGCCTAGTTGAGGAGAAGGTTAACAACACCCCTGGTCGCTCCTTAGCATTCATCTTTAACATCGAGAGGAAGAAAGAAAGCAATTATATTTATCCATTGCACTGGAACTCTTGGTCAGTAACTAGATACCTGGATGGGAAGGTTTGCGCCGGATAAAGACCCTTTCTGGTGGACGGGAAGTCATGATACACACAACACAGCAGCCATCTCACAAACAAAAGGAAAGAAAAAAAGAATTGAGACACAGATGCTGAAGCAAGCTTTATCGTGGCGGAAGGCTGCTTACAGTACATGATCGGTAAGTTAATATAGTGTGTATGAGTTAGATACATACGTGATCTCTACTCTACAACGCTTCAATATGCATGGACCAAATTGCACACATTCCTCACGTACCGGTGGAAGTAATTATACTTCATTAACTTGGGTTTCCAAGTTTTCTCATGACTCCCTCGTGGTTTCCTGTAGGACATGCATACCTGACATTGGCCTTGGTACAAATCATCTATCTAGACAACGGAATGAAGGTCTAGGCAGAAAGGTACAGGAAAAGAAAAGAACGCAGGGAAAGGAAGAGCGAGAAAATGAAGGTGTCTCTGTGCCTTTCTTTTTTGGCCGCGGGATAGGGGCCATGCGTTGGTTGGCTTGCCTTGCAGTGAAGTGCTTGGAGGGAATTAAATTTATGTAGGTATTCACATCTCGAGTATTAATGCCTTACGCATGGGGGGAAAACAATTGAGAGATTCAACCACCTACTCAACTAAGCCGCCGATGGAAAGTTCCCACACTTGATCTGCGTCTCGGTCCTTTCCCCGTATCTTCCGTACGTCTTGGTATAAAGTAGGCGTACTATGTAATATGTAGCTCAATAAGGCCGAGTTATTTGACAACCTTCTAGCTTAATTGCTTGTCCCTGTCGACCGAGCTCGTCACACCCTCCATCACACGCCTTTACCCAAGACCTTATTTTTCCTTTTTCTTTCCCTAGGGTTGGGAAGGGGGTGATGCCAAGTACGTGTTTCGCACCCGTTGGGTGGGCTGCAGTTATGATGCGGGTTGAGGCCTTCGAAATGTTATGCCTCCATATATATAAGCACCCAATTCCCCCAACTTGTATTCACTCAAACAGCAGTTCCCGGATACCTGGATCGACCGTTTCCATCAGTTGTTTCGTGCAGGCTGCTCTCTATCCTACAATGTCAACCAACGCATTCGAAACCTCAACGCCTGAATTGCCTGAGAAGACTATGAAGGCTCAACATGCCGATGGAGCTACAACTCCATCAACTATGGAGGCAGCGGAAGGCCCATTTTTTGATGCTGCTAGAACCAAAAAGCTGCTCAGGAAGATGGATTGGCATCTTGTTCCTTTCCTGGCACTTTTATATCTGTGAATATCTCCATATTAATATGCCATGGTATAGTAGTATCTAATATTATTTGCTGCTCAGACTTTCTTTCCTTGATCGTACCAATGTCGGAAATGCACGTCTCGCTGGTCTTGAGAAGGACTTGGGAATGAGCGGGCTCGACTACAATGTAAGAATTAAAACGAGATTCAAACATCATGTATTCTCCAATGCTGACAATTCCAGGTTGCACTTGCTGTTTTCTTCCCTTGGTACGTGCTTGCTGAAGTGCCATCCAACATCATGATGAAGAAGACCCGGCCATCTCTTTGGCTCACCATCATTATGTTGGCGTGGGGTGTTGTCATGACTCTCATGGGTGTTGTCACTTCTTATGGCGGTCTTCTTGCTGCTCGTATGGCTCTCGGTGTTGCTGAGGGTGGTCTCTTCCCCGGTGTGACATTCTACATCACTATGTGGTACCAGCGCCATGAGTGTGGTCTTCGTATGGCCATTTTCTTCTCAGCCGCTACTCTCGCCGGAGCTTTTGGAGGACTTCTTGCCAGAGGTATTTCAGAGATGAAGGGGATTGCAGGAAAGCCTGGTTGGGCGTGGATTTTCATCTTGGAGGGATTGGTAACAGTAATTGTTGCATTTGTCGCTTACTGGGCTATTAACGATTACCCTGAGACGTGAGTAATTTCTTTGCGTCCGAACATTAAAGCCTAGCACTCAGAAAGCTGACTGGATGAAAACTATAGTGCCAAATTCCTCACCCCCGAGGAAAAGATCGAGGTCACTCGCCGTCTCAAGGCTGATCGCACTTCGCTTGCCGATGAATACGACATCAAATATTTCTTCCACGCTGTCAAGGACTGGAAGATTTACATCCACATGTTGATCACCATTGGAATCTACACCCCCTTGTACTCGTTCTCGCTCTTCCTCCCTACCATCGTCAAGGCAATGGGCTATACCAACGAGCAGTCACAGCTCATGACCGTCCCTCCTTACGTCTTTGCTTGTGCCGCGACCATCACCGGAGGCTACCTCGCTGACAAGAAGGGCCAACGTGGAATCTTCATGATCTTTTTCTGTCTTCTCTCGATCATTGGCTTCACCATGTTGATCTCCACTCACAACCCCCATGTTCAGTACCTTGGTACCTTCTTGGCTGCCGCCGGTATCTACCCCAACGTTCCCATGGGTGTCGCCTGGAACGGAAACAACATTGGCGGTTCTACCAAGCGTGGTGTCGGTATCGCCATGCACGTCGGTTTCGGAAACTTGGGTGGTGCCATTGCGGCATTCGCATATAGGTCTACTGACGCGCCAAGATACTACTCTGGCCATGGGCTACTCATTGGGACCACAACCATGAGCGCTTTTCTCTGCGTATTCATGACCTGGTACCTGAGAAAGGAGAACGCTAGGAGGGATGCTCTTATGAGCGAAAAGGGCTTCACTCTTGAAACCTACACCGATGAGATGAAGGAATCCGAGAGGGAGAACGGTGATTACGCTACTTTCTTCAGGTACACTGTTTAGTTTAGGCGGCACATTTGTTTCGTGCTGATGTTACGATCTTTCATGTCCATTCTCTTTAGTTACGAGGGTTTAGGTTGGGGGCTTAGGTTTACTTTTTTGCTTCTAATGCGCTTTACTTGTGGTTGCTATTGGTAAATAGCAGCTTCTTTTGTTATCTTAATATATGTGGTTGGTGGTAGTGGTATGTGGAGTCGCTTGGAAACCTAGAATGGTTAGATTTCTGGTCCAAATAAATTTCTCTTGCATTATGACCTTCAGATACAGTCAGAAATTGGTTGATTATTAAACGGGATGAAACTCTCACTGCATGGGAACCTTGCCTATAATTTGATAATAATATTGCATGTAATATCGATTGGCAATGATAGTGCTTCTTTAGCTACGTCTGGCAAACGAGTGATTGAGCATGCCTGGGGCTAAGTACATAGGGGGAGCACTAAGTATCAGATCTCCAATAAGTAATTTCGATTTCCTCATCTTAAAATGCCCTTTTAAAGTGCAGTTGTTGGACGGGATCTCATAGGACGAACTCAACCAACTATTTTAGTGGCTTTCAAAAAGAAAAACTTGGCGCCTTATTAAACTCGCATGTAACTAAAGGGGGCACCATATTGGAACGCAAAAAAAGCAAAACAATCTAGATATATCTCCAGTTACCGGAAGATTGACGAAAGCTTGTGCAATTCTGCCACGAGGCCGCGTCAGTTACGTTCGCTCAAGGGCTTTCGTGATCACGGCCTTTCGGCGAACAGGGGGTTTAAGACCAATAACTGGACGGTAGCTTGGGCCCGGTTACGACCATATCTGAAATTTCAGCCCGCCCAAAGACCATACCTAATTACCAAATCCCGTGAATGACTCTAGTTGATTTGAGCAATTGGGCTGGCCTTCCGAATCTCTTCGATTGCTTGAGACTGGCCATATATGCAGGCAACCGTCAGCGACCTAGCTACATAAGTGTGAAATCCCGGTTCATAATACATAGCGACTCGGGCGCATGTACCGTACATAGGTCTCGATCAGCCCCGCGCGTGCGCCGTCGATCTCTTTATGCAAATAAATTTCATCGTAACAGGGCCGCAACCACTTCGCTCTGATGATGAATCTCCTTCTCATAGTCCATGATACGAGGTATGTTCGGATTTAAAGCAGACTGCTGCAGGCTGACGGAGCATAATTTTTCAGAAATGTGATCGGGCGGTTAGCTATCACGTTCTTGATGTTTGGCTATTACAGGCCAATAAGATCGGTTCCAATAGTTCCAATAGAGAGGTTCGGGAGTAGGTGCACGATGCTCAGTATGGTGGCGGTAAAACATGAAAGTTGGGAACACCCGGAGATCTTGTTTCAGCCGTAGGGTGAGTGAAGATTGAACGAGTCAACGAGTGAAAGAAATATCCCCCGATATCATGCTGAGGCGACGGGAGAGTTTCAAGATCGGGCTGTCAGAACGGATAAGCCATTATAAATTATAGAGTAGAGTATCTTTTCAAGAAGTCTAAATAAGGTTTCTTATGCCCAACATCCTTAGATTGAGGCCTGTTACCGTAATGCGTTGCGGTGTAGCATGGGGCTTGGGCACGAGACTGGCGCGTGCCAGATATATTGGAGAGTGTGCGTGCTCCATGCACCCTGACAGCGGGGAGCGAGGAAGCGATGCGGTGCCGAAGAGCCGTGATTATGATGGTGACTTCGGCATAATGGCTAGAAGTGTTAATGATGATCATGATGATGCGGTGACGATTATAGATGGGCGACAGCCTTGCAGACGAGAACAGAAATGATCGTGGGAGTGACAATGGTGGTACTACATGTCACTGTGGTCACGGCGGGCCGCAGCATCGACGTCGAGGACTGTTTCCCTAGAACCAGAACGCCGAGAAATTTAAGAACCTTAAGGTTATTACAGGGGCTGACGAAAAGAAGAAAAGGAAATAGACCCAGCGGTAAGTTAATGAAGGGGTAGATGATAGAAGTCAAAAGGTTAAGGACCAATCGTTGGCCACGAGTGCTATTGCTATAGTTACATGTAGTCAATCCATGGCTTAAGACAAAGGTTAGACAGAGGAGTGATACCTTAGAAGGAGTATCTGTTCAGACGCCATGATAGGCCAAGAGATCTTGGTACTACATGTACTTTGGGGTTTATTAATGCCAAGTATTGTAGTGAACAAGGCTCATGAACAATCACTCGGCGAGTACTTGCATGAGAACATCTTGTTTGTCCCTCTGTTTATTTACGACAGGGTAAGACGTATACACGTGTCAAACACAGAGTATCCAATCAAAACACGTAGCATAAAAACGGCCACCCCTTCTCTTCAAATTGGTAGTCACGCCTGACTTAGCTAAACACCTCCCAGCTTCATCGCCTTCCGACACCAGAAGATTATGCAATTTTTCGCGCTGGCTCTTCCAGTTTAGTGTTAGGTGTTTATTGATGCCGATCTTATAACCTCCTTACAAATCTCCAGAGTAAACAGATATGTTGATATAATCCCGATGGTTGATGTTCAGAAATCCGGCGCGTAGAGTCACCACTCGAGCGGTAGAACAAGGCTAATATGGAGCTCTCGATTATAATAGCTAAGTTAGAGGTCGATATAAGGTTTTCCGGGGTCCATTTATAACTCTCCGGCTCTTCCATCTGTCCGTGCTCGAGAACCGAGGGTACAATTAGGTGGGTGGTTACTAAACCAGTGTGTGGCCTAAGTTTTTTATGTTCCCCGGTTTACAGCTATCTGACAGATATCATCAAGAACCTGGTATATGTGCAAAGAACCACCATCGTTCCATAAATTTAAGTTCATGGTACTCGGAATGTGGGGACCTGGGGAGTTTTTGGGTTGGTACTTGCCGGATATCCGGATGTCGGGTCGTGTTTTCTAATCAGCTGTGCTTTACAGGGTGGATGATCAGATAATTGCTCTAGCGATCATCTATATGGCGGAGATGAATGCCTTTTCTGGCTCTAACCCTGCTGCTATTGTCAGGCCATTATTTGATTTGTTCATGAGAAGTCACTCGCTATAGCACTAGTGAGAATGAGAAGTCTTCAAACCGTTGACTGATTGACCAATCACGTCTAGTGAAGTCTCGGCGTTGCAACTTCATCCATGTTAGGTTAGAATTGGTTGAACAATTATTAGAAGTCTCCATAAAGTTAGGCCTGGATGAAGGCTAACAACGGTTGATATGACTTTTGTAGCACCAGGCATCGGCGTTTGATAGTGACATCTAACGACGTCCGAAGGTCTTGGTGTCCTCAGTTTCGCAAACTCATTTCATAACTGAGGGCAAAACAATTATCCGGATAGATACCCCTTGAAAAACGAAAACCAACGTTTCATGCGACAATAGCATCGTGTCGTGTTAAGCTTAATGCCAACGGCGTAAACTCGGTGAATTATGTTTATCCGGACCACCAATCTTCCGCTCCGGTCGGAAAATCTAACGCACAGCCTGGAACGAATCCTATGTACCGTACCCGCATCGAAAAAATTATTCCTAGGATCACGTCGGCTAAAAACCGGGTCCTGATAAAGTAAATTATCACTTTACCATAAATTACTTTGTCGACCCCGCGTTGAACAGCTGTATGCCTGCCTATTATGGCCTAATTTACCCCACAAATAAATAAGAATGGCCTGTGAATAATAATCCTCAATGATGTAAGGAGTCCAATACAGTATAAAATTCACACATCAACTGCCTAGCCGTTCGTCCGTGATGCATTTTAAAGGATTTCTTGTATAAAACCCAGCTTAGCCCCCCCGTCGGCTAGGACTAGGCCCCAACAAGTACTTAAATATATGAGATTCTGGCTCAAGTAGCTGTGATGTCGGCCTCAAAAGTGCATGAAGTACGTACGTACCTAGGCAGCCGAAGAACCGGTCACCGACAAAAAGTCTTAGCTGCTATGGCATGATCGGGCATATGTCTGCAAATGCTCAAGTTCTTCGGCCAAAACTAACCCGAAGGCAAGAGCTGGATTTCTATATAATTGATGCCGAGTAATGGACTGAAATCCGTAACCTTGGCGACTAGCTCTGCAGAGATGAAGTTGTTTTGGTCGATACTCGCATTTGCGGTGGCTGTGGCTGCCCAGACGACATGGCCCATTAGCAGCACCAACTATACGGACGCAATACAGTGGGATCACTACAGTTTAATTGTGAAAGGAGAGAGGCTAGTTGTCTGGTCCGGAGAATTTGTACGTGCCATATACGCCACTCGGCTCAATGCCAATATGTTTCTTAACTTCAATGGCTAACGCTGACCCAAACAGCACTACTGGAGACTCCCAGTTCCTCATCTATGGCGTGATATCCTCGAGAAGATGAAAGCGCATGGCTTCAATACCTTTTCAATCTATGGTCATTGGGGCTACCACTCAGCAGCAGAGGGAGCCCTTGATTTTGAAAACACAGCCCACAATCCACGCCCTATACTGGAGCTGGCGGAGGAGCTGGGCATGTATGTGATCTGGAGACCGGGACCATATGTGAATGCAGAATCGCATAGTGGTGGCCACGCTCAATGGGTTACTACCGGTGCCTATGGGTCTCTAAGAAATAACGATACGCGTTTTGTAGATGCGTACACACCGTACATGGACACATATGAGAAACTGCTTGAGCCGTACCAGGTGCAGAACGGTGGCAACCTTATCTTGGTGCAGATCGAGAATGAGTTTAGTAGCCAGAGAATTGGAGATTGCAAGACCTGCCCTCCAAATTTGGTCAATATTGATTATATGGAGGTTTGAGAAATCTTAATTCGTGGATGTTGTGGGAATGAGATACTGATAATGAAGACAGAAACTCGAGGCACAGGCCCGCAAAAACGGAATTTATGTCCCGCTGACACACAACAATCCTAACACCTATGTGAAGGGTTGGAGTACCGACTATGATCCTCGCGGTGCTGTCGATATCTCGGGAGTGGACACATATCCATACTGTTGGTCTTGTGTCTTGAGCGAATGCGGTGGGAGATATCCTTACACCGTAGCATACTACTATGACTATTTCCTTGAGACTGCGAAGAACCAACCCGCGTATCTGCCAGAGTTCCAAGGTGGTTCTTATAACCCATGGGGAGGTCCACAGGGTGGTTGTATCTCTGAGCAGAACTCTGAGTTCGTCAATGTATGTTTCCTAATCCTCGTTTACCTGTGATCAAGAGCTGATTATCCTAGATTATGTACCGCCACAACATCGGTGAACGGATCACAATCATCAACATCTATGTCTTCTTTGGCGGAACCAATGTTCGTACCCCTGCCTTATTCCCTAAATTCTCAACTAACATAAGTAGTGGGGAAACATTGGTTATCCTCTCTCCGGAACATCCTACGATTACGCCGCAGCCATTTCCGAATCCCGTGATATTGGCGAGAAGTTCTGGGAAGGGAAGGCTCTCGGGCTCTTCATTGATGTTGCCCGTGACCTTGCACAGACCGAGCGTGTATATGCAGGAATTGAGCTCACAAGTTCTCCAAATGTCAACTGCTCGCTCATGGAGAACCCGGAAACCCTTTCCAGGTTCTATGTTCTACGGTGAGTCCCCGAGTCACATTCTTTCGAAGTTAGTTCTGACAGAATGAATAGCCACTCTACTTCCAATGCCACTACCGAGGACAACTTCACAGTCAGCATGACGACCTCTGAGGGAGACCTGACAGTCCCTCAATACGGTGCAGCAACACTTTGGGGCCTTGCAGCAAAGATCCTAGTATCAGACTTCCCATTCGGGAAATTCTCACTTCTTTACTCGACTGCCGAAATTCTCACAGCATCCATTGTCGACAACGAGCCTACCCTCGTTCTCTGGGTCCCCAACGGCGAGCAAGCTGAATTCGTAGTAAAGGGCTACAAAGCCAAGAACAAGAAGGAAGTACTCCAGACATGTGACGGCTGCAGTATCAACTTCTACGCCACTAAAGCCGGAGTTATGATTATCAACTTCCACCAGGAGGCTGGTATCTCAGTTGTCCAGTTTGATGGTTTCAAGGTCGTGATGGTTGACAGGGGAGTTGCCTGGAAGACTTGGGTTCCAAAGCTTAACAAGGATCCGTTGGCAGGTCTGGACAAAAACCTTATTGTCCACGGACCTCGCCTTGTCCGCAAAGCCGTGATTTCCAAGAACGAGCTGCAATTGTCGGGCGACACCTCCGACGAGACCGAGCTCCTGGTCCATGCCCCCAAGAACATCAAGACCCTCACCTGGAACGGCAAGAAGATTTCCAAGTTCTCCACATCGAAGGCTGGAATCCTCACCGCCACCCTTGTGGGTCCAAAGCTCACCGAGAAAGACGTGCTCAGCCAACTCAACTCGGGCAGCTGGAAATACAAAGACTCCCTTCCCGAAGTCTTCCCCGAGTACGACGACTCAAAGTGGGTTGTCGCAAACAAGACCACCAGTCCAAACCCCACCAAGCCCGCCTACCTGCCCGTCCTCTACGCCGACGACTATGGCTTCTTCCACGGCTACGTCCTCTACCGAGGCCGCTTCCCGGCTACTAATGGCACCACGGGCGTCTACATGAATCTTCAGTTCGGCACTGCGGGCGGTTACTCCGCTTGGCTCAACGGGAAGTTCGTCGGCTCTTGGACTGGAAGCATGGCCTCGACTGGGAACAGTACTTGGACTTTCCCCGCAGGCGCCGTAAAGGCAGATAAAGAGAACGTCTTAGTGATTCTGATGGACCACAACGGAAAGGACCAGTTCGCGGCTGCGCTGAACTACCGTGGTATCTATGATATCTCCTTGAAGGGATCGCAGCCGGCGACATTCACCAAGTGGACCATCCAGGGCAATGCCGGGGGAACGGATAATATCGACCCTGTGAGAGGGCCTTACAACGAAGGTAAACTACCCTTCACCCACTGACTTGTAGAGTGAAATGCTGATGACGGGGGTTCTTTAGGTGGTATCACTGCTGAGCGTGCGGGCTGGCACATGAACGGCTTTGATTCGTCAAAATGGGCGGAGACAAAGTCGATGACCGTCCCTAACGCAACTGTCACCTTCTTCCGAAAGGAGGTCAAGTTCTCCATTCCGGAGGGCTATGACGTGCCTGTTCAGATTAGAATCGGCTCACCGGCTGGACAGAAGCTCCGTGTTCAGCTGTGGGTGAATGGATATCAGTACGGCAAGGTTAGTTTGACGAACCCACTTTGTAAATCAATGTGACTGGCCCGCTAACCAAAAGGATAGTACATGCCGCAAGTTGGAAATCAAATCGACTTCCCTATCCCGCCGGGGGTGCTCAACTACAACGGCAAGAACACTTTCGCAGTCAGTGTATGGAACGTGCAGGACAACTCACCAGTCAGCGTTGAGTATGAGTGGAGCGTGATTGGTATCTACGAGAGTTCTTTCAGCTCCAGATTCGACTCTGACGAGGTCCGGCCGGCGTACAACAAGAAGCGTTTGGAGTACTTGTAGTTGTTTTGTGAAGGAGCTCATGTATGGCTTATCATGTATTTATATAGCTCTGTAAGGGGATGGATGGGCTGTTTATAATTGTGAAATATGGTGTCGTTCAACGTTGCGTTGCAGGGTGTTTGAGTAGAAGGAGTGTTCCGGAGATTGAGGATCCTTGTGTGCTGGTGGGGTCATGGATGATCACTCGCGTGCCAAGAAACCCCCACACGCAAGAAAGAGTGCAGGCTTGATTGCTTGACTACATGTACAGTACGATCGAAAAAGAAGAAACCCCAATTGACTAAGAATATTTATTGTTTTTTTTTATCTATATACAAAAAAAAATAAACCACCAAAAACCTACAACCCAAAGAAACCCTAACCCACCATGGATCACTCCAACCGTAGCTTCGCCGGCCCCCCGCCCCAAAACGAGACGGGGAAACCGGTGGATGGGCCATATCCCCAATCCAAAAAGATTTTGGAATTGGGGGGACCAGGGGGCTCGGGGGAGTGGTCGTGCTGCTCTGCTCGGGGTAGTAGCCCTAGCTCGCCCGGTCAAAGCAGCACGATGGGTTTGGAAGAGATGGGGGAATCCGAAGAATTTATAGTAAGAAGGGCTTGCTAAGATAGATGGGCTTTGGCCGCTCCTTTAGGGATAAGCCAGGGAGATATGGATGCCAAGGTTGGAGGTGATAAGGGTTTTGGTGGTTGGTCGTTGGGTCTAGATCTAGGGTAGCATGATCTGCTTTGTGCGAGAGTTGAAATATGTCGTGGATGGGTGGGCTAGATTAGTTAGGGAATGATTAAGAAGCAAATGCTTTGATATGATTTCTACGCATATGAATGTTTGAGTTTAGTACTGCATACCTAGTCCTTTCTTCTCTGCTCACACTACAAGTAGCAATACTTGCACAGCGAATAAATCAGTCAGTTCTCTCATGTTCAATATCAGAAGCCCAAACAATTCTAGTTTGGAAAATCGAAACAACGCTTTTGTTTATCTATACAATACAAAAATCACTCCAGTATTTACAAGCCATTACATATAGTCTCTCTATTTCTTCCCCTGCTTACTCTTACTCTTCAACGACTGCACCAGCCTCTTCACCTCATCACTCTTCGCGCCCCCCTCCGCGCCCGCCCCCACCTTCACCTTCTTCCTCTTCCCCTGCCTCTCCTCCCCCTCCTCCCCCTTCCCACCGGTCATCTTCCCCCTCCTCTGCCGCTCCCCAAGCAACTTGTCCATCGCCTTCGTCTTCACAAACCGCGGGTTCGTCGGATCAATCGCAAACTCATTGCGCTCAAACACAGCCTTAAACCGCTCATCCGCGACATCAATCTCAAACCCCTTCTGCATCCCCTCCTCCAGCGCCTCCTCCGCCTGCCTCGACCGCTTCTTCCCCTTCTTCCCATGCTTCCCCTTGCCTGCCTTCTCGGCCTTGACAACCTGCTTCATGTCAAAGTGGTTCAGCCCGTCGCGGTCCGCGTCCGCCATCAGCGCCTCCAGCTCTCCGCGCTTGGCGGCCGCCTCGGCCGCCTCCGCGGCACGCTGCGCTTTGGCTTTGGCTTTCTTTTCTTTCTTGGGGTTGACGGCTACGGGGTCGGCGGCGAAGAAGGGGTCGTCGAAGCCGAGGTCTACAGCCGCGGGGGCGGCCCCTGCTTCTTCTTCGTCTGCGTCGGCGGCGGTACCGTCACCTTCGCGGAGCAGTTTGGACTTCTCCTTGCGCCGCTGCTTGCGCTCCTTTTCCTTCCGGGCGTACTTCTCGATCGTTGTCTCTGCGGGCTCACCATCGCCATCGTCATCGGCGTCTTCAATGACCTTTGCGCCCTTCTCCTTCGCGCTCAGGCCCGACGTGAATGTGATCTCCATGTCGCCCGTGGGCCCCCCGTCGTCCTTCTTCTTGCTGCCTTTGCCGGCGAGGAGGCTTCCAGAGAGGAGGGCGCGGTATTTTTCTTTTGCGGCCGCGTTGTCGGCGCCTTCGGCGTCCGATTCGGAGTCGGAGGAGGCGAGGTAGGCCTTGACGTCCATTTCTTCGACTTCCTTTTGCGAGAAGGCGCGCTTGGCGGCGGTTTGGCGGGCGGTGTCGTCGGCGTCCCAGGTTAGTTTTACTTTGCTGTGTTGCAGGGCCTAGGGGGACGTTAGTGGGGTGTAGCATTATTTATATAAAGAGAGTATGAAGAGAGGGAGAAGGGGGGGGGGGGGGGGGGAGGGGTATGAGAAGATATGGGAGTATGGGGAGGGGGAGATATACATCAGTGACAAAGTCATTAGGTTTGTAGTTCGCCGGCGCCTCCGTGCACGTATCCCGCGGCGTATCGTCCTCAAAGCTGGTGTCGTCGGGGATAAACCGCAGGTCAAAGAAGTTTGCAGTGGCCTCATACTCCGCGCCGTCGCACTGCTCGTAGATATGATGGGCCGTCTCGGGCCTATCACACTCAACCACCGCATAGTAATACCGCAGCCGCTCCAACTGATAATTACGGAGCTTTGCACTGTCAAACTCCTCCCCCTTATCCTCCTTCACCAGCGTCTTGACCGTAACCTCCTCATCCGGATCAATATCTTCCTCCTCCTCGTCGTCGTCCTCCTTCTTCTTCTTCGGCCGAAAGATCTCACTCGGCGGACCCTCCATATTCTCGCGCTCCATGCGCTCGCGCCCAAACTCGGATGGGTACACCGTGACCCGCAGCACCCTTCCGCCGCTCGGCGCAAACGACGAGAACGCCGCCATCAGGTCCACGGCCGCCACATGGTCCCAGTCCAGATTGACGGCGGCGAACCGCGCAGTGACATCACCCGTGGGTATCTCCTCGCGCTGCAGCAACTGCCGCGCAATCTGGTCCTCCTCGGCGGCGTCCACCTCCTCTTCTTCTTCGTCCTCCGAGGAGCTGTCGTCGTCCGAGGAGCTAATTACGCCCTCGCCGCGGGCGGGGTCGTAGCGGGGCTTGCCTTCGTCTTCCTCGTCTTCCTCGTCTTCGGAGCCAGAGCCTTCGGCGTCAGAGTCGTCGTCGTTGTCAAGGCGGTAGTATCGCTTTATTTCTGCCTTGCCGGCGTCCTTTGCGAGCTTGCGGCCGTAGCGGTCGACGGAGGCCTTTTGCGCAAAGTCGTCGTCTTTGAGCATGCGGGTGAAGCGCTTGTCGATGGCGATTTTGGCGTCTTTGCGCCGCGGCATGGCGAAGCGCGGATCCGAGTGGACGGAGGCGAAGCGGGCGTCATCTGCAGGGCTGTCAGTGTGGGTTCATTCGGGTTCAATTGAGTGATGCTTTGAGGGAGAGGGAGAGGGGGAAGAGGGAAGGGGAAGAGGGAAGAGGGAAGAGGGAAGAGGGAAAACTGACTGGTGACGGGGGCACGGTCGGTGCTGCCCGTGCTGGGCTTCTTTTTCTCGGGTTTCTTGGGCATTCTGGGTGGAATTGGGGGGGGGGGGGGGGTGGAATTGAGGCTTTTGATATTGGTGATCGTTATCGTGGGGTTGAGGATTTGAAGTGTGAGACTTTTTGATATTTTCTGTGTCCGTGCTGCGAGCCGCATGAGCGCCAAGACGCCAACCCAAATATTTTCTCTTCCCACAAAAAGACAAAAACACCGCAACACCGGACGCACACAGCACCGGTCCTCAATTAACTCCCCCAATTACACTCAATTGCACTCTCCTCATACACACAAAATGGGCCGCATCAAGAAGTCCACCCGCAAGTTCGAAAAGAACCATCTCAAAGACGCCCTCGACCAGCGCAAAGCCCAGGCAAAGATCAAGCAGCAGTTCGCCCTGCGCGACCGCAACAAGAAGCGCCGCAAGGACGACCTCGGCATAACCGACGACGACGAGGCCGCCGCCAAGGCGCGCGCAGAGCAGAAGGCAAAGGAGAAGCGTGATGGGCCGGAGCTGTTTGAGGATATGAGCGTCGAGCAGTTCTTCCAGGGCGGCTTTGAGATCCCCGAGGCTGGGGTGGTGCCGAAGAAGGGACGGAAGGGGAAGAAGGAGAAGAAGGAGAAGGTGAAGGAGGATAAGAAGAGGAAGAGGGATGATGATGATAAGGAGGAGACTGCTGAGGCAGAGGCGGGGGAGGATGGCGAAGATGAGGGTGAAGAGGGCAGTGCAGACGAGCTCGAGGCCCACATGAAGGATCTCTCCGCACTGGCCGAAAAGGACCCCGAGTTCTTCAAGTACCTCAAAGAGAACGATGCCGAGCTCCTCGACTTCACCGCCGCCGAGCACGACGACCTCGCCGCCATCGACGACCTCTCCGACGGCGAGAACGACAACGACGACGAGGAGTCCAAAAAGAAGACCAAAAAGCGCAAGAAGGCCAAATCCAGCGCCGAAGACGCCAACTCCAGCATCGAAGTCACCCTCGCCGACGTCGCAGCCTGGAAGACGGCCCTCACCACCCAAAACTCCCTCCGCGCGCTGCGCAACGTCGTGCTCGCCTTCCGCGCCGCCGCCCATGTCAACGACGTGCAAGGCGAGAACACCGCCTCCTCAGGCGGCTACAAGTACTCCATCACCAACCCAGACGTGTACCACGAGCTGCTGATCGTGGCGCTCAAGCACGTCCCAGACACGCTCAACCACCATCTGCCCGTCAAGGAGTCGGCCAACGGCCGTGTGCGCGTGGCCATGGAGACCAAAAAGTACCGCACGCTGAACCCGTTGGTCAAGTCGCACAGCGCGTCGCTGCTGCATCTGCTCCCGACGCTGACGGACCCCGCCACGCAGCGGCTGCTGCTGAATTCGGCGGTGCCGCTGGTGCCGTATTTCTTGTCGTACAGAAAGTTCTTGAAGACGTTCGTCAAGACGGTGACGGATATCTGGTGTGCGCACTCGTCGGATGAGACGACGAGGATCACGGCGTTCTTGGTCATTAGGAGGACCGCGGTGGTGGGCGATGAGGGGCTGAAGGATATCTGTGCAAAGGCGCTGTATGCGGGGCTGGTCAAGGCGAGTAGGCAGACGAGTGGGTATACCATGGCGGGTATCAATCTTATGAAGAACTCGGCGGCGGAGGTCTTTGGGATGGAGGGTATGGAGAAAGTTGGATATCAGGTTGGCTTTGGCTACATCCGCCAGCTCGCCGTGCATCTGCGGAACAGCATCACAAACAACTCAAAGGTATGGTTATCCCGCTCCTTTCCATTATCATCATTACCCCTATATATATTGAGCTCCACTAACCCTCCCCCCAGGAATCCTACAAAACAATCTACAACTGGCAATACATCCACTCCCTCGACTTCTTCTCCCGCGTCCTCTCCACCCACTGCGACACCCTCACCGAAGCCACCCTCGGCCGCCCCTCCCCCCTCCGCCCCCTCATCTACCCCCTCATCCAGGTCACCCTCGGCGCCATCCGCCTCATCCCCACCGCGCAGTACTTCCCCCTGCGCTTCTACCTCACCCGCTCCCTCCTGCGCATCTCGCGCGCCACAGACGTCTACATCCCGCTCTCACCCCTCATCTTCGAGGTCCTCTCCTCCGCCGAGCTCAAGAAGAAGCCAAAGCCCTCCACCCTCAAGCCCCTCGACTTCAGCACCACCATCCGCGCGCCAAAGTCGTACCTGCGCTCCAGAACCTATCAGGACGGCATCTGCGAGCAGGTCGTCGAGCTGCTGTCCGAGTTCTACGTGCTGCACGCCAAGAGCATCGCCTTCCCCGAGCTCGCCATCCCCGCGATCGTGCTGGCGAAGCGCGCGGTCAAGAAGAGCAAGAACGCAAAGCTGAACAACGCGCTCACAGTGCTGGTGGCAAAGCTCGAGGCGAACAGCAAGTATGTGCAGGAGCGGCGGAGCGGCGTGGAGTTCTCGCCGGATAGGGTGGCGGAGGCGGAGGCGTTTCTGAGGGAGGTGGAGTGGGAGAGGACGCCGTTGGGGGCGTATGTGGTGAGTCAGAGGAAGGTGAGGGAGGAGAAGATGAAGATGCTGGAGGAGAGTATGAAGGAGGAGAGGGCGAGGGGGAGGGAGGAGGAGGATGATGAGGAGGAGGATGAGGTGTTGGGGGTGGATGCTAGTGATGATGAGGAGGAGGGGGATGACAATGATGATGAGGAGGAAGAAGATGAGGAGGAGGACGATGAGGATGACGATGAGGAATAGATAGACCCCATACCTGTGCCTGTATTGTAGTAATTTCCTGTTGGCTACTAACTGTCTCTTTACCGTATTAAAAGTTTTTCTTGCAAGTATTTTTTGCTTTGCGAGTCAGAAATACAAATACCATTCTGATTCACCATTTGTTGATCTGTATTATAGACTTTGGTGGTGCGGATTGAAATTGCCCAATCACATCCACGGGGCCCCTCCATCGGAAATGATCAAAAACCCACGAGTGACACTCCATGACTCTCTCCCCACCCGCCAAGTGTTACCCGGCCTCAAAGCCAGTCACTAATTTCGCCGAACCCTAACCCACGAGACGTTACTTCCGAACTTTTTTTTTTCCCTCTTCACCTCCGACGACCACCATCATCACTAACCAGCCAACCATGAGATTCACCAACCACCACGCGCGCGCGCGCGCGCGCTCACTAACACATAAAGGTAAGCCAATCTAATCCAATTCTCCCTTTGATTTCCACCTCCGAAATGATTAAAAAAATCGAATCTGTCAATCCCCTGATTTTTCCTGCGGGTCCCTCAAGGGCCTGCAGATGACGATAAACTCTTTTGTGTCTTTATTTATGATCTTTCAAACTTTCTTACTGCCCTCTGTTTTCCTCATTGCCTGCCTGCGTCGGGATGGAGTGCTGATTCGCGGAAAGATTTCTAGGTTATAAAATCCAGATTCTCTGCTGCCGTATTGAGGCGGCTTCATGTATATTAGAACAATTCATATCAGCATTTGTTCCGCTCCCCGCTGTTTGCCTGTTCCACCGTTCCAGATTTCGTTTTTTTTTCTTTTCTTTCGTTTTTGTTCGTTTGTTCATAGACCCCTCTTCCCTCTCCCCCAAACAGGCATATGTGTGTACAGCACCGGAGCGTCCTCCATCTTCGCGTGTCTGAAGGAATTAATTCTTTATCGTGCCGATATCGATCTTTTCATACCCATTACCAAACACTTCTCGGTGCAATCTAATCCACGTCGAGTCGTGCATGGAGGGCTTGATACATCTCTTTCTCTTTCTTTTTTTTTTTGTATATATTAGTTTTTTTGGTTGATTGAAATGATTGAATCGAGCAACTTGGGGAATTGTGTGTGTAACTGTCTTGGTTGTTGCAGTATAGTATGAAGAAAAGCGCATTTTTGGACGGATATCATTGTGTTGAGATGGTTATGATGTTCCCGTTTAGTGCCACGGGATACAGATACCACCAGAGATAGCATTTTCTTTTCTATCCTAGTCGGTCCTCGTAACCACTACTACATTCTCCCTATGAACCTCATCATATCGATAGTTTCCCAAACGCATGTAGCTATGCATTCGAAAGACCCGTGCGATGATAATAGCAGTCTGCAACCCCCCAAAACACCATAAGATCAAAGGAGTCTCAGGAATTCTCAACTAGAGCTTACTGTAATCCAATTTCCCCAATAAAGAGACGTTTTCTCTATCTAAGACCTAGAGGGGAACGCAGCCGTTGAAACGTGTTTACATATTCTCCTAACCTGCCCCACACCGCTACTTGTAAAAAGCACAGAACCCGAAAGTGAAAAAAATAAGCAAGAGTACAATAGGAAACTCAATTTCCCGCACTTTACGGCGCACAACTCTTGAGACCATCTCGTGACAGGAGTAATCAGGGCGTTTAAGTGATTTTTATCTCCAACAGAAATACACCTTCTACCAAAACCCTAAATTAGCCCTCACCCACATTCTATGCCCGCCCTAAGAAACCCGCGCCAAAGCCTACACAGCATGCAAAACACTCACAGCAACATGACGCAGCGGAAGCGCGCCGGGCTCATAACCCGGAGGTCGCACGATCGAAACGTGCTGTTGCTAACACAAACAATATTTCTTCTTCTTTTTTTCTTTTTGATCCTGTAGAAAGATTATGGTGTGTAGATGTTATTTAAGCTCTTGCGTATTGGTCGAGAAATGGCGGGGATGGAGGGGGGCGAGTGCTGGGCTGTGATGCTACCAATCGTCTATCAAATTAATGCTACCCTGATAGACCGTGCTTTGTCTTTTGTCTTTTGTCTTGATGCTACCAGCGCTGGCGGGCCAATGAACCAAATGTCTGCATTGCAGTGCCGTCTCGATACATAAGGTCTTACCATCTGTGCTAGGAACGCCCCCCGCGCAGCACTGATCACCACACACTATACAGGCCAATCGGTGGATGAATCAAGTCTCTATGGTTTCTACTTTGCAGATCATAACAATGGAATTACTGTGTCAGGGAACTATGAGTGAGAGCGGGGTCTTATGGCCTCGAAGGTGCATCACCCCCACAATTCGGGACATCACTAGACTTGTAGGGTGTATATCAAGATAAACAGACGCAAACCACAAAAACACGACCGGCCCCATTGATCAAGCCTCTGCACGCCCAAGTATCACTACGACCCAACATTACGCCCGCAATATTCACTCCCAATTCCCATCCTTCTACATATCTCATTAACCCCCCTCACTCCCTTCCCTACAGCTAACCACTACACTACTACTACTAATACATCCCTCCCCCTCTACCTCACCCACTACCTCCCCTCCACCCTCTCCAACACACCCTCCAACCCCACCGGCACAAACACCTCCCTATTCTTCTTCTCCATCACCCACACCACATCACCCACAAAATAGCACACCACCCCGCCGCCCCCACTCGCGCTCGCCGTGATCCTAAACAGCGGCACCCCCGTCCCCTCGTGCGCCTTGCGCAGCGGCACAAGCAGCAGATTATGCTCCGCGCACCAGTCCTCCACCGCCTCGCGGAACGTCGTCTCCGGCAGCGCCTCTGCCGCCGTTGAAAACTTCTGCCCTGCCCCTGCCCCTGCCACCTTGGCGGACGACGACGACGCCTTCTTCTTCGGCGGCTTCGCGGGGCCCGCCGCGGGCGCGGGAAGCAGACTGGCTGCAGAGGCGCCGAGGTCGAGCGCGCGGTTCATCATGTCGAGGCCCTTATTGAACCCCGCGCGCACGGGCGGCGCGCCACGGAGCTCGGTGGGGAAGACGCCGGTCCAGAAGGTGTACCACTCCTGTACCTCCGTAAAGTTCGGCGCGGGCGAGGTCAGCCACTGATGCAGTATGTTCAGCCACTTGGGGAAGAACTCCGCCTCGAGGAGCTGCGCAAATGTCGATACGCGAAAGAAGGGCAGCCACCCCAGCACGTGCTCGAGGGGGTCGAGCAGCTGGTCGGCCGGGTTGACGTCGAATTCCGCTCGCAGCTTTAGGGCGAGCCGGGGGAGGAGGTGGCGAATGAGGAGCTTTTCGAGCTCGCCGGGGCCAAAGACTTCTTTCCAGGCGTCGAGGCCGTCGACGGTGCCCTTTGTGAGGTCCCAGGCGTCGAGGACGACGCCGAACTTGCGGCGCACGTCGCGCAGAAGGTCTTCCATGTTTGTGCCGAGGTGGGGGAGCCACTGGAAGACCCAGAGGTGCGGGGGCTGGCGCGTGCGGCGGCGCTTGCCGCCGCGCGGGTTCCAGTCGGCGACGGCGGTCTTGAGCTTGGGGAGGACGAGCTGGGTGAGGATGTTGGCGTGGAGGAAGGGGGGAGGAGCGAGGCCCAGATGTCGAGGAGGGTCAGGACGGGGGAGGGCTTGTGGACGTCCCAGTCGTTGTTGATGGCGGAGCGGACTTTGGGCAGCCAGAGGGAGAACATCATGCTTTCGTAGTGGGTGGTGTATTTGGACTTTGATACAAAGCCGTTTCTGGCATATTCGGTTTCCGCATCTTCTTTACTGCGGATATGGAGGATGGCACGGAGACGGCGGAAGTGCTCAAAGAATAGGAACGGGTCCGTAAGAGGGGCCCAGCCTGCAAGTTCTTTTCGAAACTATATAAAGTTAGTATCAAGTCGAAAAGATGAGGTGAGTGAGTATGGATAGCTTACCAGTGGATGTAAAGCCGCAACAGCAACCTCCGCAAGATCATGGTCCTCGATCTCGTTCTTATACTCCGACTGCAATACCTCCAGCTTGGTGACTACATCTTCAATGGAGCTGTTCTCGCCCCCTAATGACAATTCCTGCAGGCTATTCACTACATCTACCATTCCCTGCAATCTACGAATTTCCTCTCCCTGCTCATCGAGCTCAGCAGTAAGTCTTATTTCCTCCTTCTCAATATAAGCCTTTCTATCCTCCAGGCCCTTCCACTCGCTCGCAAAGCTCTCCAGATCTCTACGCGCCCTTTTAGCAATTTTAAGAGACTCGTCCTCCACAGACAGTCCCCTATCCATGACCCCCGAGGCAGACGTCAAAAGTTTCGCCTCCTTGCCTGTATAATCCACAATGTTCTTTAGCGCACTCGGAACCTCCAGCCCCTTTGCACTCGCAGAGATCTCATCTGCAGTCAAGAATCTCGTCTTGTTCTTCTTTACCCTCAACGGTGTCCCGCTAGGGGTATTACCCGTGGACCCGGACGTTCGTTGCTTTCTCTCCTTCTTCTTCCTTGCCTCTTCCTCACTATCGGACACCTCCTCACCCCGAAGTCTCCGTGCACGCTTCGCCTCCGCCCGGGCCGCAGGCGTCATTTCCCTAATCGCACCTATACCGGCACCCTGGGGCCGCAGCTTCACCTCAATCGGGTTCAATATACCCTCCCCACTCTTCCCCAGTCCCTGCCCCGGCTGATACCCCATCTTCGCCATCATCCTAGCCGCGAACGAGTTCGGATTAACCGCCGGCGCCGCATCCTTCTCGCCCCCCTTCCCTGTCTTCCCCCCCCTCCCCTTATCCACCTGCGTAAACGACGGCCTCACAACCTGCGGCGCCTCCGAGGGCGGCGGGTTGGCCGACAGCGTCGGCACATATGCCGCCTGCGCCGCCGCCGACGACACAAAGCCCCTCCCCAGCGGCATCGCCTCGCTCTGCTGCTGCTGCTGCGGCGATGCCGGCGCAAAGCCCAGCCCCATATGCGCATCCATAGACCCGGGCGTAGTCGCGCCCGACGCCTCCCCGGACGCAGGCTTGGTAAATGCGCGGCCACCAAGACCGAGGCGGGGCCGCTCGGGCTCGTCGTCGGTGTTGACGGATGCCGGGGTTGACGCGCCCGAGTCGCCGCCCCCCGCAGAGGCAGCGGTGGCGGCGGAGGCTTTGGTGAACTTGCTGAATGCGAAGCGCGGGCGCGGCTTTGGCACTTTGTCGGCGATGTCCCAGTCGTCGGCGGCGGTGTTGTTGTTGGCGGCCCCGAGCATCGATGTGTCCGCCCCGCGTAGGCCTGCGAAGCCCGTAACGACGTCCTCGGGGTACTCCTCTCCCTCTGCCCCCGCTCCTCCTCCCTCGTATTCATCCTCGTCTTCGTCCTCGACGGTCTCGCCCTGCTTCACAAAGCCCATTCCCTTATCTCTCAACGGTCGCCCACCGCCGCCGCCGCCGCCGCCGCGTTTTCCAAAAGCACTACTGCTAGGTCTCTCATCCTCCTCGCTGTCTGATCCAAACACGCCCAATGCCGCGCTCTCCTTCGCATCCTTCCCCGTACGGCGCCGCTTCCGCCGGTGTGATGGGTTGAACTCTGTGTTGTCCCCCGTCGGGTCTGGGAACTCGAGCTCCTCCTCCTCTGAGCTCGAGTCTGAGCCGGACGAGTCGTAGCCGTAGATCTTCCCTTTGCCCCCATCGATCGTCAGCTCTGTCTGTCACTGGTATGTAGTGGGTTTTGTGGGGGGAGAAGAAGTGTCGATGTCTGCGGTGGAACACACACCCTGCTGTCACGTGCAGGTGTGAGACTCTGCTCTGGTATGCGTTGTGCCGCGAGCAGGCACACATCTCGTCACGCTTTCCTGGCTCAGCCACAAAGACCGCAAATTGCCCCCCAAAGAGCGATCCTTGGCAACACTGCCCCAAAGCAGCTCTTTTACGCCGCTGCCCTCACACACTCGTCCACACCCAAAGTGGGCAACGGCGGAAAGAAAAAGTTTTTGGCCTCCATCTGCGCTGCAGCTCTTGTCTTCTTCTCTCACAACACAACCCTCAACCCCCCCGGACCAGATCAACACCAAGTAGCAAGCCATTGAACTTGTTGCCCGCTCGTTCCAATTGTCCGTTTGCAGTAAAAACTCTCTCACACACACACACGCACATCTCACATCTACATATAATCAATGGCTTTCACTCCCGGTGGTGGTAGAGGAGGACGAGGTGGTGGCAGAGGTGGTTCGCGCGGTGGATTCGGCGGTGGCGGACGTGGTGGTGGTGCCCGTGGTGGCTTTGGAGGTAAACAAATTCTTCTTTTCCTATATTCCTCATTTTGCAATTTTTTTGTTTCTCAATTGAATTTTTTTTTTTTTTTTCATCTTTTTTTTTTTTTCTTTTCACTCGCAATGGTTTTTCTTCTTCTTCTGGGAGGAATATCCCTTCTCCTGCTCTTGCAAGAGATGGAATGGGGCTTGGGGAAGAAAAAAGAATTGCGATTGCGGTTTTCTATATATCCCCATTTCATTTCCCTCAAACCATGGAGTCCCCCCACCTCTTATCGCCCAAAACATCCCCCACCACCTGTTTCACCCATTCCGTTTCACGAACCCCCATGCTAACACACCCCCCCAGGTGGAGCCCGTGGCACCCCCCGTGGCGGAGCCCGCGGCGGCGCCCGTGGAGGCCGCGGCGGTCCCGGCGGCCGTGGTGGAGGACGTGGCGGCGGCCGCGGCGGCGCATCCGGCGGAGCCCGTGGCGGCGCCAAAGTAATCGTTGAGCCGCATCGCCACGCCGGCGTCTTCGTCGCGCGTGCCAAGGAGGACATGCTCGTGACCAAGAACCTCTCCCCGGGCGAGTCCGTCTACGGCGAGAAGCGCATCTCCGTCGACACGCCGTCCGCCAACGGCGACGAGGCGGCCACAAAGGTCGAGTACCGCGTGTGGAACCCGTTCCGCTCGAAGCTGGCGGCCGGAATCCTCGGCGGGCTGGACGACATCTTCATCAAGCCCGGCGCCAAGGTGCTGTATCTCGGTGCGGCCTCGGGCACGTCCGTGTCCCACGTTGCCGACATTGTGGGCCCCACGGGGAACGTGTTTGCCGTCGAGTTCTCGCACCGCTCGGGGCGTGACCTGATTAATATGGCCAAGAAGCGGACGAATGTCATCCCCATCATTGAGGATGCGCGTCACCCGATGAAGTACAGGATGCTGGTGGGGATGGTCGATGTGGTGTTTGCCGATGTGGCGCAGCCGGATCAGGCCCGTATCGTTGGGCTGAACTGCCACTTGTTCCTGAAGGAGAAGGGTGGTGTGCTTGTGTCGGTCAAGGCCAACTGTATCGATTCCACAGCGGCCCCCGAGGCCGTGTTTGCGAGGGAAGTGCAGAAGATGAGGGAGGAGAGGATCAAGCCTTTGGAACAGCTTACTTTGGGTAAGTTCTTCTTCCCCTACCACTACCACCACTACCACCCCGCTATACCACCGTGAAAAGCAGAATACTAACAAGCCCGCAGAGCCGTTCGAGAGAGACCACTGCATGGTTGTCGGTCGTTACATGCGTTCTCAGTCTTAAGTATTATTACGTGCGGTTGTTAATCTTCTTCTTCTTTTGTCTGCGTTTTCTTTTTTTTACAAACTCTGTACGTTTTTGTGAGGGAAGGGGAAAAGAAAAAAAATTCAAACTTTGTCTTTCTGTATCATTTTCTGCTTTATGTCTCTATGTTTTTTTGTATCCATTACCCGCTCTGATCTGTATGGGAGAACGACAAAAAAAGGTGAAATGAAATGAATTGGGGTGGTATCAAAAAGTTATGTGTGTGTGGAGAAATAGTTGTGCGAGTCCCCTTAATGTCTCATCTACTATCATGTAGTGCTGCCATATCAATTGGGGCGCTTCAGTCTCCTGGCAGTGTGAGTAACTAGCTTATTCTCAATTGCCTACAGCCTTTGTTTACTGCCCTTGGTGCAGAGAAGCAATGTTGGGGGGATAAGGAGAGAATGGCGGCCGTGGAGTACATGTATCTATCATAGCTCATCGTGATTACTACTATTCGCAAAGTGTTCTCTATGCTCAGGCCTAGGCTCGTCCCCAACCCGTCTGCTTTCATGCTTCCAGCGGACGCATTGCCACAAGTACGGGATGGGTACGAGACTAGCCCAGGCCGTCCGCACACCTGTGAAGCAAACCCCAATAAATAAATACATACAAGCAAATAACCTTTCGCCTCAACTCCTTCTATTTACATTCACTCTGTTAATTAGCCCTCCCTCCCCAGAGATGATCTCACACAACATGTCGGCCCCAAAAGACTGCAACTTGATCTTACACGACCATTTCCTCCGAGACAAGCTAACACAGCACGGTATAAAAAAGCTATAAAAGTCAATCCCAACATTCCCACACTAAACAGCCACCCCCCGGACCAAGTTCCACGACCTCGCCCCGCTCCACCACAAGCACTTCTCCAACGGATTCTCATCCCACTGCGCGCACCCCGAGTCGACACACCTATAGCACCCGACCATCAGCCTTCCTTCCTACCCGCCTTCCTACCCGCCCACCTATCCCCTCGGGAATAATAATATAATAATCAACGATAAGAGATCCAGCTACATACGCTTTCGTATACTTCTTCCAGCTCTCCGAGCACTCCCCACAACTCGTGTCCCTCAGATTAAGCGGATACTTGCGCTCGATGCAGTGGCCAACGTCGTACGCGATCTTGCACGGGTGGTACATTGCGTCGATCTTGCAGTTGAAGACGGTGTTGGTGTTGGTGTTGGTGTTGGTGTTGGAGTCGGGCCGGGGGATGCAGAGCGCTCTCACGGCGCCGGCGAAACAGAGTGCGAGTGTGAGGAATTTCATTTTTTTTTCGCTTTTTTGGGGGGGGAGGTTGTGGCCGGGTTTGTGGGACTGCGAAATAATCGAGGGGGTTTGGTGAGAGGGAAAAAAAGGGAAGAAGGGATAGAGGGGGAGGAGGCCCGACGTACAAATAAGGGCTAGTAGGTAGGTAGGTAGGTAGGTATGTTCTCATTGTGCTATTCTTATTGTGCTATCCTTATATTAACAATAGATCACCGTTATCACCGCCCGCCGAGTGATCAGCGATGAAGCCATGGATGCGAACAAAGCTAAAAAAACAAAGCCCGCCCAATGAGCGTCCAGCTAGTATCAAACTTAATTCTCCATGGACATGAGACAACAACTAGACAGGTAGGTAGTGTGGTCTCTCTATGAGCGACGCCAACGCCTGGCTAGATTTGGGCTACAAATAAACCTAATCCACGCCATGTGGGTAAAGGTTAGTTTTTGGCGTTGCCATTGCTCATCGGGAAATTAGGCCACACCAAAAAATTTGGAAAAAGTTTGGTGGGGAGCAGAAGGGTGTATGAATGTCACCACTCGGCCAGAATGAGACTAGTGTCTCATAACCAACACCAGGGAAATATGTGCACCAGATTCCTTGATCTCAACTGGAAAATTCAGATCCGTTCACTACGAAGAAAAGAAGCACTCACTAAATAAACCTGCTAGGCGCGCACGCTGAAGTATTTTCAGTGAAATTTACTATGCTCTAGTTCAGGCAATATAGCATATGTATTTTACAACTATTGATCCCGCGGGATGCGGGCGTTTTTGGGAGAGGTTTGGCAGAAGCTTCACTAGATCCAATCTCGATCCCTTTACCCAGGAAGGATGATAGAAGGCTTACGATACACCACCAGTCAAGAGCATGTCTCATGCCCCCCCCCCCCCCCCCCAGAAAAAACCTTATACGCTTTCACCAACACGCCCTTACAGCCAAAAAAATATAGTACCATTAAATTTAAACCCCAGATGTAGCTTTCCCGAACAAAGAGGTTACAGCCCCCGCCATGAGCAGCCGCAATCACGAGCTATCACTCGACACAAAAATCTATTTAGACAGGTAGAATGTCTCTAGATATAAAACCTAATCCAGATTGACACCCTTAAAAGGCTGGTTGGCGCGTGTGGAGTGCCAAATAATTTCCACTGGCTTCTGGGTCAAGACAAAGAAGTGAGTGCCTGTTGTCTTGGCATAATCTTTCACAGATAACCAAATATTCTAGAGTGCATGGTGGGACAAAGAATGAGCAATTGAGGGCGATCTCTAATTTGATGTCTATAGCAAAAAAAAAAAAATTCTGACTCGCACATCAAGGCTATGACTTGAGAAGTGACACGCATGCAGCATCTTCTTTTCCAGTGCACCACAGAAACGGTACATGCAGCCACGACAAACGAAGGCTCATATAAGAGATATACCTCGATCAGCTCAGCCATATACACCCCTCCTAATAGTGCGTCGAGCAACTACAAGTACTAGTGCGGACCAGAACCCTTAAGACCAACGATACCATCATTACATATACATACATACATACATACATACACAAAGCGCCTTCCCCTGCATTCCTTGCCAGCATGGCCGGCCGTGAAGGAACATCAAATGAGATGGACGGAAATCGTATTTATAACGACCGAACCCTTCGAAATTGCCCTCCACATATCCCGTGCTAGCTAAGCTCAGTATTAACAGTAACATTAGCCTCGGCAAGTCTTAGTGGTAATGGTGGAAGATTCATAGATTATCACTCGGTTCCGGTAAGCACTCGTGTTTTTTTTTTTTTTGTTGTTTAATTCATACTCACATGCAAGCACTCGTGTGGATTTGATAGCTGGGTAACGGAAAGTATAGCTTAAAATAAGGGGATTCTCTCTGGCACTTGTAAGATACGTAGGGAAGAGTAACAGTCTCTGCAAACGTAGAAAACCACCTCCAAACGTAGGTCACTCCCGCTATTGTTGTCAAGGATGCTTGAATTTGATTCCACCAGACGACAGAGATATATGGCCGCCCGGATATATAGCAAATATCAATGCTACAATATTTATTATACAAGCCGCCCATCTGCCCATTCAATATTCCACCTATCACACAAAAATTACGTGCAGATCATAGGTATTCTACATTTACAAACAAACAGCAAGTCTTGAAAATAATCACAAAAAACAAAAAAACGGCAAAGAAACCCTCATCCACCACGTATTATTCGTTCTTTTTTGCCAGTTCCGCTTTTCCACTTCTTTCCCTTTTAGCCTTAATCCGCTTCACTGCCGCCATAATTTTCACCTTCAACACTTGAACCGGGTTCATTCTCACAGACTCATCTGCGCCTACGAAGCGCCTTACTAGCAGGTTGAAGACTGTGCCAAATGCGAGTGCCATAACCGTGCTGGTAAGAATGATGACGTTGTAGGGCATGCTGAAGTCAGGGGTTGGGAGCGAGAGGAGAAGTGAGGTAGTACGAATGGAAAAAATGGTTTGGCTGTTTCGGGGGGCTAATATCGATATTATAGCAGGACTAGAGGATATTAGCTCACTGGCAAACTATACAGAAGGTGATAAATGGGGTTCGTACGCAATATCAAAGCCACGGTTAGCATCTGGCGGATACTCCGTGTACCGGAGAACAGCTTTATCAAAATCATAAGTCACCAGAACCGTGGAATTTGGAGGAATCCTCATTCTAGCCTCCAATTGAGTACCACGACGGCGATCGAGGGCAGGACGATAGTAGATCTCTTGGATTATCTTCTCCTCCCATTGAGTTTCAATTGGTGGATCAAGAGTTGCAGAAAAGGTGTGGAGGTATGGCTTCATGAACCACGGCAGAGATTCCAAGTATACAAACTCGACATGTCTGTCTGGGGAAGGATTTCTCAAAACAGCTTGGACACCGCCACGCTCTTGCCCATGTCCTGTGAAGGAGCGCGATGCGTACAGTGGCGGTTCGATATTCGGGAGCAGAATTGCAGGTGATTGGTCAGGAAGAATGATATCAAAGTCTGTGTTCTCTTCGAGGATAAAACATCGAATGTTATCACCCCGACCGACTTCAGTCCCACCAGCGGAGACATAGATTGCACGTTGATCGGGGACGTTGGCGCAGACATTGATCGATTGAGATGTGGGGAGGGATGCTAGAGGGCAGGAACCGCGAATAGGGCGCCCAAACATCTCAGAGAGTGACCACGAGAGATCAGAAATGTCATCCAGGGGGAAACAGGAGTCGCTGCCAGAGTAAAACTTGTTGGGATCGCAGATCATTTGATCTAGGTGTGGTGGTCGTGGAATTACAGAATCTAAGGAGGTTAGATTTGATTTTTTGATACAAATCACTAGGAATGTGCTGTCACGAACCTTTTTTTCTCAATGATCGTTCAACATCGAGAACCATATCAACTGTTTGTACCATCTGCAGCTGACATTTCTCTACTCCATCTATTTCCTCACACACCGGTGTGACGTCGATACTCATACTCTGCCATTTTGCGTCAAACAGTTTATGCCCATCCAGTAAACTACTAATTCCTGCCTTTCCCTTACAAGGCAACAGCTTCAAAAACGGTGTTAAATTTTCCGTACAGACAGGTTCCCTTGGGAGCGTCCCATGGAGCAAATGCAATCTTTCCTTAATATCCTCAGCATGATGTCCATCCGGTTGAAAGCTCATTACCGGCCTGATCGTACGAGTACTGTCTATAAAGTTCAGAGACGCACAAAACAACCCAGACAGCGCATTATTGAGCGTAGTCCATCTTGCATCCGCCTCGGCGTCAGAACCAGCTTCTACCCACGCCCACAGCTCCACACCCGTACCACCAGCTGTTCGCCCGTCCCAGATCTGAGACCCCCAGCGCTCGGCGTCCCAGCGCCCTAATGTAAATTTAAGATGTAGTTCCTTCGTTTGTGAATGCTGGAGGATTTGTGCGAGGGAGCGAGGAAAGACAGAATGGTGACTATTGAAGGTGCCATTACTCACGAATCGGAATGATGCAAGCCTATTAAGAATCAAAAACCAATCAATCAATTTGATCTAATTTCGAAAGATGGAAGGAGACTTACACGGAGTTTCCCGGAAGTGTCCTCAGTAGTAAATTCTCATCGTAGGAGCTGTGTTCCTCTGCAGAAACCAGAGCGAGAGGTAGCAAAAGTAAACTCAGAAAAGAACCTGTCGACCACGGAAGTGTTGGTAATCGCATCTTTCTGAAAAACAGGTGCCAGATAGCTGCCACCAGAGAGTCGCGTAGAGCTTGTTCCAGTTGTTGTTCCGTGAACAGTCGAGGTAGGGTAACCACCTACATTACCCCCTGAGGCTTGAAGCGACGGTGTTTAAATTGATTGGTAGATATATACATAGCGCAACATCATGAAAAATCACGCGGTCGATCTATAGACGCAGTCTATTGATTTCAAAAGTACTGTTACCCTAAATACCCTACGAACGATATATATATATATATATGTTTGGTGGTAATAGCATGATTATATTCTGATAATACGACTGACTTTGAACTTGGCCCGGCCCTTCATCAGAAGGTGGGACTTAACCGGGCTAGTAGAACTCTATGACTATTAATGGTGACACAATATATTGATATACCTTTGGGTTCTTGCGATGAGCTACATAAATTAAACCCGTGATTTAGTACTAATGTAGGTCAAATAGGGTTGTTTAATCAAAGAAATACTTGCAGTACCTTTTTTTCTTTTTTTCTTTTTTTTTTACTCCGTGGTAAGAGCTCCGAGAGAAATAATACTCGAAGAGCTATTTCTGATTTTGTGATTTCTCTACAGGAAAGAGCCCGGTAGTCTCGCGTCAGACTACCAGGCTCTCAGGGTTAGGGTGCGTGTGCGGGTGGTTGGAAATGCCTGCCTGGGCTTGATGATTGGGGAGGCAGCTTAGTAGGGGGCAGGATATCCGAACCTTGGGATAACGATCCTCTAGTAAGATCTTTTAGTGAGGCAAGTAATGATTTTACACTTGGGTGACTAATGATGGGGGCAGCATATTCGCGACTGTCCAGCAACCATGGTGTTCGCAACCTATCATACGTAGTTGATGCCCTGCCAAATATATCCTCCTTCTGCTTCTTCCTCTTCATTTATCCTTCTTGGTCTCCGCTTTCCCTTCCGGATCCATAACCGAAGCCCACACCAGCGGATTCCTATTGTACATCGGCCATGGGGGCACAACCGCCAGAAAAGCGAGCGTAGTGCCACTCAGGCCAACGTAGACGGTATATTTAAGATCTGATAGGACCCAGCCTGCGATGAAGGCTAAGATCTGGTTTATATATTTGTTAGTAGATATACTAGCGGCGAGATTGTAGGGCAATGTACTCCTGTAAAGGCGATGATGGTGGTGGTTAGGGATTCAGCGAGATTTTGCCCTTCGAAATCCTTTTAATTTTGGGTGTGAGTAAAGTTCTTTCAGGTGATTAAATAGAGGTATGCACATACGATGAAACCATTAACGATGGTTTGAATTTGACTCATATTTTATTGAATAGTAGTTTTTTTTTTTTTTATGCGCGTGGAGTAGAGTTGTGTTTAGTGGTTTGAGAGCTGAGGTAGAGATGAGCTTGAACTATTGTTATTTTCGGAAGTTGCCGTGATGAATGCGGTTAGCGCACATCTAGAAAGGTTTCATTAGGCCGAGTGAGATATTATGACCGACATGTTTTATATACAACTGATATTCAAAAAATCAGGTTTAACCGCAGTTCAACCCACGCAAGGGATAATATTTCGAGGCCCAGTAAACTAACTTTAAACTGAAATACAGTACAGAGAAGTAAATAAAATAAAAAGAAGGGGGAAGACATTTTGTAAGGGAACGTGGGGATCCGTGTGTTATTAACCAAGTACAGTACTGTAGCTATGTGGCACTATGGTATTCAACAGAGAAGAAAAGAAGAAAAGAGCAAGCAGTAAGTACTACATAGTTAAGAGACTTTTGTCTATCTTAATATTATCGTTGTATCACAACGTTCATACTTAGGAATTTCCACAGTCGATCAATCATTCTTCATCCTGGTTATAGTATAATCTGATCTAGATGATCTGGAGCGCGGGGGGTGGTTCTATATATATATATATATATGGGGCGATATGCTCCACATGTTCTAAGGCGATTTTACCACTTTTATATAGCCATGGTACTACACGTATATGTTGTCATTATGATCTAATCAGTGCTCGTTTCGCTTTAGGCGTATCCAGCTCGCGGTGTTTGGGGTGCCATGGCCCATTTGGGTATTGTGTCGTGCTTCGATATTCAAAACGCCTAGCAAGCCGTACCCGGGGTTAGGTGACCCCACGGACCCTATTTACCGACTACGTAATACTGAAAAATGACGGAACTTATACTTGCCATGCTCCCCGTATCCCTTACTTATACCCTTCACTCCCTTCATTCCTCCACAACTAGCTTCCATTCCCCCACAATCAATTCAAACCCATTTATTTCAAACTAAATTCCATCTATCCACATCCAAAATCGATCTCATCTGAAAGTTATCGATATAAACGCTCTAACCGAGTAATTCTTCCCCATCCCTCTTGAGGTATCATGGTCTTACATGTTTTCTCACAGCTATTTATCGAGTTTAACAACAGCCATTTTCCAATCTTTTGGTTTCAACGCATACATCGAAAGCCACAATAACTCAACAGCCTTATAGTCTTTACTGATCTCTTTTTTTTCATTTTCCTTTTCACCATGCTCAAAAGAGTCCCGGGTTTCTTCAGGAAGAATGGATACATAGTCAAACGATTTTTCAGGATCAAATCAAAGAAGAAACAAATACTTAAAGGCGTTCAAACGGAGATAGGCCCAAGATACTTTTCGAAATGCAACGGCGCTCTAAAAAGCACATTCTCTACATATACGAAGATAAAACTCAACGTAAAGCCAGGAGCCGCTATCAAGTTTACATTCACCCCGAGAAGCTATCTCATGTTTCTTTCTAAGAACTATGTTGAGACTTTAAATGTACCGCCAGAGATTGTTAGCTCAGATTCAGCTTGGGTAATTTATCGCCATCTTTGCGGCCTTATCCACAAACACGAACAGACTATGGGTTTATTTGCGGAGTCATGGGAGAAAGAGACAGACATTTACCTCTGGATAAAGCCCTATGAGGAGCCAATAGTCGAACGTGATATGAATGGGGTATTACAACGCAGGATTCGGAAGGCGACGAAAAAGCCGAGTAGATTGAGGGGAAGAACTCTACTTGTGCAGTGGATGATGGAGAATAGCGATTGGCAAGAGCAACTTGTCCTACACTACTGGAACCTGCCGCGGGAGGGGACTCGAGGAGAGACTTTATTGCCATGGTTCACTTTAGAGGTTGAGTACAGGGAGGGGGCAAGAAAAAGGCTTTGCAATAAACACCACGAATACTTTTGTGCTATCGAGGCTGCTGAGGGGGGTTACGGGTGTTCTATGGTGGCAAACAGATCTATCAACAAAAGCATGAGCCGGAATCCACGGGCTTTGCAATTAGGTGGAGATTTAGAGATTGGGCTGGAATTGGCAGTCGAAACAACAACGGTTCCCAAAACATCTTTAACCGAAGATGGATCCTCCGGCTCGTTCAGCATAGAAGATCTAGACAGCTTATATACCTCTCGTGAACCAACTACTCCAGGAAGCGAAGAGTCTATCACGGACGACAATGCGATTCTTCTCGGGGACGGGCTTATGACCGGGTCAGGAAATGTTTCTGTCAAGTCTGTTGACATCAGACCAATTTCATGCGCTTCCATGTCTCCTCATATTGGAAAGATTGAGGAACATAAAGCCCCTGATATAGGGGTTGGAGAAGTTGTGTTTGGAGATGAAGGCGTATCGGTGTGATCTGGGTGGGGTTTAAAGGACATCAGGGCAGAGAGTTTTATTTCGGAAGGCTTTTTCTTGTGTTTTCAAGTATATCGAAAATCGGTGTTGTTGCAGGATTAATGCGCATAATTCTTTGATCTCCTTCTGTTTATGTTTTCCAATTTCTTTACTCACAGTTGAGTATAATTATAATGGTCTTTAGGTAGATGATGGAAGCAGTAAATAGTGAATGCTTGTCTTTTCTCTGTATTGAGATTTCACAATTCTCTACCTTGCATATGTGGGAGTTTTCTGTATCCTCTTAAGGCTGCAAATATTGTAAGTTTTAGCGCTCCTTTGGCACTTGTCCATACATGTAAGAGCGGAAGCGGCTTTTAGTTGAATTTGTCCAGTAGTGTTCCTAGAAACAGGGATATGAGATTCGAGTGATTATTTATGAGTAACACTTGATCACGGCTTTGGGTCTAGAATCTAGTCACCGAGTTGGTGATCTCGATGGGATCGATGGGATCAATGAGCACATGTGTCTCTTAATTAAGTTCCGGTGCTCACTCGAGATATATGCCTGTTCGGCTTGTAATTGGCTGGTAAGAGCGAGTCCGCTCTACATTGCTTACACCGGTTCCCCTTTCTCTAACTTGTTAATTAGTCGTACCGGGGGGTATTTCCGCCGAAATTTACTATGGTACAGTATGGAGGAAGCTGGAATCTTTGGGGGGTCGACAGTCAATAAAGTACCATGCAGAATACCTGAAAGGAAAAAAGAAAAGAAAATTCCTCTAAGGTTTGTAGCAACAGCATTTCTGCTCATCATAGCTGCAAAGTCGTCTCACTTCCCGTGTCTATGTCTCTGAACAAGTTTTCTACCGTACTGTAACCGTTTGCAAACGATATTGGTGCAAAACCTCAGGGAGGCAGGCCACAGGCAAACATGCCATGCACAAATTTTATGTCTCTTCGCTGACTCAGATGTATCATACCATCTTAATGGTATAAAACGGGTATCGACGGTCGTCATAAATGTTTACCGTCATATCATAAGAGACCGGCCGTGGGGGTATCGTGGGAAGACCAAGAGCGAAGGGCGCAACCCCTGTACTACATAGTACAAACATATGTACTGTACATACATACATGCAGCCACTCAATCGCAACGATGATTTTGAAGACACGGCCGGTAAAATGCGGTGCTTGGGAACAACCTGAAGCCTCCCGCTGTTTAAGGCTGTCGTTTTCGGCTTCTACCTATGGCCTATTGCCGGCCCCCCACATATCGATTTCTTATCTACGTGTGTGCGTAAGTAGTTATTTGGATTTAGACTAGCGCACGGTTCAGGTGGTGATCAATGTTTTTGTTTTTTTGTGGGGGCCGGGGGGTGGGCGCATTTCAAACATGGTTCCTTGCAGCGGGTTGTGGACGGTAGGGCACCGTGTAATGACCCCACGACCTGTAACGACCCAGCCGAGACCCAGCGTACAGATTGTAAAAAGTAATGACCCATATCCACTTCCAGGGTCGTATCATCAAGTTATAAGATACACCTGAGAAACCTCTGTATTATTCTTCCAGAATCGCCTTTCTTGGCACTGATACGACCTACATTATGACCGGCCGAAGACACGGTCCCATCAAAATCGTTATGACCCCGATCGACCCCAAAATGAATCGTTAGGACCCCCGGGACTCGTTACCAACACCGATGCAAAGTCCTTTTTTTTTTGCGGGTGGTGTGTGGGGTTAACAAAGGGACCTAGCAGGTAAACACATACATGTATGACGATAAGTCGAATACAGCATGTAGAGTAGGTGTACCCCACGAACCCAGCACGCTTAATCATATATGTACTTATCCTCGCTTGGACTACTATTTAAATATACAGCCTCGTGCAAGTTTATGCATTATATATATAGAGTAGATCATGCTAGCTCCCTACCAACCACAACTCAATATCAATATACCAATATACATAGCTAAACACTAGTCACTCGTCCGATCTTCAGAGTCCCTTTACTATATATATCATAGAAGATGAACTCCTCGAATTCTGGTCTACAAGAGTGGGAAAAGGACTTTACTCCCCGGGTCATCAAGGCTAAAGACTGGGAACCACAACGCGAAAACTTCACCAGATTATATTTTACCGATAAGTATAACCTAAACGATGTCAGGAGGATAATGGCAAAGGACTACAGGTTCTATGCGAGGTATAAATGCATTTGTGGCAATTCTTTATATATTTCGGTGTTAATGTTTCATTCTCAGGCCGAAGCAGTGTAAAGCTGCCATCGCCAAGTGGGGGCTTGGGAAGAATCTCAAGCGTATAAAGATGTTGAAAATGCTACGGATTCAGGACGATAGAAAACTAGCGGGGAAATCGACAGTCTTTCGATTCAAAGGCCAACGAGTGAAAAAAGAAACGCTTAAGCGCGGCCGGAAGAGATATAATGGAACAGGAGAGGCACCAGAATGGTATAAGCTACAGCCGCCAGTGTGTATGTTCAATCCTCATATTTTGCTGGGGTTATTATACGCGTTAATCTTGAAAATTTATCTAAAACATATTAGCTACCCCGTCAGATGTCGATTACTCCACTCCAAGGTCATCCAATAGTTCGGATGACTCCAGCTCCGGGTCGGAGGGAGGTGCACCAAGTCCCATAGTTTACAGCAAACCGTCTTCTCCTAGAGAGAATAGCATCGGTGGTGCTTCCCCAGATCAATTAAGTAGTATAGGAGATCTAGAATATTCCCCCACGATGTTTCTCTGGGTCAATCAAATAGTGCAGAAGAGACGTACCCCCGCCACAATTTATTCATTCAAGAATTCACGTCGTCTTTATCGTTCCCTAGCTTAGGGGAGCAAGAGTCTGCCAAAAGGCCCAATGATTCGGGTAATTATAGCGGGTCAGACCAAAAACCGGCGCTTCCGACTAAGTCGCTCGATACTCTTTCGGATCTCCCGACTACATGTGATATTACCCACGAACTCCTGGAATTCCCCGCAAGGGCGGCTTGGTTAGAATCGTCAGAACCGAAGTCGGAAGCAGCCCGGACGCTTTGTTTGGATTGTTTGATGGGTGGATTTACGATGTATTTACAGCCAGACTCCCGTATATAGAAGGTTTGTGTTCCTGTACTTGTTTCTAACGTTTTGAAAAAGCCATGGTACACTATCCGCAGAATCAATACTCTTTGAGGCCTTTGGTGATATATCGCCCAGTCAGAATAGCGATTATCAAATAAGTTCGAGTTGTACGAGTAGTTTCTGTCCTGCACGGTTTAGGATCAATCATCCGGAAACCCACTATTTTTCAACAAGTTTGTTTGTGGAGCAGGTCAGACCGGTTTATGTTTAGGCCGAGGGAAGTGATTTTCTTTTTACTATTTAGAAGAGAGGGCAGATTCCTACAATACGAAGTCTCCTTTTTACCTTTTTAGATAGAGAATGTAGACATATATTTGAGGTTACTGAGAATGTGTTCAAATTAATCGATAAATTACTAGCTTAGTTACTACATACTTACTGTTAAAATATTTTGTTCCCGCCCTACATAAATGTGTACAAAGTTTTGGATGTTTAGCCTTAACTTAGAATCATACTAGCTAGCAATTCTAAACATAGCCATGAATAACTTCCTCCAGATCATGAGCACTCCTATATTCATAATTTCTCTACTAGTATTATCAATAAATGAAGTGGCCACCTGCATCACTATCACCTATCCGTATCTACCAAATACGAGGGCTTCACAAACAGACGGAAGGGAACTGAATAAAGTTCACCTTTCCCTGGCCCTTCTCCGAGACGTTACTAATCACACCATTAGCTACACCTACGTGTATATTTAATGTTTTCACATCTATAACGAAAGAAAAAGAGACGACCGAAAGTCAAGTCCTCTCTGATAGTCTTCATTACTTAAAGTTAGACCTCTAGATCCACCAAAAAGGACCCGGATGAGATCATAAGATATCACTCAGGATCATCCACACAGTTCGTAAGGGCCAACCACCAGATGCCATGTTGTGGATTTCCAAAATTATTCTTTCAAGTGAGATTATCATGATTATAAAACTAAACCCTTCAAACAACAGAGAGCCCTAAACGAACAGCCTGTCGAGCCTGCGCAATCCGCGCGTGTTCTTCTTTGTGCGGGCAATTTTCGCACAGAGCCAAAAGTGTGACACCAAAAGAGTCCATCCCCGCATACCATTCTTCCACCAAGGCTGTATTTGGCGGCCAAGCATCTTGCATTCGAGGTAATCTTTGACCATTTAGTGCAGCAAGGTATCCCTCGTAGTCGTATTCCCATTTTGTACGGTCCATACCTTCCCATAGATGTCTTACGGTTGGAAGCGGAAGATCTGCCATCTCGTAGGAAGTTAGTGTTTCCAGTCCTCGGCTGAAGTGGAATGATGCATCGAGCATATATAGCGTGACTAATGTTCTATAGAGTAGGTAAAAGGTATTAGCAAGTACACTTCATTGTACAAGCAACCAAGGCATACCGTCGCTTCGATTCGGCGAGCACCCATTCTTCCCAGACTGGACGAGTGTTCTCCTGCTCTCCTTTCGCCATTAGGCCGCCAAGGCTTACATTGAACGCGATAGTCTAAACCCGACAATATTAATGAAGATTCTTGCCCATAGCTCTTAGTCCTCAAGGTGAGGATATGCTGCATACTTCAATCTGCATGAGGATTGATTTATCCATCATAGGATCGTTTTCAAAATACCGAACAATTCCATATACAACCGCGGCTTGTAACATAGACAACATCTCTACATCGTTACATGTCATATACTACGCATATAGGGATCAGTGGAGGCCCGAAAGTTCATCGTAAGCATGTTTCCTTACTTGTTGTAATATCCTATCATGTTCCTGTGCAATAGTTTTCATAACAAATTGCCTATTTTCCGCCCCCATAGTTTTGTACATCTGCACCAGGCCCTTACAATTCGCCAGCGCTTCTGTAATCTTCCCCGGTAGCATGGAGGACGGATGCACGAATGGTGGTAACATATTTCCTGCGACCATCATCTTTGGGTATGCTTTAAGGACCCGGTTCATGAAGTTAAACTTGTTAAAATAACTCTTTCTCATTTCTGCGGACTCGGTGCTAAGCCGGTGTCGCATATGGGTAAACGACTCGACGGAGACTAGTCGGGTAAGCTGGCCCGCCGTACGGAAGTGATTGCCGCACTCTGTGTGGGGACCGGGCTCACAAAGATTGGGCATGGAATTTGGATGGCCGTCTTCACATGACTGTGGGGTGCTTAAGGGCGTTTCCAGCCCTCCATTGTTTGTTGGTGTTTGTGCCCCTACAGGCACGAACATGGGTGACCAGTCTAACAGACTATTACTCATCTCTCCCCAGTCAACGACTCCAAGTGAAGCGAAATTCGACTCTTCGTTAGCATCTTCAACATGCTCATTATCTGTCGGAGCTGGTGTTGGAAGTGATATTTCTTCGCTAACAGTAGCGTTAGTAGTATTGGCGGTTTGAACTATGGGCGCTGGTTGTAGTGACACTGTGGGAGCTGGAGCTGGAGCCGGAGCGGGAGCTCCATGCATTGGCGGTGCGTAGTACTGGCATTCGAGACCCTTCGTTTTGCATCGAGTGCATGCCGGAGTCTTAAGATCACACCGTGTCTTCGCCTGTGTACAGAGAGCACAGCTCTTCTTTCGTGGTATTGTTCCTGTGAGCTGCTTTTGCCTGCATCGTCTAAGATGTCGGTCGCGAGAAGACCCTAGATGAAAGGTCAGCTAGCTATCGCGCAGTGGCAACCTCCCATCCTCATCGTGCAAGAGAAATAACAAACTCTGTTCGAATGACTTGCTGCATATTGAGCATTTGAAGCCTTCGTGCTCGCCAGTAGCCGATGCCGGGGCCGATGTAGTCGGCGCTGATTCCCAAAGTGCGTTCTGGGGCATCACGGAAGTGTAAGTATGCGGTATTAGTAGTAGCGGCAGTAGTATAGTAATGATGTAGCTCGATGCTGGCTTGATTGCAAGCTAGTAGGTAGTAGTGCTTCTCCGTACGTAAAAGCTTATGGAACTCCGGTGGCGAAGGGATTCCGACGTGTTTTATCTACTCTACTTTCTTCCGGACTCCGAGCAGGGGGAACTTGATATTGACTCACTTTATCTATTTGTATGCGTGTTACAGGCGTTACAGTTACTGATCTGAGCATTTATTAGGTATGAACGCATGATGTTCGGAATTTTTGGTTGCGGCCGCAATCCCTGGAGTGTGAATAGTGACACGGAGTTCCGTGTCTCCTTCACAGCGAGATTAATCGATCGGGAAATTGATCAACTCCCGGGCAATCCACAACCGTGAGATTCATTGATCTGGCACATACATGTACGCATCCACCTGACAATTCTGACATTTACAATATTTGATTAGTTGGCTGGCAGATCTATATAAGAGCCGGTTATTTTAGCTGTGTAGTATCTACACGAATATAAGTATAAGTAACCTCATGGTAGGTTTTTTTTTTTTTTTTTTTTTTTTTTTAAATCATGTAGTTTTATTGTTTCTAGGTACAAAACTCTGCATGCAGTCGTAGACTATGGCATAACCTCTCATGGTAGGTAGTACCTCCTATGATAGAATTTATTGAAACAATACAATCCTGATCAAAGCTGCATTCCTTCCTAAGAAAACTATACGAAAAAATGTCGTAAGCTTCGTATTCTAGCTATACCCCTTATAATACAGAGATACGGGTAAAGCGACATAGAATTCTGCGAGACTGCACCCCACCCTAGCACTGCAGTCGTGGACTATAAAGTGTGTCGACTGAATTCACTGAGATTCTGATTCTGATTCAAGTCGGTGATCTTCATGATTCAGAACACTGTACTATAGCCCAGGCAAACGACCTCACCCCTCCAGACTTAATTAAGGAAATATTAGAGTCAGTTCTAATTATTCATCTCTTTTTACCCAGGCATGCGTTTCTATATATATAACTACCTATTGTTTTAAGTCATTCCGGCCTCCTCTCCTTTTTGGCTGCTGCAGTATACAAGTGGTGATTGTCCAGTGTTCCGCTTGATCGATTGAGACGTGCAACTGGCTCCTAGTCTTGCCTCATGATAGCAGGCTCAAGCCCAGGAATCTGAACCTCCAATGATCGAGATTAGCCAGCTTAATTAAGACCAATTCTTACCAGGCTCAAGTCTGTTTTGACATTGCCAAGATTGGTATCCATATTTAGCCATGTATTTACTAACTTGAACCTAGATTTTGTGAGAGAATTTCACCTATTGTTAATCATGATTACACTGTGTGTATGTCCGGATAAAGATATGTATGCTCACCTATATCATAGACTGTCACTCGTAAATGGATATCAGATACGCTTGTCATGAGCTTGAGCTGGTAAAATGAGATGGGCAAGTTCGGCACCACAATAAGACAAGATCATAAGCCAAACCCATGCTTTAGACTTATATATACTGAACAGGTTGATGTGGAACATCATAATAATAATGGCGATGATAATAACAATTATCCAATCATGGTCATGGTTCGTATAGTACTAGTAGGAGCATTGCCCGCTGATGTAAATACCTGAAGTAAATAGGCTTCAAGTCTAAGGCGACACATGCTTACTTATATGATCACGCGCAGTTAGCTGTAGTCTATTCTACCCGATCCTTGAAACGCACGGAACCAGTGAGTTACATATAGATTAAATTGTATGTACGTATACGTGTATGCGCGCGCGCCTAGGTGTTACAAAACTACACTGGCGTATCCGTATTTTCCTGACGTTTGTGGACACAACTGCTATTGTATACCATAGAAAAACGCGCCGGCGCCAATTGCTAGTATTGTATGCAATATTGGCCCAGTTTACAATTGCAAGCTTCAGCAAAATACGAGTACTTGTAAATTCATGACGTTTCCGAACACGACTGCTGTTACATACCATACAAAAAAGCGCCAAATCCGCCTCTTTGTATGTCATGCAATACTGGTTGTGTTCAGAGATGCTATGAGATTACGAGTAGAGTACTCGCGCGTTAATTAAGCCCCGAGAATTCTTGGTAGCAAAACCTCTTAACGCGCGAGTATAATAGGTTTCATGTGCATACTACATGTATGTACGTTTAAAAGCACTAGTTACCCCTCCTTTAATTAGAACTACCTAATATACGTACACACATACATGTATATAAGAACCCCAGAGAAACAGCTTTGATAACAGTACCACGAATCCACACTTTCTTATTTATAAACCCCGTATTTTGATGAACACTGCAATGCAATCCCCATCAATTACTCCCGGAAGCTCAGTTCATAGTTCTGAATTTAGTTTGGGTAAGCTGTCTATGTGTATAAATCGCGTCAATTATAAAGCTCACACTAGAGGTTAAATACGTCCTAGCCAACGTCAGCACAGTACTAGCGACGCCTGGTCAGATCTCTCATACAAGATTAAACACTCTTCAAAATCATAAGACCTTTCGTCTTCTCGATGAAATCAACAAACTTCGCACATATCACCCCAACATTGCGCTGCGTTGTGCAGATACCCCGCCACATCCTCACCTCCTTGTTTACGGTGAATGCCAATTGGGGAAAAGAGCAGTCCTTGAAGCCATAACAGAAATATCATTTCCAGAGAACGATGTGAAATTCCCAATACATATTGTTTTCAACCGCGGACAAGAGGCAAAGCTCTCAGTAGAAATTATTCCTGTCGACAGTCATCCCGAGGATGAAAAGCTCAGAATCGCAAAGTTCAAGAAATATTTAGATTCTGAGAGTTTCAGAGACCTTCCTTCCTTGATCGAGTCGGCGGATGAATACATAGTTATAGATCCTGAGGGCGTTAGCGGTGATGTTCTTCGCATTGTTCTCACTGATCCTAATGGACCTGAACTCTCAATAATCAACCTTCCTTTGTCGAAAACGGCCTACAAGGACAACGAATACATACACAAAATCACGTCTGACCCAGGAACTACCATTCTCGCCGTAGTCACTGCCAAGGGCGATGATACAACACCCAAGTCTGCTCTCAGATTTGCAAGAGAGATGAACCCAGACGATACACGCATTCTAGGGGTCATCACATTAAACCCGGACGTGCTCGAATGTGGTGTGGAGCGGAGTGTTATCAAATTAGCAAAAAATGAGGATGAGTACCTTGAACTAGGTTGGCATGTCCTTATGAACGGAAAGGAACGAAACTTGAATTTCGAGGATCGATGCCTTCAGGAAAACTCGTTCTTCGAAACACATACCTGGGAAGAAGTTCCACGGAGCATATTGGGTATCTCAAGTCTGCGTTCAAAACTAAGCTCACTGATGTTTGGCCACATCAAAGCCGCCTCGTCTGATATTTACGAGAAAGGAGTTGGTGCACTTGAGGATTGTGAAACTCAGCTCCGGAATATGGGGAAGCGGCGATCGACTATAGCTGAGCAACGGGAATTCTTGTCTACGGTTAGCGATGATTTTGGACACTTATGTAGGGCCGCCCTCTGCGGAGTATACACAGACGACTTTTTCAGGGATGGAGCAAGCATTGAAAGAAAGCTCAAACGACTACGTGCGGTTATTCAAGATTTAAACGCTTCATTTGCTAAAGAGATGAAGTCACGAGGACATCTAAAGCAGATATTATCAGATCAAACGGAACATGGATCCGGATTGCAGCACGGGGGGCAGAAGGGGCTAGGATTCCCAGAAACTATCACTCGGAAAGAAGCTGCCTCATGGGTAAAGACTTTTTTATTTGATAGTCGTAGTCGCAACCTTCCAGGAACTTACAGCCTCCTCATTGTCAGCGAGCTTCTCAAAGAACAATCCAAACCATGGGAGGCTTTAGCTCAAAGCCACCTCGATAAAACGTGGAAAGTTTGCCGCAAATTTCTGCAAGTCTTATTCCAACACATCATATCAAAAACCGAAATTGTTGATTTAGTATTCTCACACCTGATTGACGAACAAATGCGTGCAAGATTTGTTCACGCTAGTGATGAACTAAAAAGGTTACTCGCCGAGAGATCATTACATGTACACATGATTACTTCGAATAATGAATTTCTAGAAAGGAGGAACGCTATTTTAAGTAAAAAAATAGAGAAGGATTGCAAACTCGCCATTCAAGCCAGCGAACCTTTTGGCTGGGCCAACGGACCGGTTACCTTGGAGCCAGACAAGTTTTGTGCTACACTTACTTCATTAATCTCAGAGGACTTGGGTTATAATATCGATAATGGTAATGATTATGATGGGATTTTGGATGAAATGAGTGCCTTTTACCAGGTATGCAGCCAAAGATAAAAATTTCCGTGCTTTCCTAATGAAATAACCTAACGGAAAGCCTTTTAGGTTTCCTTGAATGTATTCATACATAATGTAACCGTCCAAGTGATCGAGCGTCACCTACTCGACAAGCTCTGGGAAATTCTCTCACAATCCACTGTAGCACGCATTCCAGAAAGCCTAGTTGCCGATATTGCAGCAGAGTCGATAGACGACCGGTACCAGAGAAATCGGTTAGAAGTAAGGAAGAATGGCCTTCAAACATCCCTTGAAGCCTGTAGAGATGCGTTGTGTGGTAGTAGTATGTTATTTTTGACTTATTACTTGCACAGACAATGAATTGCAAGCTTACATGAGGGTCATAGGAAGCACATACATTACCGTCGGTAAACCTCAGAACTACTTTACATCCTTTATCGGTTCTGAGGATCTTGCGTCTCTCCTCGAAGACTTGCCCACTCAAGACGTGACTGCACTTGAGAACCCTTCGGGGGTAGAACCTGTTGGGACTGGAATTTCCGCTACACCAAATGATGTATCTAAGGGGGTGAAATTTGCTGGAGAAACGTCCCAAAGTCCAATTGTACCAGGAGGAGCAAACCTCGCAGCGGCTGGCACCAAACCAGCCATCAATCCTGGTGGGGGTCTGTTCGCCGGTGCCTCTTCCACAGCACTTTTCGGCAATCCTAACCAGGCCTCATCAATTGGCACCAAACCAGCCATCAATCCTAATAAAGGTCTATTCACCAGTGCCTCTTCCACAGCGTCTTCCAGCAATCCTAACCAGACCTCATCAATTGGCACCAAACCAGCCATCAATCCTAATGGGGGCCTATTCACCAGTACCTCTTCCCCAGCACCTTCCAGCAATCCTAACCAGACCTCATCAATTTTCACCAAACCAGCCATCAATACTAATGGGGGTCTATTCACCAGTACCTCTTCCCCAGCACCTTCCAGCAATCCTAACCAGACCTCATCAATTTTCACCAAACCAGCCATCAATACTAATGGGGGTCTATTCACCAGTACCTCTTCCCCAGCACCTTCCGGCAACCCTAACCAGGCCGCATCGATTGGCAGTAGCGCGTCTCGTAACACGTCTACTTCACCTATCGCACCCGGTTTTAGTAAACCAAGTAAACCAAGTACCGGTAAGTTCTTACACCAAGTAAAGCTACCCGAAAGTAGTACTTATGTAGCTCCTCTGATTTATATCTATTTAGTAGCTAACTATTAAGACTGCATAGTTACTAACAAGTCCTAAATTTCATCTAGTACCGTATTCATCAAAATTCTCGGGCAAAGAATTTGCAGAAGTGGATTGTAATGGGAGTTCGTGTGTTATAACTTTCTGTAGTATTTCATTTGTATGGCCCTATACGCGTCTTTCTCATGAGGAGATAAGACTGCTGGACTATCGGGCTGGGCATAGGTTCCCGGTGTAGATTGAGGTTTAAGACTAAATATATCGTTACTTGCAAGTGGTCTATATTATGTACGGAACACATCATTAGTTATTGGGAGTGTTGCCTAATAGATACATTAGTGTTATGAATAAATAACAGACATGTGGATCCGACGATCTAACTTTCTTGATCGACTTGCTTGACTACAATCTAGAGGATATGCCATAGTCCTTTATTCAGGTCAGTGAGACTCAAAATATGATTACATGTAGTAGGAAATTGCTCCCAGCTGCGGCTCGCACCCATAATTCCAACAATTGGCCTGCTAACCCATTCGAGTGACCAGCCATGCTGCGCTAACTGCCAATTCGTGCTTGGCATGCAGTGCTTGCTTTGCGAGAGCCGCAGCCCCAGGCAATCCTGATTCCTCACAATTGAGCGTCTACCAGCCGAAAGCCCGGGCCCTCCGGCGAAACTTCGAAACCCAGTATATTTTGATCTGAAGGGCGCACACCGATTAAGTAATTGAGATCCGCTTTTACAATATGGTGTCCTCCATTTGCGGCCGATCTCTCCTTCCGCGAAAAGCCCCGCAGCTGCTGCCCCTCCTCCAGCATCTCTCCTCGCGCCAGACAGCAACCGCTGGCCTGCTCCGGCCCCAACTCTTCCCGCAGCAGCTCGTACGGAATGCCAGCAAGAAAGCCTCCTCCTCCTCCGCTCCCAAGGCCGCCAAAAAGAAGACTCCCGATGCCGTGAAAAAGAAGCCCATATTAGCAGCAGCACCGCTCAAGATAGCGCCTCCCCTAGCAGCAGCACCAAAATACTTCTCACTCGCCGAGCAGCTGGGAAACTCGGGCAAAAAGAAAATCCTGCTCTACGCATGCAACAACCGCCTCTTTGTCGTTGGCTGCTACGGCCTCGCTGCGGGAATGATCGCTTGGAGCGTCTACACGTTCAAGACCAACATCGCAAACAGGCGCCCAGGCATCCCGGAATGGGTCGTAAAAACAACATATGTCAGCATCTCAATCATGATGGTGCTCGCCCTGGGCGTCGCATACTATCCAACTCGCCTCATTCAGGTCATTCATGCCCACCCTATCCCCGCAACTACGCGCTCCCCCGCCAGTGTCTCGATCACACTGCATCGCCGCCCAATCTTACCAACTCTCCCGATGAAGAAGATTGAGATTGCGTCGCCGGATCTTATCTCGCTGGGAGAGCCGCTGCAGTCAATTGGCGTGTTGAAGGCAGCGCCGGCGGCGGAGACCCAGGTGCAGGATACGAGGAATATGGTGACGAAGATTAAGCATGGAGTTACGGGCGCACCGTTTAAGGCGTTTGATTTCTTTAGGAGCGCGCTAAGCACAAGTGGGTTTGTGCTGCTGAGGGCGGAGGGAGAGGGGAAGTTTAGGTTGAGTAAGGACGGGTGGGTGTGGGAGAAGAGGGGTCTGGATTTGCTCTTTAAGCAGGCTAGGTAGGGGAGGGGGGTGAAAATGTAGATATCTGTATATATTTATATCTCGTAATTTGAGATATTTTAGGGAGCACTGTGGTGATTTCTGTAGATTGGGTAACAGTATGAGTACCAATCACTCCATGGGATGATGGTTGCAGTGGCGGTGCATGTAATATCACTCGGGTTCTGGCGGCGGCCCAGATGATTTCCTATGAGTACTTAGGTACTTGTACAACGACAAAGATTCTACCACAGAATCAATTGTGGCTTGTGTCGGAGAAAACAATCTCTATTTCAAAAGAAAGACTGTTCCTGTCCAGACACCCTTCATGTCATCTCCGAAGCTGTCTACGCGCGCTACAGTGCTAATTGTAGCAATTAACCTGTCTAGTAACGGGTATGTATCCCAGTAAAGCAAGCCGGGATACATGATACAATTAAATGAAGTAATCAATCAATCAATCAATCAATCAAAGCCGGGCTACATGTATCGGGATCAATCCAAACAGGGGACGTAAAGTCTCTCGGCATGCCGAGTACCAGTTCCAGTTCTAGCTAGCAACGCCGAGAAACCCGAAAACCCTTCAGAATTTTTTCAGCGCTTTTCCCAACACAGCACAGCACCTAAATAATCGAGGAGAAAAGCTGTGTCTACCGCCAAGCGCACGGTAACTCAAACAGCTTGCAAATTCCAACGGAGAAATAATTATCCTGTTTCGTAGATAAGGGTTTCCGGCCCTTCTAGAAAAGTTAGCGATTTTTTTGTTGGGTGAGGGAAGTTTCACCCTGGTCCAACGACAAAAAAACCACTCCGAGTGAAGTGAAGTCAGAAGCTGGCTGGCTGGATGGATGGATGGCTGGCTGGCGGAAGCGGGAACCACAATCAAAAAAGTTCAACGCCCACCACCACCACCACCACCACCCCCCCCCCCCAAACAACAACCTCTTCGAGCCGTCAACAACCTCCTGTTCCCTCAACACCGTTACTCGACAACGACGCCATATCCTCTTCCGTAAATCTCTAGTAATGTCTGCTTCGTTCCGTCGACTCTCAAACAGGCTAATTGGCACTGTTCCCAGTGCTCCATTACGGCGACAGGTTCTTACCAGAGGTATGGAGGTCCCCCTCTTAGCGCCGCCGCCACGACTTTAGGAATGTTCGCCTTGGGACAATTACAGCTATGGCTAACATTGTTATTATTCACAGGGATTCGAGCGACGGCTGCGAACAATGCCGCTTCGAACTTGAACATGCCTGCGCTGAGCCCGACCATGACTGAGGGCACTATTGGTAGCTGGAAGGTTAAGGAAGGTTGGTGGCTTCTCATCTATCTCTAGACAAAATTACTACATCGACAATAAGAGAGAGATTGGGACTAAGTACTGATCGAATTATGGGGTGAGTAGGTGATGAGTTTTCTGCGGGAGATGTCCTGTTGGAGATTGAGACCGATAAGGCTCAGATGGATGTCGAGGCCCAGGAAGATGGTATCATGGCTAAGATAATGGTATATTTACTTCACTATTTACATACCCGCCACACAGCTACTTATTGGGATTAGATCAATGCTGGAGCCAAGGCTGTTCAGGTCGGCACCCGTATCGCCGTCATCGCAGAGCAGGGTGATGATATCTCCGCCCTTGAGCTCCCCGCCGAGGACAATGCCGGCCCCGGACCCAAATCAGTCGACAAGAAATCAGCAAAGAAAGACACCACCTCGCCGCCGCCGGAAGACAGGCCAGCTAAGGTAGAGTCTTCAGCTTCCTCTACGCCCGACACAGCTCAGAACCACGCCACTCCCGTGACCCCCACCACGCCATCTCCATCAGTTGCGCACCTGCTCCGCACACATGGAGTCTCGAAGGAGGATGCTTCGCGAATTGCGGGGACTGGGCCAAAGGGAAGGTTATTGAAGGGAGATGTTCTGGCGTTCCTCGGAACAATTGAGAAGGGCTGGCCGAAGGAGCTGGGGAGCAGGATTGCGAAGGGCGGGAAGCTGGACTTGAGTAATATCAAGATTGCACCGCCGAAGAAGAAGGAGCCTGCCCCCAAGAAGGCTGTAGAGGAGAAGAAGAAGGTTGAGGTCCCTCGGGATAGTGAATTGAAGGTTGAGGTTTCATTCAGCGAGGTGTTGAAGGTGCAGAGCAAGCTTCAAGGTATATCTACGTCCTAGAACTTACTCTCCGAGATTGCGGAATATTGACGATATGAAATAGCAACCCTCGGTGTCCATCTCCCTCTTTCATCATTCATCACCAAAGCTACAGAGAAAGCCAACCAGAATCTCCCCGCCTCACCCCTTCCCCCCACTGCCGCCGAGCTCTTCGATGAGATTCTCGGTCTTCCCTCTTCCGGCACCCCCAAGACCTCCCGCGGGACTTTTACTCCCCAGATCACCGCACTCCCATCAGCCACATTTGTTGGCTCTGCGCCATCAGTGGAGCTTGATATAATCGATATCCTTGCCGGAACTACCGCACCCACCCCAGCCAAGAAAGCCCTCCCACCGCACTCTGGAATCGCTGCAACAGAGCCAAACGTCTTCAGCCTGGTTGTTCCAAGTATAGAGGAGGCGCGAGCAAAGGTGTTCTTAGAGAAAGTTAAGGGATACTTGGAGAAGGATCCTGGAAGCCTGGTATTGTAGATTCTAGGTTTACTGTAGGCCGATAGTTTGCATGGGTTGTCATTATCGCATGGCGGGGAGGGCTACTATTTAGTGCATATTTTTATATATCCTTTTTCTTAACTACTATGAATCGAGAGCTTGATAGAGGCTGGGGGTTGGTTTTGTACTGTTTGTTTTGAGCGCGGAAGAAAAAAGTACTGTGGGTGATGTATACTGGGAGTGATACATATAAATTCATTTTTCTTGTCTGCTTTTTTTTTTTTTTTTTTTTTTTTTTTCACTTTTAGATTGAACCTATGAAGTATGAAGTGTGGGATATTTGGGGGGGGGGGGGCTCTCCGGTCATTCTTACCCTTGCATACATATGGTCAACGGCCGGGTAAACCTTGTGGTCACCCACGTATTTTCCTTCCGGAAACTACATCATCCACCTTGCACATGGCAATTGACTCAAGTCCCTCTCGTTATGCTTATATCCTAACACGCGGTGTGTTAATCCCACTCGTATGCATGCATTCCCCCACTCGGCACAGCTTCCAAGGAGATGACGGATTAACCCCACGCCTATATAAGCTTACGTACGTACGGAGGTCAACATGCGTATATATGTATGCAGCCATGTCATCCTCGTGCAAGCAGTCCCGAGGGTATGAGTTGGGTGCATGCAGAAATTGGGTTTACTGGTGGTGCTGGTGACGGTTCTGATGTACATGTAGTTACTTGGTTTGGGGGGGGGGTAGAGATTTAGGAGTACATGTAGCTCTCAGCTGGAGAGAAAGAAAAAGAAGAAAAAGGGGGGGGGGGGGGGGGGGCTATTCACGCCATATGATATGCTTTATCGTGCCAGGGTGTACTCGCTGAGAGCTTGGTAGCTGGTATGATGTTGGAGGGAGGGTGTTGGGCCGTCATGGCCGTCATATGTGATCACTCGATGTTGACCTACAATGATGGTGGGATGACTGCCTGTCCTGGGCGCGTGTGGATCGAAAGGATGAGAACACATATAGTCGTCGCTGTAGGTTTCGGCACAGGGAGATGTACAAAGTTTATAACCCCTAAGTAACCTAACTTTTATCCTTCTTACGAGAATGACGCATGGTGCATGGCGCAGACGTTTTCACCGCAACGGGACAGAAATTTCTTCGAGTGATAATCCATGAAGCAGGCTAAAAAAAAAGTGCGTTGGACGGAAGAAGGCCGATGTCTTGATGATTGGTCGGTCTTCGAGTAGAAATTTCTGCGGAAGCTGATTAGAGACCTGAATAAGGTTCCTCTAATTGGAGGAGGGCTGAGATTTAATTCCTTTCATCCACACCTTCGAAATTCCCCAACCCAAAAGAATGCATTCGGTATGCTATGCTAGCTATAGACTGTCTACCATACTGTAAATAAGCGCCGATAGTATTCTCGCTGGTTGTGTACTCAGGTGCCTAGCTAGACATCGGGTTGGAATATGCATAATTTTGAAAGACTAGATAGATTCAGAAATAGGGACTGTGAGGGGTGTCGATACTGCGCACTCAGGCTTATCAGGCTAGGGTTATGTATAATTGGTCAAATTGTGTGCGCAGGTGTCTTCGAGACAGGTGACGACAGTTACCGTAATGGCTGAGCTATATATTGGAAGCAAGAGGCTCTTCATCTCTCCTTCCCTATATTGACAAATCATCAAGACAAGACAGACAGCAAGACAGACAGCCCAGGCCTTAGCTGCCCTTATAGGTCTGGGGCCACTGTAGCGGGACCCTTTTTCTTGGTCGGTCTTCTAAAGATGAGATTAGGGCTGTGTGTTTCTTACTCGATGACCAGGATGGGGTTGGACTGGAACCAACCACCAATCGCTTTGGATGATGTACCTACATAATGTCATTCACGGCGAAGACCCCGCGCTTGGTCACCTGCGCTCGCGGCGGGGCTGTCCCGGACCCGCGGAGAGCAAACATTGTTAATTTATCCTAGATAAGTAAAATAATTCACTCAAACCAAACAGAAGTACCTATTATACCTTGCAAAAAATCATAATACTCACAATTCTAGGCGTGTAAAAGCGCAACCTATCCCGGATCACCAACCATCACTCACCACCCCTCCACCACCAATCTAGATCTGCCCACCTCACTATGTTTTTTTTTGTGATTCCCGCGGATCGGGTCACTGGTTAATGCTATCGGAACGAATCGAGGAGCCATTAAAAAGAGGAACAAGAAAAAACAACGAAAAATGCCATGTAAATGCACTTCACTTCTCGCCCCTTTCTTTCCTTTTTCCCTTTCCTTTCTTTGGGCGGTACGGTAATCCTACGAACCGCGAGATTCCGAGGCTGCATACCCCGATATCTATCTACATATTCTATCTATCCACCGCGGCTGAACGTTCAAACGCCCCCATCTTTGGCCGGGGGATGGAAAAAGTAAGGTCTGGAGGGGAGAAAAAAAGAAAAAAAGAAAAGACGAGACGGGGAAAGACAAAAAGCTGTTTCTTGGTGTGAGGGAGCGAGAAAGCGAGTGAGTGGGCCCCTTCAAAGTTAAAAGTTATGGGACTGCTATTGTAATAACAAAAGTTACGAAGATATTACAAGGTCGGACGGTATTATCATAGGGGTATACCGGGTCAAGAAAGACCTCTAAGGTTCTGCAGCTGTGGCTGATAGATGGAAGGTCGGTTGGCTACATACCAATTATTATTGATGCCCACATCATGGTGCATCATAGCAGTAGTGACTTGAAGGTATGTATACTTTAGACTCTAGTGCCTACTATTACTTACGGTACGTAGACCCATCTCCGCCAGAATCGCCAGAATCAGTGGATCCTAGTAACATCGGTACCATGTGCCTTAGTCATGGTCCACAGCCACAACCACTCTGTAGTCCAGAGTCCAGACCCATGCGGCTCCGCAACCGTTGGTCCGTGCGTATTGCGGGGGAGGGGATGAGAGGGGCCCTCGGCAGCTTCCGAAAGGGTTCGTTTTAGAATTTTGATCTCTCCCGTTCCATCCATACATATCTCTTACCCCGGCCACCACCAAAACCGGAGGTAGAAGAGAAATGAGATTCGAAATATCAACCTGATACTCTTTCCCACCGTTTATGGAAAACTAAAGATTACCTGGTCTATCTACCCTGGTCACTCCCGGAGTATCGCGATTGAAAGATATGTGGGCCCGTAGGTACTGGTACATGATAGGAGGAGTTGGTCACATCCACCTAGGGGCCTTCTGAAACGTCCGTCTGCGTCGTGGAAAGGGCTTGAGGAAAGTGTTGAGATATCACAAGTCTCAATTAATCACTTCTACCTCACAGAAACACAGTTCAACCCCCATCACTCACCCCCTCCATCTACCAAACCGACTCATTCAAGAGATGTCCCGGATGAACGGGTAGATATCAATATGAGTAGGTACGATCCGATATGGGGCAGAATCTCCACACATTCATATCACAAAACCGCCCCAAAAGAAGCAATCCGAGAGCAAAAAAGAATCCGGGACAGACGGAGCGGCGGGGATGTTGTCGAACGGATCTCTTAACTTAAGAGAAATCGTAAAAGAGTGACACCGAAGAATAGAATGTTGGCATAAAAACACTGCATAAATGTACATACATGTAATGTGCAAAATGTAACTCCAGTCATACATTTTCTATTCGTTATCACAAGCTGTCATATCACCAGAGAGAGGCATTGCGCAACGCAACGCAACATCCATCCCATACTAACCTTCCCGGATACCTCCCCCCTACCTGGCCATGTAGCCATGGAAGAGGAGAAAAAAGAAAACAGGGGGGAAGAACGAAAAACATCGGAATCATAAATCGGAAATCGGAAATCGTGATCGTAAAACCAAAATAAAATAATCAAAACAGGAGTAATCTCTACACCGTGTCTAGGGTACATGTAGTCATTTCCCATTTCCACCTCTTCCCACCTTCCACTTCCCCCTCCACTCCCCCACCCACGTGCGTAAGTGACAGTCTGGAATCCGGCCGTTGGATGCGTAAGGACATGTATGTGCTCCCCACAATTAAATCGGGAGAAGTATCTATGTGGCTTGGTCATCGAAATCACATCGATATCGTGGGCGTGTTGGTTGGGGAAGCATATTGAAAGGTCACGAGGGGGGGCAGGAAAAAGCAGCCTTACAGACAGACAGGAGAAGAAAAAAGGTCAGCAAGGGGAAAAACCCCCTCTCCCGGGAGTTACTGTATGGAATTGTCAGGAACAACGAGTAGGTACAGGCACAACGATGTATAGTCTCGTGCCCAAGTTCCTCTCTCAGGTGCCCGCTACGATAAGGATATGATGGATGGGAAACGGGCCTAAGACGCAATGAGATAAATAAGACATGATCATCCGGGAGACTTAAGGGAACGTAAAAAAAACATGCATCTGGAACAACCGGGAAGGGGATGGGGGAACCACATGCTGAAAATAATTATGGACTTAAAAAGACATAAATTTTGATAACAAGACTTTCATACCCCGCCATCTAACCCCACTAGTACCAATCATCAAAAAAATACATACCGAAGCAACGCGAACCAACTACGTAAAAAAAGAATATAAAGTGTATTTGAGGAAAAGAAAAGTGTTAACCAGAAACAGGCATTAATCATGTAAAACGAACAGAAGCGTAATCATTCACAAAGGGTTTTCTCGCTCAAAACCTGCCATGAAAACGCAAAGCAGTGATTAAAACGAGAGGGAAACATTGAGTAGAGCACATGAATATTCCTTTCAACAGATTTGGTTTCCTTTGGCTTTTGTACTCGCCGCTCTGAAAATTTCCAGGACGCAGTTACATACCACAAGTCGCACCTGGAATCAGCTGCCCAACCATCTCACCTTTATCATGGCTGGTCCCCACATTGTCGCTGCACGTAGCTTTATCCACCGATATCATTTCATTTCTCAAACACAAACACAAAACACGACAGCAACCATTCATAGAAGAATAGGGTTCGTCAGGATCAAAAAAAAATATGGAGACCCCACTTCACCGTTTTGAACCTCAACTAATTCCTAGCCCCCTTTTCCTCTTGAATGTTTTTCTTTAAAATAAGAGAAGCCCCCCAATTAAAATCTCTAGCAAGCGTACCGGACCCCGCCCATCCAACACATTCTCAATATCACCGTAGACCTTTTACAGCCAACGCTGACGTTGATAAAGAAATTAAATGTTGATTCACTTCTTCTTCTGCTTCCTGGGGGGAGTAACCGGTCTGCCCGCACCCATGCCACCATATACGTACTTCTGCTTCTTCTCGGCGGGTTTCAAGATCTAGGTAACACAAGAATTAGAATCGAGACCAAGTGACAGGTCATAGCGGGTATTCTGCCAGGCATATGTATTTGAAAATTTTTTGAACACGTACCTGGAAGGAGCAAAGCAAGCTTTCGTCGACACTCATCATAGCTCCAGCGTTATCGAACTCGCCACAGTAATTGGGCGCTGAAAACAATGTGACGAGTTGTCTCTTGGAGAAGAACTCGTAGCCGTCTTCGACGACTTGATGCGCACGACAGATCAAATCCATGTCATGTTTCTGAAGGAATCGGGACACAACATCGGGACCAAAGGTGAATGAAACACCACGGTCGTTCTCGCTCCAGCCGGTTATATCCTTATCGGGATCTGACCATAAGAGATCGCAAAGGAGGCCGCAGTCGGGAATCTAGTTTTCAAGTAGAATAGTTAGATGACCAGATTTTTTAATATACGCTGCTCAACATGGAGGAGGATTACATCAGTAGGTCTCATAACCCTGCGAATTTGTTCCATGGAGTTAAGATCCGGAGACAATCCTCCATGCATGGTGAAAATCTTCTCGTCGATGATGGCAGCGATGGGAAGGCAGTTAAAGCAGTCGGTGAAGGTCTTCCATAGCTTGATATTGTATCGCCGCTTGCACTCGTCGTAGAATCCGTAGATACGATTGATTGAGGCACACTCGTGGTTACCGCGCAAAATGAAGAAATTTTCGGGGTACTTAATCTTGTATGCTAGAAGCAAGCAGATAGTTTCCAGAGATTGTTTGCCTCGATCGACATAATCACCGAGGAAGAGATAATTGGCTTCGGGGGGGAAGCCACCATACTCGAACAATCTTAGAAGGTCGTAGTATTGGCCGTGGATATCTCCACAGATCTGTATGTGAGAATCATATATCAGCAATTCACTGCCGAGACCCTATGGCCGCCGAAACCGGCATCATTAGGCGATAGTGCAGCATACCTTAATGGGTGCCTCTAGTTCAAGGAGAATGGGCTGTGAGATAAAAATCTCCCTGGCCTTTGTGCACAAGTAGCGAATTTCGGCCTCGAGCAGTTGAACCTGCTTTCCGGGGCGGCTACCACGGACCTCTAACAGTCTGTCGATGATAGAATCCAAGTCGACGTCGGCTTGATCCGCCATTGTTGCAAACGAGCGGGGTGGGGGAGTTTAAAAAAAAAAAAGAAAGGAAAAAAGGAAGGAAAGAAAGAGGCGAAGGGAAGAAGGTTTAAGGGAACAGGAACCGGGACTTGAGTCTGTTGGGAGCTCGGATCTGAGCACCCACGCGTTTCGGGTTAGCCTTAACTTTGTTCTTTTCGTTGACCCGATGCGCAAACGAATTTTGATAGCGATGGCGACGGTGGAGGGATAAACAATGGAGGGGATGTACATACCTGATTTTTATGAGGTTTCTGCAGGAAGAAGGGGTTCTTTGACGAGAGCGTCGTGCGCGGAGTGGCTTTGCGCTCTTTTGCAGCTGCTAGCGGGCAAATTTTCTTTGCAATACGCAGGGGCTATTGTTGATTGATGAAAAAACTTGGGGGAGGGGGCTGCTCAATCAGAAGAAAGACACGCAAGGACGATCTACACAGTCTTTGTCTCGCAGAATAGCAAGAATTTGTTATTTCGCTGTTGATAAGAAAACGCAAGTTTGAAGATGAATGATGATGGTGATTCTGATAGAAGATAGATGACTGATGGTGGATGGGGCTGTATGATTCAGATGGCCGTTAGAATGAAGGGTCAAGGACAGCAAGGCTGTGTTATGGTATGAAGTGTTTGAGGGACTGGATGCAGCGGGATGGTATGGTAACAAGAATCGGTAACGGGGAAGACAGGCACAACGATGGTAGCGGCGAAAAAAGTGAGGCGGTTTGTTAGGAGTACTGACGATGCGACAGAGAAAGCTAAGCAACAGAGGGATGCTTGAAGGTTTTGCGGGGACTGGTAGTGGAGAAGAAGGGTTGATTCACAGCGAAGAAGATCAGTGAATTGTTATGAGGAGAGATAGGTAGGCAGCAGAGTAGGTAAGTGGTTGTGGTTGTGGTGAAGTGGGATTGGGCGGTGGTGTGGGTTGGCTTTGACCGAGTAGTAGGGGGTGTGGACGGCGGAGAAATGGGATAGAGTAGGTAGAGAGAGGGCTAAAAAAAAAAAAAAAGGAAAAAGGAAAAACGGGGAAAAAGGAAATAAATATAATGATTAAAGCGGTTTTTGAGAAACGAACTTGATGGGATCAAGAAAAAGAATCACCCCCTCCTTGTACAACGCTCTCTACTTCACCAGAGTTCACCTCATTCCTAAATGTCCGTTTCTCTCTATGATTCACCGACTTCTGCTGAAGATGCACAGGATCCCTTCGTTGCCGCATCCACGCTCTGGTAACATCCTTTGTACGCTCTGGCACGGATAAAGATGTGGCCCAGATGGGGAAATCACTACGGAAAACTACAGGCAAGCACCGTTGCAGGCTCCACCCACGACCTTCTGCAAAAATGCAAATAAATAAAGATGCATAGAGAAAAATAATAAACAAGAGAGCATCTCTTTCCAACCAGCCGGACGGGTTTAAGAAACAGCTGTCGCTGGACCGTTCCGTTAGTCGCTTTTCGGTTGTCCCCCTTGTTTCTTTTTTTGGAACGAAGTCAATATCCACCTAAACGCTCTCAGATAAGCGTGCGCAATAAGCTCTCAGATCAGTACCGTAGCTGTTCCATAAAGCAGATATGTATCAAGCTTATAAAGTTGACCGTCGACGGGGCAATGGGTTCTAGAGAATTCAGGGGTTCTTGGGAGACAACAGCCCTGCATGGTGGCCATATTGTTACCAAGTGAATCTTTCGAGCAGATCTTCAAGTGTGCAAACAAATGGGAAATGGGACGAGCAAGAAAGGGAGAGCGCAGCAGATATATCGACACGCAAAGGAGTATACTTGTTCATCAAGGCAGTTATATTCGATCTATGTCTCTGTCCTTTTTAATCTATTGTCTATCCTGTGTTCATGGGCAATCAGCAACACCCAAACCAACTCAGATGGGACATGGAGGAACATTGAACGGTTAGGTTGGAGCAGGTCGCCGCAGTGGGCAAAAGAGAGCCTTCGCAAGGGAAGTAGAGTATATATATATATGTGTGTTCGTGAAATCGTTGGATACATGTATCTTTAAATGGCTCCTAAGTTAACTGCCGTTGCTGGCCTCCCTTAATCTTTGGACAGAGATGGATGGAGCCGATAGGAACACGGGAGGCAGCACACTGCTGCCCGCCTGCCTGTCTACTCTACAGTTCTGTCACTTCTGTGTGTGCTGTGGCTCTCAGTTCTCAAACGAAACCCCCACGCATCCCAGGTTAGGCATTCATATGCGGAGCACTGCTGCACAAAGAGAGGACTCAAATCTCTGTAAACTTCATTTCGTCCTTTGCAACCAGCTACATATGAGGAATTCTACACTCGCATTCTCCAGTGACTTTAAGTGGAATTTAAGATTGATGGTTATTAGTTTAAACAAGCAATATGCATGATAGGACAACCGAGAATAAGCGAGAGAATCAATGTCCATTCGTCAGTTTGCATGGTGGACTGTGGATTGTTGGTCATCATCAACATGGACAGACGTTGGTTTAGTAGTAGGTGGTTTGGGGTTCAAGAAAAGAAAGCACGCGACTGGACACATTCCACCTTCCTTCCGCCTTCCGTCTCCCTAGCCTGCTGGGGACGCCCGTTGGTCCCAGGGATCGTAAAGCCGAGAGCCTTGGCTAACCGATAACGATAACCTCCGCGCCTCTACAACGTCCCCACGTATGGCATAATCCCAGGTTCCCGGGTCTCTTCAATTATCGTGTCCCCTCTTTCAACACAGTATTTCTTCTCCCACTCCCCAATTCAAATTGTATCTCCCTGGTCTTATCTCATACACCCCCCAAACCAATCCTTGTTGCTTCCATTTTCATATCTTCGTGAAACATGACTTTTTTACTCCGTCGCTCTGTTACTGTGGGAGCTCGCGCTATCAGTGCTCCTCACAGCCAACTAAACTTTCACCGTAGTGGATACGCTACCCTTTCAACTGCCTCGCCCTACTTTAACAATGAGTCGAGTGGACCATCCGTGACGACTTCAATCCCTGGCCCTGTATCAAAGAAGGCAATTGATGAGCTAGACTCTGTTTTTGATACAAGAAGCTTAAACATGATTTGCGATTACGAGAAGAGTGTGGGGAATTATATCGCGGATTTGGACGGTAATGTGGGGTTTTACGTCTATGGCTAAATACATATATTTGCTAACCGGCCCTATGGATTCCTAGATGTTGTTGGACGTGTCAGTTCTCAATGCATCAAAATGTGCATTTTTGGTTTTTTGTTTTTCCCGGTTGGTTGACGTATCGATAGGTACTCCCAGATTGCGTCTATTCCGGTTGGCTACAACAACCCGCACCTTCACGCCACTGCCTCTTCTCCAGAGTCGATCAATTTCATAATTAATCGCCCAGCGCTCGGTAACTTCCCGCCTGGGAATTGGGCTTCCATCTTGAAAAGTGGAATCCTTTCGGTTGCCCCTAAAGGCTTAAATCAGGTCTTTACTGGTATGGCTGGATCAGATGCCATCGAGACATCGTATAAGGCTGCATTTATGTACAGACGCCGCATCGAGCGTGGTGAAGGTGTAGATTTTACTTCTCAGGAGATTGAGAGTGCAATGAAGAATCAATCTCCCGGATCCCCAGATCTTGCAATTATGAGCTTTAAGAAAGCATTCCACGGAAGGCTTTTCGGAAGTTTAAGTACTACTAGGAGCAAACCAATACACAAGCTCGATATTCCCGCGTTCGATTGGCCGCAGGCTTCTTTCCCGGTGTTGAAATACCCGTTAGAAGACAATGTTGAGGCAAACAAGGAGGAGGAGCAGCGCTGTCTTGCAGAGGTCGAGGACATCATAAAGACCTGGCGTTGTCCAATCGCGGCAGTTGTTATCGAACCCATCCAATCCGAGGGGGGTGACAACCATGCATCGCCGGTATTCTTTCAGGGTCTCCGGGACATCACCAAGAGACATGGTGTTCTTTTTATTGTTGATGAGGTCCAGACAGGTGTAGGTGCTACGGGTAAGTTCTGGGCCCATGAACATTGGGGACTTGATTCTCCACCTGATATGGTGACTTTCTCCAAGAAGGCACAAACTGCTGGGTACTATTTTGGCAACAGCCTGTTAAGGCCAAATATGCCTTATAGGCAGTTTAACACCTGGATGGGAGATCCAGTTAGAGCGATTCTCTTCCGCGGCATTATTGAGGAGATTCAGAGGTTGGATCTGGTCAAGAATACAGTAAGAAATGTCTTTGAACTCTTACAATTTCAAACTAATGGAAATTCATTGAAAATAGGCCGAGACAGGTGCCCATCTATACTCAGGCCTCAAAGAACTCGCCTCCAGGTACCCAGACAAAATCCAAAATCTTAGAGGGAAGGATCGCGGAACCTTCATCGCCTGGGATACCCCTGGTAGAGATGCTTTCTTGAAAAAGATGAAAACAGTTGGCGTCAATATCGGCGGGTCTGGAGAGTCAGCTGTGAGGCTGAGACCTATGCTGGTCTTCCAAAAGCATCATGGTATGTGGATTGATATACCAATCAATTTTGACCGAGTGCTGACATTCATTAACCACAGCCAATATGCTTCTCGAGAGGATTGAACAAGCTTATAAAGCTTGATGTTTTGTAATAATGCTTTGAAACCCCCAATGACTGAAGTTATGGTGTGATGATGGAAAGATGTTTCTCGTAGCGGCGTTTGTCATGATAACTCACGTAATATGTTTTGTTGATTTCAGTTCCTTCTTTTAAGGTACACACGTACTTATACCACCGTTATTTATTGTCTGAACTATTTTAAGTACATGTATTTACATACCCAAGCGCCATCACGATTTGGGCATATTTACTTGCATCAATGCTTTCATATATTATCACTCGGAAACTTGCATTAAGATTGGTGCAAGAAGTAGAAATTTTCACAAGTGCGGAATTACTCTAACCCTAACCCTTTGCTTGTTTTCAGCCTTCTGGTTCCGTTGCCACGTCATAGTTACAGTATCTCTGCTTTTCGTCCCATAAGTACGAATGTTCAGTCTAGAAGAAAGAGAGAAAAAAAAGCACATAGACGCACTAAACATGCGTACATGTATGCACATGTACGAATTGAGTAAAATAGAGTGCCTACTCCGTATGTTATGCATGTACGTTTTAATATGGATAGCGTATTTTCTTTCTTTCTCAGTGCTCTAGAGTATTAGAATGCTCATATTCTCTACTCTACCAGCTAGGTATCTAGACTCTGTGTGCGGTACACCCACAACCGAGTCATCTGTGGTACCGACGATCATCCAGCCACATACATGTAGTGCTGCATACTGTACTGGCCAGGGCATCCACATTCACATCAACACCCGCACTCCACACTCACACCCTCCAACCCTAAAACGAAACCATTCTCATCCGTAGTTATTCTCTACACACCACCCCATCATTTAGCTGGTACACACCCCATGCAATCCAAACACCTCCGGTCGGCATTTATTTCAAAACTGTCCGAATTAGACACAATATATCATCTTTCATAGATTCTCCTGCGTCTCCCGCAATTGCGTATTGAATCTGCCTTTTAACGGCGCACTGACCTTTAATCCGATAGAGAGTGATATCCTGGATCATGATCACTCATCAGGTGGGTTGGTGACAGGTGCATGCGTGCGGGAGCTGTAAGCTGTAACTCTGTTGTTGAAATGGGTTAGGGATGGCTTTCTGGGCGCTCCGGCTAAACTCTTTGTTTGTTCGCAGTTGCCCCGCAGCTTGGGATATCTCTCCCTCTCCTCTTCTGATATCGACTCATTTTTTTCGCTTGTGCTTTCTCTCTTTTGAAGCCACCAGAGCAGCACGTACTTCTGAGAAGATTGGTATTGGTTGAGCAAATGGAAGATTATTTCGACTGGACAGACCACCTGGTTCTTTTGTACTGTACGTGTGCTCTACGTACGTGTGCTGCATGGAACAATCTTTGGGACATGCACAATTTATCTGATATAGCACAGGATGCTGCTAAACGACCAATGTATTTGATTCGTGATGCAGTATCCATCCAATTGGGAGATGCGATGAAGGAGAAACTTCCTTCCTTCTTCTCCATCCTCCCCTTTTTCTACTCCTCATCACCTCTCCACCTGACCTTTTGTTAACATTCGATGTGTCATAAAAAGATGCTATGTACTGCTTTTTAGATGCAGTAATTACGCTGCATAAGCTCTGGAAGAAAGGTGTTCCGGCTTTGCCATACCGAGGATTTTATGGGTTGGAGGGCTTTATGAAACGCCCATTGATACCAATCGACCGAGGTTTAATAGATACATGTATATGCATGGAAGTATGCATAAACAAACGTCATATAGCCGTACAAAACATGTGCTGTAAGAGAGTTAGGGACGTCCGAGTGATTATGTATGACTCGATTGCTGGTTATGAGGGGGACTGAATCCACTGTGTTACAACCGGCTACCAACATGTGTGTATGTATGGTTTGTATTGATCTAAAATCTTGGTCAGCTTTACAACTTTGCAAAAATGTCTTTATTGATACATTATATCCATATGGAAACTTGGGTAACATCCGGAAAAGCTTGAGTATAGGACGTTTCCCGAAACTACAGGCAGTTAGTTGCCAATGGTTCCAAGATGCAGGTACAAGACAACGATTCAAAACTGCGCGGTTCCTAACGGTGAATATGCCTGCTCCGATCAATACAAGGTCAGCATACCTCCATACCGATATCCTAATGTGTCTCAGCAACCATCCACAACAAACAAACCCAGCATATCACAAAGATACATGTTTCTACATTACTAACAAAACCGTTGCGTAACGCTAAATATTTTTCCTAGACCTCTGAAAATTTTAAACGCTCGAAGCGCATAACTAGGTCGAGAATGCTGTATCGCGTGACGTGTAATTAACGCCCTGTGGCCTGTATTCAGAAGATACATGTATATAATATCAACATCTAGTTCAATGCACGTACGGTGAGTTACATATTTCGGGCATTTTTTAAAAAAAAACTCAGTAGAATTCAAAGAGAATCTGAAAAGAACGCGCCTGACCCTTCGCATAGGCTGTTCCTAATAATTTTTTGTCTCTCGATATGCTGTACCTACACATGTGATAGTATATAGTGCCTACATTACTTTAAGGCATATCCCCATCATGTCAGTTTTGTATTGTCGGTCTTATTCGCCGCTAGTTGAACTTTCTTCTTCGGATAAGGACTTGAAAACTTGTATCGCTTTCAGAGCACACCATACATTCTGCATGGCGGGAGCTGTCGCCACTCATAGTGTTTACATCTCATAAACGTAATTGTGACTTCCCACCGTACGTCCTGCGCAGCAGTTACAAAACCAAAAAAGAGAGATTGAGGTAATTCAGCGTATATATAACCTCGCCATTTTATCTTCAGTAAAAGCCACCCCGCGATCTCCCGGTGTGAGGCTTGAGCAGAGCAGCTTAACCACCCCAAACTCCGTTGTCTTGGTTACTGATGGAAGTTCTATATAAATGCAAGTACTTATATATACACATACATGTACTTATTCTACCAATTGGATTTCATGTATGATGTACATTTGAACGGGTGATCAATGATGATTTGGGACTACATGTAGCTGGACACCTGGTCTACCAAGGCCCAACAACGATATGAATGAAAGGTACATAACGTCTGGGGCTCCTAGAACTACAGCTTGCTTACCAGCAAAAGAACCAGAAAATGCGGTTGCTCAGGGCAAGGATAGTTTGTATGGAGTGGCGCCGTTCTCTCATACAAATAATCCTGTTTCCGTCACTTGCATTTTCTGGTTCTTTTGCTGGTAAGCAAGTACTCTTCAGAGACCCTTACTCAATCACACAAGGTAATCCATGTCCGAGGATTGGGCACACCAACACAAGAGCGGCTCTGCTGCAGTTTCAATAAGAAACTCTTGGCAGAGCCGATCTACTTTGTTAAGGTTGGATCTTCGAACAGGAGATCGATTCACATGCGTAACTCCATGGCCATATCCTTCAAATACATCTATACCTAGACACGTACATGTTTAGTAACCAAACATACGAGAAATATGGTTTGCTTGTATATACTCCGCCAAAGGTGGCATAGAATTGAAAGCATATAGACGTGTACATGTGTTAAAGCATATTCAGTCGATATGAGAGTACGTACTAGAGTCCAGAGCTCTTTAATTATAATCATTGACCTAGCACTCCGTAAAGTACATAATGTAGATGTAGCATATGCGGTAATTCCGATGCCCATCCCGCCAGATGTGATCATGCTATTCAACGATAAGAGCTCTTACTTGATCACATTAAACTACATATCTGCTTTGCTATGACTAAAAGAAACGTATCTGTTCATACAAGGTCTATCTGAATCCACCGCCCACCCCATAGATTTCTTCGCTACTCTAATCTAGGTAGTATAAGGAGGGGTTGCGCGGCCATATTCCTATTATTCTTGGTGGAGTACCTACTTGAGAAACTACGTCTATTTCCCAAGAGTCGTGGTCCGTGGAGTGACATTGAAGACGGGGATGTTGATACCTATATACGGCTGGCCTGCATATGCATACATGTATCTTCGGCAAAACTGCATCACTTTATCTGGAATGGGCAGACCCAGAAACAACAAAATCCTACATCTCTCCCCTGTCTACAGATTGCAGGCCAGATAAGAATTGTTAATAGAGGAAAGATTAGTATGAGATAGGGTATGTAGTTGCGCACGGTAAACGGTTGCAGTAACTAAACCGCCACAAATAGCATCGATTATCTATCTGTGCTCCACATGAATTTAGCCATTGAGATACTGATACCGCAAGGAGAATCTACGTCCAAGCGAAGGTCGTAGGTAGTTGTGGGATTGCGATGTATCAGATCATCGGTATCATAATATACTCCAGAGGAGGGTCCGGGAGGGGTCCAAATTCTCGTTTAAATTCTGCGAGAATTTAAAGATTTGGTTAGTATCGATACGCCAGATCAAATGCTTGCAGAACCTCACTAAATCGATTTCCATTTGCACTAAACATACTGGTGTGCACAAATACAGATTCACGGACGGGGAGCTGAGGTATGCACAAGCAATTAATAAACAACGCAACTGCCCCTCGGACAACATCCCGGGGTAAAATAACGCAAATAGAAATTGCCTTTTAATCTTATTCTTTTACTTGCGGGGGGAAGTGGAGGAGTTTGAAACAATGATATGGAAGCTTAAGGGGGAATCCTCTGAGGGTTGAGCAGACATACAAGATTACATGTATGTTATGAGGGTTAGGGCTAATATGGTATGGGTTAGGCTTAATTAAATCTTTTACAAGTTTTTTTGAGACGCCTGATTGCAATTGATATTAATACTAGTATATATATCTATAAATCTGTGCCAGCTTGACGATCGATAATAATTACATGTACTTGTAGACGTATTGTATCAGTGAACGCATCAAGCTAGTCTCATCGCCATCATTAATAAGTACATACAATATGTATACTGAATTAATACTTGAGCTCCGGCTCCTAGGAGTGCGGGTACATGGATTGATATGTATTCAACGGCCTAAAAACGGAAATTGGGTCTTATTATATATTGTAGTACGTCTGCCACTGTCTAGATTTCTGAAATAAGCGTATATATCAGAACACCTCACATCTCAGACTGGGCAGTTAATATCATGTGACCTCCAAAACGCTTGGCGGCGAGAGCGGCCCTCGGTGGATCCTGCTCCGTGTTCAGATTGAGGCGACGACATCTGGTTCCTGGCATCATCATCTGCAGCTCGGGTTTTGTATTTCGGCGCATTTACTATTATTTCAAGAACCAGCAGCTTACTGGTATAGCTGTTATCCTCGTACAAGCGAACATACCCCTGATTTGATTTAGGGAAAGCATAAGACAGTACAGTGGAACTTACTCAGACGTTGAAGAACTAATGGCGTCAACAGAGGATGGAAACAGGGAAGGGAAGAACGGGGAGGGACAGCCATCAGGAGACTCTAATGGCAATTTGCGAAGGTCTCTGGATAATGAGACGTCACCGCAGACGAGCGCTTTCCAGTCGGCTGTAGCAGCCTGGAGAAGTAAGCCTCTTATCTGATTGATGGAAGGTCGACTCTGACAGGACTGGGTGGACAGACATTGATCTCTCGACACTCCAAAAGTCTCTCGACACCACAGCAACTGACATAGTAAGTAGTCAGAAAGAAAACTTGGTTGAGCGTAAGGAGCTGGCACAAAAGACGAAGGAGTATAAAAAACTTGGTGATGAGGGTAAGAAAGAAGAGTGGAAAGGTCTGCTGAAATGTAAGTGAATTAAATAATCTTACTACAATTTAATTAATACAAAGTATTAATACGGTTACAGCGTATCAGACATTCATTGACCATCTAACAACTTCAAAAAAGGCCACTGAAAATGCCTTCCTTAATCTCTACCAATCTTTGTCCGAGGCGCCGGATCCGTATCCTCTTTTAGAGGCAACAATTGATTCACTCCTATCACTCTCCGATATGCAGGCATTAACGAGGGACAATACCTCGTTAAACTCCACAGTCACACGTCTCTCAAGCCAAATAGCAAACCTGGAAGCATCTATGGCTTCCAAAAACAAAGAAATCGAAAGGTTAAAGCATGAGAAAGATGAGGATGTGAAGAAGGCTGAGGATGTCTGGCGAGGTGTCATAGATGAAAAGACTAGGAATTGGGAGGGAAAAGAAAAAGCTCTCTTGGATAAGTTAGAGCATCAGGAAGGGGTTTTAAAGGAAATAAAGGCCAGCTATGAGGTGTCTCAGCGGATGGGACCTCGGAGTGCCGGCGGTGCTGAAGAAGATGGTTTGGCTAAAGAAAGGATGGCGGAATTTGAAATTCTTTCTCGTGACTTAGAGAGGACTACTTTGAGATTAGCGGAAGTGGAGGGACGGAATGAACAGCTAAGGCTTGAGCTGGCAAATGCCCAAAGCCAGGAAGGACATACCACTACTAGCAACGATAATGCCGAGAATGAAGAAGACCCATTGATAGCTAGGCTACAAGGGGAAAATGCCACCTTATTGAGGAGGTTTGAAAACATCAACGTTCAGGCAGGAAATGAAAAGAAGGAATGGGAAAGAAAAATAAGGGGGCTTGAGAGAGCTATTGATGGCTTGAAAAAGGATAAAGACATTCTAAAAGAGAAGATGGCGAAGTGGGGTGATTATGAAGAGGTGCGGAGAGAACTGGAAATATTAAAGGTTTGTGATCTAATTTACTTGCTAACGGCCAAAAGTCATGGAAATTATCATTCAAAAACTGGATGCTGACCCTTGATAGTCAATCGAATTTTCAACAGGAGATGATGAAGAAGATGGTGACGATTTCTTAGATTTCTCCAAGACTGGGACTGCAGATGGAGATGAGAGTGGAGGGAGGGCAAAGGGCGGAAAGGAAACATTGGAGCAAATGTTACTTGCAAGAAATAAGAAACTTGGAAGCGACCTAACAGTCTTGCGTGTTTCCCATGACGAACTCTCAAGCCGCCTAAAAAACCTTCAACAGACGTTAGATTCTACAACTTCTGAGCTTGTTTCGGCTCGCTCACTAAATGAAAAGCTGGAAAACGATCTTCTGAAATTTCAGCAAGAAACTCAGCATTCATCAGCTCTTTCTGTAGCTGGAACATACGTCTCGCGATACCCATCAGCCCAATCAATGGCACATGGGTCTTCGCGACGAATTTCTCCAACATCCTCCATAATTTCAGGTGTTATACCTCACTCCGCATCGCACGTCTCGTTAGCAGGTCTTCGTGCAGGTGAAAATGAAAGCTATGGTAGCGGAAGCGGCATCCTACCAATGGTTACAGCCCAGCGTGATAGATTCAAGCAGAAGAACCAACAGCTTGAAGATGATCTCTCCCGGGCCCATGGAACAATCTCAAACTTACGCCAAGAGGTGGCATCTTTACAGAAAGATAACCTCCAACTTTATGAGAAGACTCGATATATCTCCTCGTATTCACGTCAGCCAGTTACCGTCGGTGCTGCTGGCTCGAGTTCGGGATTTGGAGTAAATCCAAATGCAGCATCAACGTTGCGCTCATCCGACAACTCTGGGGGCTTTCAATCGATCGGTACAGACAGGCTTACGAGGCCAACATATCACCGTTTGAAGCATTTAGGGGAAGAGAGTCGGCAAGGGCGTTCCATCGCATGGGAGTGGTGGAACGCATCATATACTCGCTGACCAGAGTTGTACTTGCAAATAGAACAAGTAGGAATTTGTTTGCGGGGTACTGTGTTTTATTGCACCTACTCATGTTTTCAATGCTTTATTATGCTGGGACGGCAGAGGTGGAAAAGCATCTTACCGGAATGGCTGGAGATAGTATCGCAGCAAGTATGGCAGCGGCCGCGGGTGAAGCGGGTGGATTAGATCACGGGGATTGGCATCCTGAAGGCTTTGATGGGAAGTAAGGGATGTTGGGGTTTCTAATTTATTGCGAAATATCTAAAACACTAGAAGAAAGTTATTTTAATACGGGTTGCGGCATGGGCAATTAATGGACCACGCATGAAAATAGCAGCTTACCATGACCTGCCCCAAAGCTACATATCGAGTGAGACAGCATGATTCTCTTTACCGGTCCGTGCCTTGCCAAGACGGAACGGTCATCCAGGGTCAGGCCAGGCCCCTTCCATTCGTTTAATTTTAGTGCCCCAACGAAAAGTAGGACCGGGATGTGAACCCTACAGCCAGTGACGCAGTTACCAGTACTGTGCAGCTATCTCCGAGATCCAGTTCCTGTAAATTCCTCCTTCCTTTACTCTACCACTTCATACAACCTCAACACCATCGTCACTTGACAACCCAATGCCCTATCTGCTGTAAAGTAGATATCTATCACTTACTGTTTAAGTCAGGAAGAGAAGAAACAAGAAGTGAATCGGCTGCGTGATTTCATCAGTCTCGTGTTCGCTGGCCTAGCTTTCGCCACATGCCATCCCACTTTTCACAACCGTCCCACCAATAGCTAGAACAGAGGTCCTAAGTCAGGTTTCGTCTACGTTACCCCTCACAGGGACATAAATATACATTTATCGAATCTTTTCTTCCCATCTCTTCTCCTTTCGTACGAATAGACGAGAAAATATAGATATCATGGCATCATCTAACAAACATGAAGCCCTACCAGATGGTGACACAAGCTTTATCAACCCGGATGGTAAGTGTTATATCCCGCCACTAGACCGGAAATCCTGAAGGAACCAAGGGTCATTTTCTTAACAATATTTCTCATAACTACAGACCTCGCTGCCTTTGCTCGAGCTGTCCATGCCCCGGATGTCCCCGAAGACGATTTTATCACCGCTTTGAATGACTGGCGCCCTGTTCACCAACGTATCCGACGGAAGAAGACATCTGTAAAAAAACGACCAAGAAGAGGTAAAGACGAGACAAGGGAGGGGTTCGGTTATCAGGTTTTCAAATGGCCATTGTTGGGAGTCGTGTTTACTTGGATTGGAATATTATCGTAAGAGCCCCCTTCCGGATCACTGGTAGAGTCAGGTTGGAGGGGGTTTACTGACTTAAACGGCTCTTAGGATTCTTTATGTCTTAACTAGGTTCTATATCTCGCAGTATGAGTATTGGGTTACCTGGCGCGGGCGTCGCGAGAAACTACGGAAGAAGCTGCGGTCGACCAGTAACTACGAGGATTGGAAAATTGCTGCAAAGGAGCTGGATACGTATCTTGGTGCCGATTCTTGGAAATCTGATGAAGCATTTGCGTATTATGACTATAAGACCATCAAGAAAGCCACTACAGACATGTCCAAACTTCGAAAGCGGGCCGAGGATGAGGCCCAGAGGGGGGTAGCAGAGACGAATGGGGAAAGAGATGGGAAGAGCATATCAGTTGTCGATGAACTGAGAAATCTTGTAGAACTCTGCGTCAAGAGTAATTTTGGTGGCATTGAGAGCTTCAGGCTGTATTCACAAACATACTATGGAACAAAGGATAGAGTTCAAGAGTATGTTGAGGAGGGTATGGTAATCCTAGATCACTTAAAAGATATATGCAACTAACATTAGGTATAGTTGAAAAAAGCTTGAAGTTTCTTTTAGAAACAAGTTCTTTGGGTATGGACGACAAGAGATTGTTGTTTAAGCACTTATCTAGCAATTATGGCCGCACAGCCTTGTGTTTATCTGGAGGTGCTTCTTTTGCGTATGTCTATCCTCACCCTCCACATAATTTCAGACGCACATACTCACTCGAAATTCAGATACTACCATTTCGGGGTTGTCAAAGCTCACCTAGACGCCGATCTCTTACCTACAGTTATCACTGGTACTTCCGGCGGTGCATTGGTGGCTGCACTAGTATGCACAAGAACAGACGAGGAACTTAAAAAATTGCTAGTGCCAGCATTAGCGAACAAAATTACAGGTTGCCATGATGATACATGGACATGGTTCAAGCGCTGGTGGAAAACCGGTGCACGGTTTGACAGTGTTGACTGGGCAGAGAGATGTTGCTGGTTCACAAGAGGCAGTATGACTTTCAAAGAGGCGTACGAGCGTACAGGGAGGATACTCAATATCTCTTGCATCCCATCCGATCCGCACTCGCCATCGTTACTTCTCAATTACCTCACTGCCCCTGATTGCTGTATATTCTCCGCTGTCCTAGCCTCAGCTGCAGTCCCAGGAATACTGAATCCTGTTGTTCTGATGACTAAAACTAAGTCTGGTACCATCGCACCGTTCTCATTTGGCCATAAGTGGAAAGATGGCTCTCTTCGCACAGATATCCCGCTCAAGGCGCTGAATTCTCATTTTAATGTAAACTTCAGCGTCGTGAGCCAAGTAAACCCTCATGTCTCTGTATTCTTTTTTTCTTCTCGTGGATCCGTGGGTCGACCTGTCACACACCGCAGAGGAAAAGGGTGGAGAGGAGGTTTTCTTGGTAGTGCGATGGAACAATACCTCAAATTAGACATGGCAAAATGGCTCAAAGTGCTTCGTCATCTTGAACTACTGCCTAGGCCGTTGAGTCAAGATTGGAGTAGTGTATTCCTGCAGAAATTCGACGGGAATATTACCATCTGGCCAAAGACAAGCATCACTCAGCTCCGTTACATCTTGACTGACCCAACCGAGGAGCGATTGGAGAATATGCTGACCGTCGGACAAGGATGTACGTTCCCGAAACTAAAATTTGTTTCAAATAGGCTGCGGATAGAGAGGTTAGTGGATAAAGGACGGCAGATGACACGCAGCAAGAACGCCGAACCAGAGCAAAATATATTCTCAGCTGAGTTGCATAAGAATATGAATGGTAACAAACCTCAGAGGCGAAGCTTTCAAGGCGACTCTTTGCAATTACAAAGAAGAACACTTTCAGAAGGCGGGGAAGCCACTCAACATGCTGAAAGTCCAACTGCGCGGTTATCCTCGTGGTTTTCTAAGTGGAACGGCAGTACTGCCTCTTCCTCCGAGGATGGCCAACGTGACCTTGGGCCGAATGGAGCAAGGCCTCTTGGTGCCGGGGGAAGGAGAACCAGTTTTAGCGATACATTTAAAGAAATCGAGAACCAAGGGAGAGTGTTCTTTGATGATTCGGAGGAGTTTACCGGGAGTAGTGCTAGTACTACGAGCGAGGAAGAGACGGAAGACAGGGAAATGAAAGAGAAAGTTGGTGGGGAGACTGATGACGAGGAAGATGGCGGTGAAGAGGAAGAGAAGGCTGTAAGTGATGAGAGGTCAGGAACAGAGAAATTCCAGGCCGGTGCCATGGGAGGTGTAACAGGTGTTGCGCCCTAAACTCTTTGGATCTATTTCCTTTATCTGGTAGGCTTTGTATAGTTCAGAGTTTTTCTGCTTCTGTCTTCTCATTTGTTCTAGGAAGTTTGTTTTAAAGTACTTAACTTTGGCTAGGGAAGGTGTTATTGGAAATACCAATCGTTTGCAGTAAGGGTTTCTTTTGTATTCTGTTATATTTATTTGTTATGGGTTATTGTATTAGCCTTTAGTATTAGAACGAAATAAAGTAAAGAGATGTGAACATCCCCAGATAGAACTGAAGTGTTCAAGATGTAGAGCCACTGCCCGTACAATTTCTGCAATTGTGGGTAGCAAGGACCCGGGGTATTAAGTTCCGGCATAGCCAGTTACGACTGCAGTTGTACTTGACTTCTGGGCCTGGATTGTATGTTAATAAATAAATCCCGCTGGAAAATATTCCGATCTTAAGGGTAGATTAAACCCGGGGGTATTCTATATCTAATCCTTATCTGTGAAGGGTAGATTAAACCTTTGCTTGTGAAATAATCCTGGGGCATGATCATGGAACGGCATACATATTCATCACTCGTTGCCTTCTCCAGAAACATTGATCCTGACTCCATCCGCCGTAAACGTGTCTAACTCAGATCTCCTGTGAAATAAATCAGTTGGCTAATTAGAAACTTGTTTTTTTTTTAAAGGAATGTATGAATAAAACAAAACCGATAAATTCATGAGTTTAGTGAAAATATAAATCCAGAATTTGGGGCTAAACGCACAAGAAAAACTACAAAAAGGAAAATGCCTTTGATATGGCGAACAAAATTGACTGAACCCATTGATAATCACCACCCACATTTGCATCCTGCCCCGAATTTCCCACCAAGAGAAAACTTGAGAACCGAGAAAACCCGCTAGTTATAAAAAAAAAACATCTATTTGCAACCCCCCGAACCAACCACCGACGACCGAACCAATAAAATTTACGAAACCACACCACACCAATCCAAATGACAAAGATTTATAAATGAAAAATAATAAAAAAAAATAAAAGGAAAAGAAAGTATATACGCTTTATCACCACTTAATCTCTTCTGAAGCAGAAGAGATAAAAGTAGGATAAAGTATCCATAAGTACAAAGCAAATATGAGGCCGCTGCCAAGGGGGTTAAACTACAAATGTTTCCCTCCCACCTTCTAGGAAAGCATTATCATGAAGTTAGGGTCAAAAACGCTAACCAGAGGTTAGGGAACCAAAGAAGAGAATACCCAATCATACAATGTGAAAACTCAAGAAAAACGCCAACCAGTCGACAAGTGTTCAAGGACAAAAGGGTAAAAAGAAATATATATAAAAAAAGTAGTAAACCCATGAAAAGAGTAGCACAAAACCTAAAATGCTAAGTCGAAATCCGGATAAAAAGCCCAACTAAAAACGCAAAGAATAATGGACCCGTCCGAAAGAGGAAAATAAAAAAATGTGCCATAAAGGAAAGGACCCTAAAACCCGGTAAAGAAATAAGACGGGAACAAAGCCTTGAAGTAGCAGAAAGAGAAGAAACGAAAAGAAAAGAAGAAAAAACACCCTCCCATTCCCAGACAATCTAAACTTAAAAACAATGAAAACTTTTTCTCTTTTTTAACCCTAACCGTATGCTCCTATTCCCGAATGTGACCATGGCACTATGGCCAGCTATTGTTTCCAGAGGCGATTCTGGCACAACATCAGAAGTCGTTTCGACAACGGCTGTTTCCTGTACAGTTCCTGCCTTCTGCTCCCATAACTGATCGGTGTTTTGACCGATATCATCTGTTTCTTCTCCATCCTCTTTCCGACCATGTAGTCAGGCATCACTACTGTGATCCTTTCTCCTGCTCCTCCAGCTCTTGACCTTCTTGAAAAAACTCGAGGGGCGGCGCGCAACCGTATTCTCAATTACAACGTTTGTTGTAGCACCACAGCATCCTTTTGTGCATGAGTGATCACTCGAATCTCCAAGGTCGGGTGGAGATGATCTTGGCCTGTCTATGATGGCTGATTCGGTTGGCTTTTGTGCCGACAGATGTTCGGATGAATGCTGATAGGTTGGCCTTTTCTCGCCTGAAGGCTTGAGGGCATTGCCGTTGGTCGATAAGGGTTGATTTGGTTGCGTTACAACTACTTTGACTTTTGGCTGTTCAGCCGAGTCTGTTGACAAACATTGTTGTACTGATCTTTGCGAGTCTACCCGGGTTGGCACGCGGCTGTGAACATGATGTTCAGATTCCATGAGAACAGGCCCTAGTACGGATTGCTGGTGTGTCGTTGAGTTGTTCCTCAGCTTATCCACGCCAGTGTTTCCATTCCTGTTGCCATCTTCGTCTGGGGAGCTTCCCACCCCGGTAGTGAGAAACTGCTTAGATGAGCCATTTCCACTCAACCTGTTGTCCGAATTGGGGGCAAATGTTTCAATCTTCGCCGCCCATTTAGATTTATTTTCCTTCAACACATCTACGCTGAATTTCATTTCTGGTAGCACGTCTGACAATTGTTGAAATAATGGTACTGCAAACAAACTCATAAATCCCACCTGTGACTTTGCCAAAGCAAGCACTGATCCAGTAACTGGCGGGACAACGAGTGATGTAGGTATTTTGAGATCGGTTTCCATGGAGGCCTGTCTAGAAAATTCATCAATTAAGATGGTCGCCCATTGTGCAGAACATTCGTGAACGCGTGCCTTACACAGTCAGCAGTGCCACACAGAGGGTGAGTAAGACGATAAACTCACCACATTGCTAATATCTGCACATTTGATTAGGAGGGCACATATTAAGGTCTTATGCTCAGAGATTGTTTTCTTGTCCCAAGACTCGGAACTACCATCTTTCTCGAACATTTTCCTCATCTTATCCAGCTTTCCCATGTATTCGAAGTGAAGACCCATGTCCGTTGCTAGGATCATGTCAATCATTGCCTTTCTCAACTCCAAACATTTTGGCCAATATTTTCTCAAAACCTGAGAGAATGCTGCACAATGAAAAGACTCCAATACGGATTTGTCATTGTACACCTGCGCAAGTGGGGCCTTCAGGGTGACCAAAAACGCGTTATTGACGCCAGGATGACCTACATCATGGCCAATCGCAACTACAAGTAGAGTGAGAGCATCAAGAGGGGTGAGGGTGTTGCTCAGGGAATTTGGAGGCAAATAATTTCCGACACTAGGGTCATCAGGTGTGAACGAAGGCAGAGCCCTCAACTGTAGCAAGAAGTAGAAAACAGCCTGAAGAACGTCTACGACATGCCTAAAGTTATGGTAAGGAATTTTTGGATTGTACGAAGCTCGGCATGCGGTTAAGAAATCCATGATTCGCTCTAGAGATGTCATTATTTAGTGGGTGTATACTTAGCCCTCCCAGGAGAAATAACCTACCAGTAGGAAGTCGGAATTCGTGAACTTCTGGCATTTGCAGAGCGTGTTCGAACATTAGTAGGGCCGAGTAAACGAGTTCCTCGTCGCTGAAGTCGTGTGCAGAAAAGTTCCAGCTACTAATTGCTTGCTTGATCTCTTCAATCCGAGCGGGTAATATTTTCGGTTGACTAAGTAAGGTGAGCCAGCGGCCATGGACCAGATTATTGTTGAAGGACATACTTTCCGCGGTGAATAAACACCGTTTTCTTTGGTTTGCAGATATCCATCATTAACTCCGATACCCTATATAATGATCAGCGAATATATTCCCTATCAAGGTCCTAACGAGTTTGACAAACATTTTCTCCCTTAAATAAGCATATTCGCTTGTTTCCCGTGCAGATTTTTGCTCATCTGAGCGTTCATCCACACCAACCCATGAAACCTTTCTCGATTTTTGAATGTTTCTCCTAGCACGATGGCAATGCATATATAACGTCTTTGCCCTATCCTTGGGAAGAGGACTCGTTAAAACATCGACAGCTCCAAAGTCAATGCATTCTAACTCCCGTCCTTGAAAAATTGGTTCTTTTCCGTTGTTCCAATATTTCTGCCCATTGCTTTGTCCTGCGCTGCCAACCGAAGATTCAGGATTGGTCAAAAACACAATAGGCACAACCAACCCCGACATGCGCTTATTCTCCATCTCAACGCAGATAAATTTGAGAAGTGGAAGACCATAGAGTTTGTCACCAGGGCCAGCATCCACCCCAGAGTCGTGTCTTCCTTCATAACTATCAGTTTCTTCGCCAGCAGGTTGAGAGTCCCAGGGAATATCCAGCAAGACCAAAGTGGGCGATGGATCGTTCTTGTCCACCTCAGAAAGTAATGATATGCATGAAGGACCAGATACACAGATAGAAACTATTTTAAGAAATCCGGTTAACAAAACTGGCATAGTGATAGATACCAAGTAAATTGAATAGGGAAGAAACATACCGGAGTTGAAGACTGAGAGTAGGCATTGTAAGTTCTGGATCACTTCCTCGTGTTCATCTTGAATTCCATCACTTCCGTCGTAAGACTCAGGCCCAGAGGAGATTGGTGATGGCAGCGAATCTTCTCGGGGTTGTATTCTATCCTGTCGGGCCCGACGATCAACATAGACAACGTTATATTCAGTTGGATACGACACCATGGCGGACGATGCGACAGTAAGGAATGGCCGCCGGCGCAGTTAGAGACTGGAACTAAAGTCTGACTGGCCACTTCTCGTTCCTGTATACAAGGCCTCGGAGCACGCAATAATCACAATGCGTGGCTACAACAATGGGCAAGTGTCAAGGCGGTAAGAAAGGAACGGATGCCGCACACAGCGAGCGGCAGAAAGGGAATAGGATCTATGATGGAGCGACCGCAGTAATATATTCGCTCAAGGGAACAGGGAATAGATGATGACAGGAGATGGTGGATGAGAGCAGTAGGATGGGAAGCAACAGGATGAAGTTGAAGCAGGAAGGGGGAGGATAGGAAAGGGATCTGATGCAGCGAGGAGAGAGCTGGCTGGCTGACTGGTCGTCAATTGGAGACACCACCAGAGACAAGAGCAGAAGCGAGACGTTTGTGGGTTGTGGGCCCAAGGTCAATGCGCAACAACAGACAGACAGACGAGGGAGAGACGGGAGACTCGAGAAATCGAAAAGTCGAACGGCGGGGGGACCAGGGAGCAGGGAGAGGAGGGAGCCAGGAGCCAGGAACTAGGAGGTATTATTACTAGAGTCTAGTAGTGGGAGGCAGCAAAGGCAGCAACAAAAAAGGCAGAAGTAACAACCGCGAGACTCGAGACTCGGAAAAGGACTGTCCGCCAAGTTGATACCCGGTTAGATGAATTTGGTTTTTTTTTATTTGGGTTGGGGTTAGGAGGGGTGTTGTGGGTTCACTCGTTCGTTGGTTGGCTTATGGCTATGTGCTACTGTAGTTAGTACCTAGTGGGTAGCGGTGGGTTGTGGTAGTAAGAAGGGGATAAACAATCGGATGCAAATCCCCCAGGGTAGTGGCAGGCCGTGTGGTGGGATGTATGTATGTAGTAGTAGTAATAGTAGTAGTAGTAGTAGTAATTACTTTGTGTGTGTTGTGGGCATGGGCGTGGTGGGCATGGGCGTGAGCGTGGAGGTTATGGATTGCAGCAGCAGCAGCAGCAACAGTGGCAGTGGCACTGGGAGTGGCAGTATCGGTGGCAGCAGCTGTGTTAAAAGTCACAGTAACAAGGCAAGCAAGCAGGCAGCACGACGTCCGAGGAAAGAGGCAGCACTAGCACCAGCACCAGCAGCAACCAACCAACTAGGTGTGGGTGTGTCGGGGCGACTTTACATAGGGGGGGGGGGAATGGAAGGGGAATGGAAGGGTGGGAAGGAAGGGGAGACAGAAACTGGGAGGGATGTTCGCTGTGTGGTGACGATGGTTGGCTGGAAGGGCGGTTTGGGGAAGGGGCAGCGCGAGTGGGAAATGGAAGATCGCGAATTCTTCTGGAAGCCCGGAAGGAGAGGTGGGTGTTGCAACCAGAAGCTTATGCATGCTTGCCCCCGATCGACGGCGAACGGCCAGAGATCTTGACAGCGGCCAACGACAACAACAGCAACACAGCAACAACAACGACGACGACAGCAACGACAACGAACGTGAACGCCAACGTCAACGACAGCGAAATGGCAGGAAATACAGATCGTACCAAGTGTATGTCTTCCTCGATGTTTAACCTCTCTCTGCCTCTGCCTCTTCCTCTCTCTACCCCTACCAATTCTCTTCCGACATTATCAGTACATGTATGTACTAGTATGTGCAGTCGAACCCCCAACCGGTTAATTCCTTTTTCAACCCTCCTCTCAAACGGAGATATGTACATGATGTATACATTTTAAAACTTGGTCTCACTTACATCCAGTAGTACATACCCTTCTTTTACAGAGGAACTACATACAACTCATAACCCAAGTCACTCTATCCCTTAAACCACAGTACTCTAAACATCAGCGGCGAAGACAACCCAGTTGCGGCCATCAATAGAAACAAACAGGTCGCTAACTTGTTCCTACCATTGCCGCGTGTATCTATCCTTTCCAGAGGATACCTACATCAATCATGTTTCCACTTCCCTGTAGGTTACTACTCTAGAGGAGCAACCCCGCGCTACCCAATCAGCGCCCGGGCCGTTTCGCAACACTTGTAACATCCCCGTAGCTGCGGCGCCAATCGCTCACAAAATCAAGAGATGCAGGTTCCTGCATGCCCGTCAACTTAGACCAATGGTTTACAATTATGACGGGGCTGCCTGCCTGTGACCACTCAGCCGCGCCGCCCCAACGCCCACCGAACGAAATTCTCCTTCCCTGAACCCTGTAGATGCGAGTACTGATCCAATTTTCGGCCTGTCTAGGATGATGTCTCTCTGTCTCTCACTTTGACTCTTTCTCCCACAGTAAGAGAACAAGATATATCTACCTAGAAGGAAGTACATTGTACAACGTGGGGGCAGGAAAGAAAGGAAGGAAAGAATGAAATAGGAGGGCAGGAAGAGCGGAAGGAAGATGAAAAGAGAGGCCAAAAGAAGGCCGACAAAAAAAATACATCTATGTCGCTGGGTAACGTCATCCTTCTAGAAAACCCTCGAGAATAGAGAAGAAGCACAAGTACAAGTACCTAAATGGGCGTTTGGGCGCTCGAAAGCTTGTTTTTATATTCACTCATAACACCTTCAGGCTCCAACAGACCTTCAATTCGCTAGAAAGACCCTCCAGTCTCGACCACCCCCCCCCCCCCTCTCCATCCGTCGTGACGTGATGAATGGTACCTATCCGGCTGTGACTACCCGTTATCTCGAAGCCCCTATATGGGAAATCTTCCAGAACAGCGTACTGGGCGTAGTGGGCGTTTAACTCCCCAGATCCAAGACATGGAGCTTCTTATCCCAAACAGACTACTCTAAACATCGGCGTAGGTGGCTTCGGGCTGCGCCCCTAGGGGCGGGCTGAACTGGACCTTCTTCTCCGTGCATATGTATTTAACTTTTCTTTACTTTTTTCTTTTCCTTTTTTTCCTTTTCTCCTTTGGAGTCTAGCCGGCGGGATTAATGGAAGAGGGAGGGGGGACCCGGGAGCTTCTCTTGCCTTCTAGAATTCGATCAAAACAGGTCTCGAAGTGTTTGCCGATGTGATCTCCCCCACTGGAGGTCACCGTATGTACTCTAGAGTACTTTATGTAACTTGCTGCACACCATAATCAAATCTCCGAGCTCTAGAGTAGATTTCGCCTTCACACATATACATATTCGCTAAACAAACCCTCTCGTCCAATCGATACATGTCGTTATGGAAATAGATGCAGTCCTTCCTTTTCAAGGTCAAGTCATCTTTTTCCTTGCGCCATGGCCCGAGGTTCTCTCCGTTTCTAGGACAGGGCCTGTTTCTGTTTTTACTCTCGCGGCCGAACTCGTTGTTTCCTAACGCTTGTTTGTGATCTTCGATACTATACTAAAATCTCGTAAGTGTAGCTAGAGACTTAACCTAACCAGGTCACTGTATTCGGCGACCCCGAGATCTTAGGGTGTTTTATCATGGCCCTTCCTTCCTACTTTCCCCTCCCCCTTGCCTCCACCCCTCCAACGAAAAAAATAAAAGAAAACTGATCGAAAAGTAAAAACACAAACAGATCCATAAAATTTAGGCTGAGGTTATTTCATATATGCAGTTACTAAACTTTACCCGTTAAATGAGTCCGAAAAAGGAACAAAGCGGCGAGATTTTACCGCCTGGCCGACATAAAAAAAACCCTCTTCCCATGGCCAGCGGCATGTAGGTATGTAAGATGATCTAAAAAGATCACCCAAAGGTACTTGTAGCAAGGACAAGTGCATAAGCCGCAATGATACTGCATATATGTACCCGATTTATATGATACAATTTAAGCACACACAGATTCGTTTACCTTTAGGGTAATTAATGGTCATCACTTGCAACGTGTGCTTACTTTAACGTACATTCAACACTTTGAGATATCTCCAGAGTAGTAGGCACTCGGTCCGAATATCCGGCTAAGAGCTTCAGTGAAAAGAACGCATGTAACTACATGTACTCTACATGTATGTACCTAGATGTCTTCCACGTGCGTGCGCGCTCTATATAATTAGGTCTTCCAGCATTAAATAAAGGAACCAAGAACCTAAGAAAGGGACCCGTAACGGTAAGCTAAACAAATAACTGTCAAAGAACTAGATGCATATAGATAAGCTGACCACTTTTCCATCCTGGGAATCCTCAGGCCTGACGTTAACGTACGGCGCTCATGCAAGATGTAGCTTAGATGGTCTTCGGAAGTATCCATAGATAACTGGAGAACCGGTAACCCGGATCTGTCGCTGTCTCAATATTCTAAATAACCAACATTTTAGGAAATAATCCTCAAGGCACCTACATTTTTTTTTACAAAGGCTAGGAGCCTCTAGGGCCCCAAGTATTAGGTTGACCAACCAAAATATCTTCCTTGAGCTCTGACACCTCATTTGATCCCCCTCACCCCATTCTTGGTATGTAGTAGTGCTGATGTGCGCCTTCCGCCTCATGTTTCCTATTCTTTGGTTTTTTTCCCCACCTCCTCTACTCTCCTCTTCTTTGAAATTGTCTTCAATGTCAGATGGTATTGCCACCGCGTCATTATCCCGCACTCCGCCCAGAGTTGAAACGCGGGTTGATTTTCAGAGGGCTCTGGAGCATCGATAAAAAATATTGCCTAGACGGATGGGTGGGCGAGCTGGTTAGATCAACTAGCGGCTCCCCAGAGAACAAAGCGGGGGCTTCTGGCCGGCCGGATCAAGTCGTGGAGAGAGAAAAAAATTCTCACGAAAGCCATGTTTGAGCTACGAATTGTTATCGCCGACGGCCTATACGCTCCGCGACCGCTTACGCCGCTGGAAGATCATTGTGACAAATGAGTAACTTCGAATCGATGTCTGGCCTACAGAGCACCAAAAATAGGTTTTTATATATTCAAGTTATTAGATCTATAGAAATGCCCAATTGGAGAAAGGGCATAAAGCTTAATCGATACTGTGACGGGAACTTGGAAGAAGCAATACTTAAACCCAGTTTGATGAGGATACGGAAGGAAAGTCGTAATCAGAGACTTGCACGTCACGATCTCTGTGCAGCTGCCTGCCAGGACCAACTCACAGCTATTGAGCAATACTACAGACATACAATACGGACACTCTATATATCTGCCCTGTTTGATAATTGACACTCCGCGAACGGAAAACGAATGAGGCTCCAAATAAGCATACTCTTTTTACGACTGCATCACCCAATCTAATACACTCCGCTCCACTCTACTCAACTGCCGCTCTGGTACCTCCTCGCACACACGATCTCAACAGCCCACGGTCTAAAGGTCTTACGCTCTGGGTGGCTTGCATACGGGTCTTCGGGGATGTAGCTCTATTTGGATAATTCCCGGAGGAATACCTGCCTTGGTAGATAATAACTGCGCACCAATTTCTAATTTCTGGTAGCGATCAGTCCGATATCTCACCTCACCTCTGGAGAGTTTCTTTGAGTAGGCAGACATGTTACTCAAACCCTAACCCCGAAACAGAAGCGGCCTCCAATTAGTATTGCGGCTTGCTCCTTCAAAAAGCTATGCGTGTGCGCTACTGGTTCCGAGATCCGTCTCTTAGGAAGGACAATTTCGCGGATGTAACTCTCGGTAACTGACTGAGCGTAGTAAACGGGATGGATTTCCTTTTTGACCTGGGTTTCGGTACCCCGAATTTTTGGTTCTGGCCGATTTAGTCTGAAGTTACAGAAGTTACATCTTTCATAAGAGAGGTAACATCTTCTCCTGGGATCCACTAATAGGAGCTTTGACCTCGCAGATTTTTGTTCGCTTCTTCTGCGGCGGTGTCGTCGGATATAGCTATATATATGCAGGCATATATAAGGCCGTTTGATTTTGTCTCGGGTCAAGTAATATTATCAAGTGCTGGGGAAATCTCAAAGGGGATAGCTGTCGGAAGGAGTACTGCGGTAGCTACTACTACGAAGCAAACCCTTGGCATGGTTTTCCAAACAAGAATAAAAGGACTGCCATCGTAGGTACGATCGACCTAGGTCTTACTCTACTCTCACCGCAGTTTTACAACCCTGTGTAACAACTAGGCACGCAGTCGAGATATAAACAAGTTACCATGTATGTCTCCGCATCGGCCAGATGCGAATCCTGATCTGGCATGTTTGGTGCGGGGAAAGGCATTCAAAAACGAGCTTGAAACAAGAAACTCCGTCAAATCAACTGCAAAGTTTTCACTGGATCACACTGACCGGGTATTCATTCCTCAACGTTGATGTAAGGTCGCCATTTATTACTTGCTCGCCTCGAAATACCCTTGCGTTTTCCTTTTTATGTCTGAGTTTTGTTAAAATCTAAAAAGTCTTTCATTGCACCCGTCATCACTCATATACCGTTGCAGGTAACATACATATGTACCTACAACTAGGTGCTCTAAATCTAAGTAGAACGGGCCTTCCAATATATTTATTTACTCGGGGCAGGCAATAAGAACCTGAAAATGCAAGCTGCAAGCAGGTGCTCAATTTGGTGTAGCTTTTCGCCAGCCGCGAATCAGAGGTTGTTACCATCAAAAGTCATTTTCAGGTTCTTCTTACCTGCCCCGAGTACATGTATCTACCTAGTATCCACATCTGCATACTGAAAATGAATGGAACTTACCGCTGCAACATACTGCACAGTCGACACTATGGTCCGTTCGTTTGAAACCACCATCATGGCAGGTTCCGAGCAAAGTGCTATAATCAAATCTTGTACCACCTCAAACCCCGACTTTGTAAGTATTTGTGATCAGTGATCAGGGCGCCACGCTGCGTGGGTCTTACTTGTTCAAGGGAGAATTTAGGTACGGTACGCCTCATCGCGAAATAGATCAGCACTGCAGCGGCCCCACAATGGTTGTCTATCAAGGTGAGCAGTCTATTTCTCCCTTTAAGTTGGCTCAACCTTTGGAGTTAATCAATCATGAGACCCCATATCCATGATTGATATTTCTGGTGGTGGTGTCTGTACAACCTGCTAACGGTGAAATTTATGTTTTCTTAGATATCACATATCTAGTTACGCATATGCTCATGTGTGGAGTACCTAGCTGGTGTGTTTACCCGGCAGCTGCAGATTCAGCGCCGGCCTTCATCTTATCAAAAATGTATCCCGGGTCAGCCCTTTGTCTCAACGGGCAGAGCGCATGCATACCCATATGGGTGTCACAAAAGAAAGGTAATAGAAAAGTCTAGAAGACGACCAAAGCGCCCAATAATAAAGTTCGATGGGCCCCATAACTACGCATGATACTCTATCCGTGCTGATACCTCGACACTAGAGCCCCGTGAGAAACTCGGGAGTTTTAAACTGAATGTATGACAGACAGTTTTAAACTGGTTAAAAACTGGCTGTCGAAAACCTGGGTGTCGTGGTCATAAACCCAACAGCCATTTTGGGAGTGGGCTAGGGTAATTTTAGGGCAAAAATTGGTATTTAGGGTGGGTTAGGGTAATTTGGGTGGTCAAAATTAGAAAATTGGGTCTGAGTTTATGACAGTTTTCAGTTAAAAACAGCAGTTTATGACAGTCCGAGTTTATGACGCAGTTTATAACTCCAGCTCTGAGTTTGTCACGGGGCCCTACTCGACACATAGTGATTCAGCGTTGTCGAAGGATTGGATCCCACTCAGCAGACGCTTTCTCCCCCATAAATCTCCGATATGGCAAATAATACCTCATTGAGACAGTGTAGCCTGGGGCACGTTAGCCATCAAAGTACGTACAGTCTACAATACAAGTAGAGTACACATACAAAGGATAGTGCGTTAAAGAAAGACCCTCCTGGCGATTGTCAACAGCGAGATTGATTGAACCTCCGATATATTTCTTAGTCAGTTAGTGACAAAAGTAATACGATCTCTCCCCTTGGGAAATAAATTGGAATTATATAAATCAATGTAATGCAATTGATGAATTAAAAAAAAAAAATAGCTACTGCATGTAGGTTGGTTACCGGCCCCAGTCATTAGATAGCTGATATAAGGTGTCGAAGAAAAAAAGAAGCAAAACACAAAGTAAAAATACTGTTCAAATTCTCAGTGGCCATATTCGCGGCTAGAGTCATTACTCTTTGATTCCGTGACCTTCGTAAATATAATCACAATATATCACTCGATCACAAAGTTCTACCCTGCACGCAACAATACCATGATTGGGGTAGTCATTGTACATAAACTAATACTACTTGTAGTTTTTTCGCGTTTCCGGACTGGACTGGGTCTGCATACCACCAAAATATGATTATCAAATATTTACGCCCACATGCAGACCCAGTCCAATCCGGAAACGCCAAAAAACCACGAGTACATATATCTACTCCGAAAGATGAAATATCAGGATATACATTATCCCCCGCGGCCTAGGCTAAACTTGCATATTTTGGCCCTGGATGTGGAACCGGCCGGCAATTACTAAACATCCTCAAAACCTCTTAGGACAACGTTTATATGCAAATAATGCATGCAGACTTCGTATTATACTATTTGCCCTTCGTTGTGGAACTAAAAGTTTCCCCAGCGTATGTATGTTCCCACCCGAGGCCTTAATACCTGATTCATATAGATAGGCAATATTAATTAAGTATTAAATGATAAATATATAGATCAAAAGCGCCTTCCCTTTGCAATTTGTGACATTCATTTCCACATCGCTCCAGTAATTGTACTTGTTTACCACGAAAAGAACCAGAAAATGCATGTATGGAGTGACGGCGATCTCTCATACAAACTATCCCTGTTTCCGTCACTTCTTTTCGTGGTAAACGAGTACAGCAGGAAAGAGCTCGAGATCGAGATCGACAGCAAGATGAAAACTGAGAGATCTGGGTTTAATCCTCAGCCGGGGGAACACATACAACAGATTTAAAAAAAAAAAGAAATTTCCCAGCGCCAGCTAGGCCGACGACATTCTACTACGAAGGCAGGGTAAATTCCGTAATTACATTTAAAACCTAACCCTAATAATGATATCTTCTAATTTGGCTATTATATCTGCCTGCACGCGCGCGCGGCCTTCAATTATCGACTTTACAGGAATCTTTAGCTATAGATAGAATCAGTCTTATCAATACATAATTATATGCTCTCATTCTAACTACATCAACTACATACATGAAAGCCGCAACCTTGTTAGAGTCTCTAGGTCTGAACGAACATACGCACACAAAATGCATATCAATGTATAATATATTCTACACAAGCGTTTCATGATTGAACTTGGACCGCTTACAAACAATTGAAGGCACCAATATACTTAGAGGATTTATTATAATATATAGGTACATGTAGCGTATATAGTTCAGTCTAGAGTCATTAATTCAACTACGCGGTTATTACCGATTTTCTTGCATAATAATCATTCCATTAACAGCACACGTATTAAAATAAATTTTTTTCCTCTATTGACTCGCAGCTATTAATTTACCATTTGGTGAAATTAACTCTCTAATTCTCCTAATCGGTTCTGACCTACATGTTATGATGTACACCGCATCGGTTTATAGCCAGGAAGAATTCGTCAAAGGCGTATAGGCGTATAGATATCAAAATACAGCTTTTCATGTCCACACACGCAAACACATACATCCAGGGAATAATGAAGGAAGAACAGAAAAAGGAATCAGGTTCCCCAGGATAAAAACAATTGCGACAACATGCCTCAGGCATGAGAAATTAAAGAAAAATAACTATTCTCTAGAAGTCCCCCTGCGCGCGCCAATTCTCAAAGCTTCCCCTCTTCCTTTGCTTCCTTTACTTGCTCAAAGACCTAAAAACAGTTAATTATCTACCCATAAAACGAGACTATTAATTAATCTTCTGAAAAATCGAACCCTCACCTTCAACATCTTTCTCCTTGCACCCAATGCATTAACACCTCTTTTTTCCAAAGCATCATCATCAAGTTCAACTAGTTCTTGCCACTTTAAATCCTTAAGATTGTCTGTGTACTTGTGAAGTCTTAAACTCCTCAACCAAGTTGGGATATCATTTAGAAGGTTGGGGTCGGTAGGATCTTCTGGTGGCTTCGAACTGCCTCTTCTTCCTCTCGGGCTCCTGCCACGGTTGTTCACGTCATCAGAGTTATAGCCTTCAGTTGGCATACCTCCAAACTGTCCGAGTAAATTGCTATTAAGAAGGGGAGACTGCGCTGCAAGGAATCCACCAGCTTGTGGAGACGTAAACCCCATACCACCCCACTGCGCGGCAGGCGAGTGGAAAACACCAGGAGAGTTGGGTCGAGAACGACCTCCCAGAAGCGGAGAGCCATTTTGCTGCTGTTGTTGGGCAAGAGCAGCGGCAGCCGCAGCTGCGGGTATGTGTACTAGCTGGCCGTGTTCGTTATACATCGTGATGTTCTGCGGGTTCAGGTTCGACATGGAATTCATGGATATATTGCGTGGAGAGTTGAGACCGTGGTTGCCTGCGGCATTCATGTTATTATTATTTTCATTGCCCGGCTTTGTAATCCTGCGTTTACCCCAGCCTTTCGGATCGTTGTCGAGGATGATACGATTATTCACAGTTGACAGAGCAGCCAACTTCATGGCTGTAGCATTGGCAACCATATCAGCATTGGCTGACTGAGGGAACATAGGTACAACAGGTGTGTTGACCATAGAGGCCCAGTTGCCGCTGGGTGCATCGCCGTACGGGGAGAGCTGAGGCATTTCCATGCCGCCATTAGATGGCGCATTTAACGTTGTTGTCTGAAGGTTAGTGTTGCCGGTGATCTGCGGAGGAGGGTTACGGGGTGACCGGAGACCAGCAGATGGCGGAGGAAGTTGAAAATTACCCATGGATTCAGCAGCTGACTTCGGACGGGAATTCTCATTATTTGAATCATTGCTAGGGCGGTTCCACGGAGACGGCGGTGGATTTTCCTTTGAGCCATTGTTTGGACCGGAGATGGACGGCGTCAATGAAGACGACGGACGGGTTTCAAACAGAGCGCTGTTACGGTTGGACTTTGCTGCACCATTTCCTCCCTGACCGGCAATCATAGCTCGCTGGGCCGCGATTGCAGCAGCCGCATCCGGGAACATGGCTTGGGCATTGGAGTCCATTCCGGAGTTTCTAGGGGGTGCACCCGGAGAGGGAGGAGGGCGACTAAAGGAATCACGAGTACTTCCCATGTTCAACTTATTCATTGCATCATTCATACGAGAGGCCATAGCATCTATGTTTCAAGTTAGCTACCGACTTTTCATCTAAGAATCATGGGGTTACGGGTTCCGCACCTTTCTCAAAGGTGTTGGGGGAAAGAATGTTCGACATCGGATGAGACCTAGCCATCTGCTGAAGAACCTGGATAAAAAACCTGATTTGAACTTGTGTAGTCTGTTGAAGGAGTGCGTACAGAGCTGCGGTCCTTTCGGCTTCACTAAGTACGCGAAACCATTGCTCGATGGCACTCAGCTCATCTTTAAATTCCTGGTCCAGAGCGGCCGATGCCATCTCCTCGAGAGTGTTTTCATAAGTCTCAAGGTCATTAATCCATTCACGGGCAGCCTTATCGAGGGCCTCGGTCTCTGCATTCTGAGAGGTGATCTGAGGGGGGTTTAAGAATATTTCGGATGAGGGGCGAATGCGGCCCGACAAAGGCGACGGGAAGCCCCCGACATGTCTGCTGAAGCACGGAGGTGATGGTTGGCGCCAAGGGGGCGACTCGACGGAGGTCGAAGGGAAGAGCCACCTTGCTCGGGTGTACTGTTACGGTTGGATGCCATTATGAAGTTGAGACTCCTTGGTGGTTCGACGTTGGTTGGTAGGGTGTTTGGAGAAAAGGGCTACAAAGATGGCCCGTGCTGATATAAGGTTTATTTATTCGGGAGTCTCAATCGAGAAATGGACAACTATGTGGAAAGCTTTTCCCTTCCCCGTTGAATCGAATATGATACCAAAAACTACGAGTTATCCGCGAGTAGACTGGGAATCAACCAGAGCTAGATGTAAAGATATATCGATGACCTTTAAAAGTTCCCTAAGGAGGATGGTACTGCCGTAGGCGACGACAGTGGGAGCTTCTCCTGCAGTGCCTGCTGACCTCAAAGGAGCTTTGCTGCTGCGGTTTTTGAGGGCAATCTATTTTGCACCCAGCTTGTAGTCGGGCACTAATTTAGTGCTAGGTATCCGAGAAAAGCACGGGGTCGGAGAAATGTGTAATGGTATCGAACAGGGTGGTATCGAAATATCGACCAGAAAACAAATGCTCAACAACGAGCAACCGGAAATGTAAGTGATGTAGATATTTAAAGGATGAAATAGCTCCGCAAAGAGATAAGGGGGCGAGAGGGTGGCGGGAGCAAGAACGTAGGTGCCTAGACCAAATGGTTCGTCCAGTCAAAGCCGATCAAAATCGGATTCGGGGGAGAGATTTGGAATATAAAGACCGGAACGAAACGAAAGGAAGACCTAACGGCGGGGGAGGCGGCGAACAGAGGGAGGGGTTGCGGGTAGAAAGGAGGAAAAGGGGGAAGGGGACAGGAGAAATAGAACGATGGACACCATCAGCAGAGCCAACAGATCGAATGCATGACTACCAGAGGGGTCACATAGACCACCCTGGCCGAACAAAACACTTCCTTTTAGTGTTCTTTTTTGCTTTACTACTGGTTGGCTTACACACACACACATCTGCTCTTGGACCATATCAACTTTCAATCATGCCAATCCGCCGCTCTGCAGTTCTTCCCGTCGCTCAACCATTCCAGTAGCTGATCTCAGCTTTGCCGAATCCCGAAATACATGCCATACATGTTCTACACACAGGAAAAGACTGATCATGGAAAACGTATGCGATGGTGTGGCGCTTATTCCACTGCGGCTCCTCTATCCAATGAGATATACATTTAGCAATAGGGCAATTCCTCTCACCTCCTCCTCCCCATTCACTACTCCGGCTTTCCACCTTACAATGGGATTTGTGTCGCTGAGCCACAGAGCCACATTCTCTGCAGAGCTATACCGGCCATGCCATAGGCACTTGAGGGACTCGGTGCATGAATTGCCACAGCTGACTTCATCTCACGCACCTCAGTGCATTATAATATATATAGCACTTTTGGGGTTGTATCCCTCAAGGGAAATACCATGGTAGTAGATGGAGATCGAGAGAATTTATCTGTCGTGTGTGATGTTGCGGCTACAATGAACCCTTAAAGTAATGGAAGGGTTCATGGTAGTACAGGGCTCTTGTCACTTGGCTGAATTCCCCGGAGATAATTTGACTTTGTAGGAACAGCAAGAAAAATGTCTGAGTTCAGTTGCTGAGCACATGCACTTACAAGCCAACTGACTAAACAATTCAACAGTAGAGCACGCATTATTACGCGGCTTCTCTATGGGGAGCATCGGTAGCTTCGTAGAGTACTTTACCCCCTTCATCTCTTCGGCTCAATCTAAAGAATTACGACTCATGGTGATCCGAACTCCGGCACAATTGCGTGTCCCGGATCGAGCAATCATTTCAGTCACGTGGCTCTCGGATCTCCAATGGTTCGTTGAGCCGCAGGACCTATTCCTGCACTTCTCCGTGGGCTTTGATATCACCTGTCAGGAACGCCTCTCAACTAGCGGTGCCGGAAACATTATTGATCATGTGATCGGTTGCCTTCACAAATCCAAAGCTTCACACCAATACGAGTGTCACATGATCAATAATGTTTCCGGCATCGCTAGTAAGAAGGGAGCGGGGCCTAAACTGGATAAGTAACAACCTGCATACTTACATTGCATAAGTGCCGATGATTACGGAGGGAACAGCATGCCAGGACGGCCTGCTATTTTAGTGTTCAGTGCAACGCCGCTGCTTGGTCCTGGCTGTGAACGGAGAAAGGCAACTTGTAGGTGCATTTCTCTAGAGTTTATAACCAAGTCTAGTAATCTTAACAGGCTTTATAAGCTCAAGGAACCTATGTATCTAGACACTACATGTAATATCGTAGTTTCCGGATTGTAATTCTTGTCTAGCTTCACATGATATTGAGACATATGATTCTATTATATTATGAATCTTGCAGTTTTCAGGGTGCTGGTCTTGCAAATTGGGGTAGTACCCTTGGTATACATGTAAGGATTGCCGAAGAACCTCATCAGTCATACATGTATGTACAGCTTGCGGTAAGATTATTGTAGAAATATGGGAGGAGTCCTATTGGCTTGCCCAGCCACAGAAACCCTGTTTTTAGACCCCTGTTTCTACAATAATTTTACCTCTCGCTGTACACTCAATGCTTCAGGCATGTAGGTAAATACCTACGACCCGAAATTACATGATCCAGTAAGAATCCTAGAGCCATCCCATTCGGATCAGTTCTCTTTTAATTCTATTTAACTCGAGGTCGCCTAACGAAAGATTAATTTCGCTGGGCTAATAATCTAAACCCCTGTCACGGGTAATAGCTTGTGGTTTGCATATCCTGATCCTGTACGATTCTGATTGTAGCTGGAATGATTATGTACATAGGTACATGTACTTATACGTGTATTTATATAAAGCTTGAGGTGCCAGGGGATACATGCATGTATCTACGCGACCGCTTCGCAACGGCAGACGCACAATACACTGTCGGATAGAACGCAAACTATATTCTAATACAATATGGCAGGCCGTTAATCTACTGTAGGTAGGAAGATGTGCTGGTCTTGGCAGTAGAGCGAATACGTTACCCCTAAGGGAAAAGATGTTTTTCCAAATAACCATATTATTCTTGTTTATTATAAGTAAAGTACGCATAAGAACTTCCGGGGGTATGGTCAATACATGTATCCGAGCTATAGAGCAAAGTGCGCGGTAGTGACCGAGTGATTCTGCATGAAGTGAGTCAGTTGAATCGTTGGATGCTGGTTGCGATGGGCATCTTAGGTCCGCCCCACCTTGACCCCGCGCTTCAATTTCTTTCCCTTTTATTTCCGCATCCCAATCCCATCGTCGCCAGACACCCCCGGCAACCACGGAATAGCTTTAAACCTGCTTGTAGAATAACTCCTAAAGAAGGGAAATTGTTAACCGTGATCGTCAAATATGGCGTTCAATTCAGCATCGTCGAATCGTGGGTTACTGCTCCAGTTTCATTGAGTTGCATGACTCATACTAACAGAACTTCTCTGTAGCAATCGGCCACAGGACTGGCCCTGTCTCAGAGAGTGTACCGGCTCCATCTGCTGAAACAAAGGCTGCTATCAAGGAGGCAGTCGAGACCGATATCTCCGCTCCTCACAGACAGCCAGAGAACGAGGCCCCCAAAAAAGTGAAAACCGAGAAAGAATGTATGGGCTCTTAAGCTTCCAAAAGAAAAAAAAAAACCGAATTCTGCTATAACAGGATTTATTCGGGTGATACAGCGAATTAAGATACTGACTGTGGACAAAGTGGAGAAAGAGCGTAAAAAGGCCGAGAAGGAGGCCAAGTTCGCTGCGAAAAAGGCCGCCGCAGCTGCAGCTTCTGCCACTGCGGGGCCTGCAAAAGAGAAGAAGGAGAAGAAGCCAAAGGCCGAACCTGCTGCTCCGGTTGAATATGTGGAGGAAACGCCAAAGGGACAGAAAAAGAGTAATCCCCCCCAAACACCCGCAATGGAAGAGCTTTGTGTTATTAACCTCTCTTTCCACGCACAGTTCTAAAATCTCTCGACGATCCGGCATACAAATCGTACAACCCCACTGTTGTGGAATCTGCATGGTACGAATGGTGGGAGAAAGAAGGCTTTTTCGAGCCTGAGCTCACTGCAGATGGAAAAACCAAGCCGGAGGGTGTTTTTGTTATCCCAGCACCACCACCGAACGTCACTGGCGCTTTACACATTGGTCACGGTCTTACAATTGCCATCCAGGATACACTTATTCGATGGAACCGTATGTTAGGAAAGACTGTTCTTTTCCTCCCAGGTTTCGACCACGCTGGAATCAGTACGCAGAGCGTTGTTGAAAAGATGCTGTGGAACAGAGAGAAAAAGACCAGGCATGATCTTGGGCGTGAGAAGTTTACGTCTTTGGTGTGGGAATGGAAAGAGGAGTACGATTTCCTTGAAACGCTGAAACTCTTTGGGCTTGTGCTAAAAGTGATTTTCACAGGTACCACGCAAGGATCAAGAACCAGCTAAAGAAAATGGGTGCTTCGTATGACTGGAAAAAAGAGGCTTTCACTATGGACGAGAAGCTTTCCAAGGCTGTTACCGAGACTTTCGTGCGGCTGCATGAGGAGGGAATTATCTACCGTGCAAACCGTCTTGTAAACTGGTGCTGCAAGCTTAACACCACCCTTTCAAATCTGGAAGTGGACAGTATTGAGCTCAAGGGTCGCACTCTCCTTTCCGTGCCCGATTATGATGAGAAGGTCGAGTTTGGAATGATTGTTTCGTTTGCATACCCAGTTGGGGGTTCAGATGAAAAGATTGTAGTGGCAACAACCCGTCCCGAGACCATGCTTGGTGACACTGCCATCGCGGTTCATCCTGACGATGAAAGATACAAGCACCTCGTGGGAAAGATGGCGAAACATCCGTTTGTTGACCGTCTTCTCCCCATCATTGCCGATGATTACGTGGAGAAGGATTTCGGTACTGGTGCTGTTAAAATCACTCCTGCACATGACCCCAACGATTACGCGATTGGGGAGCGACACAAGCTTGATTTCATCAACATCTTAAATGATGATGGTACTCTTAATGAGGATGCTGGAGAAAAATTCAAAGGGATGAAGCGATTTATCGCGAGGAGAGTGGTTGTCGAGGAGCTAGAGAAACTAGGACTCTATGTTGAGACCAAGGATAACGCCATGAGTATCCCACTCTGCAGTAAATCAAAGGATGTTATTGAGCCGAAGATGAAGCCCCAATGGTGGGTGAGACAGAAGGCTTTGGCTCAAGCCGCTATGGACGTTAGCCTCCACTTACCCAGGTTGATTATTAATAACTATACTAAAATTTTAATAGGCTGTCAGGAACGGAGAGATCAAGATTCGCCCGGCAACATCAGAGAAGGACTTTTTTATCTGGTTGGAGAAAATCCAGGATTGGTGTATCTCCCGTCAGCTTTGGTGGGGCCACCAAGCTCCTGCGTGGATTGTTCATTTGGAGGGAGAGGCAACCGCCGATTATGCAGATGGAGATAGTTGGGTCTCGGCCCGTACTGAAGAAGATGCCTTTGAAAAGGCCAAGGCCAAATATCCCGGGAAATCTTTCACCCTGGAGAGAGATCCTGATGTTTTAGACACTTGGTTTTCTTCGGGCCTTTGGCCCTTCTCTACCCTAGGATGGCCGGAGCAGGTATTTACTCAATTCAGGAATTAGGCTTCCGATGCTGATTTATTTTAGACTCCTGATATGGAGAACTTCTACCCCAACACCGTCCTAGAGACTGGGTGGGATATCTTGTTCTTCTGGGTCGCAAGGATGGTCATGCTCGGTATCAAAATGACTGGGAAGATTCCCTTCACAGAAGTCTTCTGTCATTCCTTGGTTCGTGATTCAGATGGCCGTAAAATGTCCAAGTCTTTGGGCAATGTCATCGATCCTCTCGATATTATTACTGGTATCCCACTAGAGAAGTTGCACGAAAAACTATTGCAAGGAAATCTTGACCCCAAAGAGGTTAAGCAGGCCATGAACTACCAAAAGAGTGCTTTCCCTGACGGTATTCCTCAATGTGGTAGCGACGCTATGCATTTCGCCTTCTGCCACTACACAACCGGAGGAAGGGATATCAATATGGATATCAAGGTCGTTGACGGTTACCGGAAGTTCTGTAACAAGATGTACCAAGCGACCAAGTTTGCTTTGATGAGACTGGGCGAGGGTTTCGTTCCTAGGAAGACTGCTGCTCTCACCGGAAAGGAGTCTCTTGTTGAGCTTTGGATCTTGCACAAATTTAACAGGGCTGCCCAAAACACAAACAAGGGTCTTGAGGAGCGTAACTTCCTTCTTGCCACCGACGAAGTTTACAGGTACTGGCTGTACGAGCTATGTGATGTCTACATCGAAAACTCCAAGCCGCTCATTCTCGAGGGCACTGAAGAGCAGAAGCGATCTGCTCAGGACACTCTATACACTGCCCTCGAGGGTGCCTTGCTTTTGATGCATCCTTTCATGCCCTTTGTCACTGAAGAGCTTTGGCAGCGTCTCCCACGCCGCCTCGAAGACACCAACCCGACTATTATCAAGGCCGCTTATCCTAGATACGTTGAGGAGCTAGATAACCCCAAGGCTGAAGAGGCCTACGATTTGGCGTTCTCTGTCACCAAAATTATCCGTTCAATGCAGGCCGAGTATGGCGTTAAAGACCAGTGCAAGGGTATATTTGAGAATATCTTGGTGAAAAGCCAATTTGCTGACATAATCTAGTATATGTTCACGGAAAGGACGCAGAAACATCACAGATCGTATCTGAACAGAAGGCCGGAATCGCGGCCTTGGTAAAGGGACTCGAAACCATTGAAATCGTTCCCATAGATAGTGGTGTACCTGAGGGTTGTGCTGCATCTACCGTTTCCGATCGATGCAATGTTTACCTCCTCGTCAAGGTACCTATTTCATTTATACTATTCCATACTTGAAGGCAGAAGTAATAACCGAAAAAAAATAGGGTCGTGTGGATGTGGACGCCGAGATCCAGAGGGCTCAAAAGAAGATTGCCAAGACCACCGAGGCCAGGTTGAGACTAGAGAAGAGCAGGGCCGTCCCCGATTACCAAACTAAGGTTAAGGCTGCTGTTCAGGAAGCCGATAAGCAGAAGCTTGTTGAATTTGCTGCCGAGGAGGCGACGCTTCAGGAGCTCATCAGCAAATTCGAGGATTTGAGAGCTTAGATCGAAGCTGAGAAATAAAGAAGAGTTGAAGAGAATTATTTTTTACTAGATTTTTGACATTGTATCTATCGAACTGGTTTCATTATGGCGCTGTCAAGGCAGACTATATATCTCTAGAGAGTCTAAACAGAGGAACCCAAGATATCCATTTATATCAATCCCCATAAAATCGATCGTTGAGATCATAGGAAATCACTCGCACATGTTTAGTAGCACAATTTTAAACCATGCAAGACAAAGTAATGATTGAATAGTAGTTTTTTTATTGATATCCTCTCCTCCTTCTCCCCTTAAAGAATATCTATAGAAAAAAATGGAACTCGAAAGAGAAATATCTCAAGCCCTCCATGCACGACTCGACGTGAGGTTAGATTGCACCGAGAAGTGTTTGGTAATGGGTATGAATTCAATATCGGCACGATAAAGATATAATCCTTCAGACACTCGAAGATGGAGAATGCTTCGGAGCTGTACACACATATGCCTGTTTTTTTTGTTTTTTTTTGGGGGGGGGAGGGGGTAGGGAGTTCGCAAGGAGGGAGTAACTCGTATCGATGCGTGGACTCTTTTGGGCTTGGGTCGATGCAAGCTTGGTTGAAAATTCTGATGTGTGAGTAACCGTCGATATGTTTCGTTTTCGTTTGTAACCCACGCAATCTCCAGGAGAGAAAAGAGGTTTCTCGAAATCAGAAAAGAAATAAAAAACTCCCTAAAATAAAAATACCGGAGCGCCATATTTCCCATTTTATCTTGTATTATGTTTTTCCTAACACAAGTAAAACCCAGGGAAGGAAAAAAAAAAAAAAAAGAGAAAAAAAGAAAAAATCCCAAATTGTTGAACCCGCTTTCGTTTCCCCGAAAAATGGAACCGCCCTTTTTTCATTTTCGCTGCTGGATTTAGGCGGACTCGCGCTTGCCCTCCTTGAACTCCTTCTGTGGGGCTGTGTTAGTATCAATTCCTTACGATTCCGGTTGTCAGGTAGGAGGTGAAGGGGGGAGGTGAGGGGTGACGAACAAGAGCCTTCATGGTTCCGTGAAGAGCGTGCCTGTATATATGTTAGCAGAGCTCAAAAGAAAGCTGGGAACATCAAACATACCTGTGGTTCCTTCGGAACTTGGGGTCAGTACCCTTGAGGGAAGGGTATCTGTAGGTCTTAGGCTTCTTGATACCGTTACGGTGAGCTATTCCCCAACAACCCAGTCAGCCGCAAATTCCATCATGACCTTTCCTCCTTATCTATCATCCGCCAAACTTCTCGTTCCCCAATCGCCCCCCTCCCCTATCGCGCCTTGTTTCTTTCCCCCTCCCGCCGCCCCCCAAAAGCTCTTTTTCTCCTTCTGCGCGCCCATAACATCACAAACAAAAAAAAAAAAAAAAAAAAAAAAAAATTTGGTGGATTTTACCCTTGTTGCTCTGGTTGTGTTGAGACGAGTTCTTCGACTTGGCCATTGCTGCTACGTTCTGGTTGCGGTAACGGGTGGAATGGGGTTTGTTTGGTGATACTGGGGGCTGGATATTTCGACGTCGGTTACGGGTGGGGTGGTGTTGTGGTGAGTTTGCCTATCGTGTCTGCGGGGGTGCCGAAGCGTGGTGCGTGGGCCGGTGGGAAGTCACGTAGCAGGCAGGGCTTTACCCTAGTTACTACATATATTGCTTGGCATCACAGGATCATGGGGAGTCACTCGTGGCCTCCAGCAAATCAATATTGCGTTTGAGAGCAGTCGGGGAGAAAAAGTGCGAAGTGATGTCTCTATTGATGTTTTTGGTGACTATGACATATTCCTCAGTTATATTGCTTATATACACACGCACACGTCATTTATGACACATCTCTACTACTATATATATGTGTTCTAGAGAATGCCTCTCTGCCCTCCTGAATGACAACCAACGTCTTGATTGTGAAAATTCGGCGCACAGGTCAAACAGTGTCTTAAGACCATACAACTACACCAGGAAGTAGAAGATTGCGATTTCACTACAAACCAGGGAACAGCCACGAGAAAATGTCTTTATTATTAAAAGGTATATATAAGCGGGATATTGCTGTTGTCTTTATTGATGCTACCAATACTTCTTTTATCGGCAAGACTCTACTGATATATTACCGCCCCTGCTCACCATTCCAACGGGGTTGATTTCTGAGTCACCGGTCCATCCATCCATCAGGGGAGAAACAGCATCCAAGTGAACACAGGACGTTACCCCATAGACTGGACGACATTGCATCTCCGATATTGTCAATGTCACTGTTGTCTCTCCTGGCTAACCGGCTAGAAGCGGGTGTATGTAGTCCGGGAGAGGCAAGATATAATAGCACCGCTATTATGAGCCCCTCCTCCCCACCCCGGAGGGGCGCCTCTTTAAGATGAGGATACATCTTGCACTGACCCTCAACCCTTTCCACAAAGGCCAGATCGGACCAGACCAAGTATGTTTCAGCGACACCAAAGAGCACAGATAGGACTTTTTTTCTAGTCCTCGCCTTACTTAGGTCATAGGGGGAACTTTCCTTGATGCATGGTCCGCGTTCTTCTATCGACTACTCTAGAATATCTCCCATAATGGTAAGTCGTGCCCACACCCTTCATGCGATGATTAACCCAGGCCGCGGCCTGTCATTACATGGCTGCACTTCACCATCCTCCTTCAGATTAGTGATGGGCACGAGCCGGGCGGGGCTTAAGCTTAAGGCAGGACCAGGTCGAGCTCTCTTACTGACGAGCCCGAGCTAGCTCGAGCCCACATCCAAAAAAGCTCGAGCCTTGGAAAGTACTGCTGATGGTAGTAGAGTACTATAGTTTGGTGACCTACATTAAAATATATCCTCGACTTACAAGGCTCTGGCATTAAGTGAGTGAACTACATGGGGTGTTGACAGGTGAGGATCCGTTCACTCATTAGATCCTAGAGCCTTGTACTGGGGAAATCTATTTTTAGGTATAATCATGAGAACTCGAGCCTTTGCCTGCACAACTCGAGCCAGCCCGACCCTACGCCAGGCTCGAGCCTATTATCATTACTTCTTTTGCGAATACTTGTGCGGAAACCTTATTTTACACCCTAGACCACCACGCAAAGTTGGAGGGCCGGTTATTGCTCACTCGATCCTTGGCACATACAAAAATACAATACAAACCACATACATCATATACTCACCCACCCCACAACAAAGCCAAAGCCCCTGGAGTTTTAGATATTTTAACAGAACACATCCACCTACCACAACACTACGTATAGCGGCCTTACAGGGAAGGGGGATTAGAGGACGAGTGATATCTCATGATCATCCTTCCTTAGCAGACCTCAAGCCCAAAATGAAATGAAGCGAAAAAACATACTCAGTATGTGTTACTACCACCACCACCAAAAACCAACCGCCAAAGCTATCCAATTACGCAAACCCAAAGAAGAAGAAGAAGCAGAAGGAGAAGAGAAAATGATATCAAAGCAAAAAAAAACACATCGCTTAAAATATCGATCATATCGCATTTCCAAAAAGAAAGAAGAAAAAAGACAAAAGAACAATTCATTTCCCCCAAACACCACACCCGCACGTCCCACCCGCACGCCCCACCCCATCCCACCACCCAGCCAGCCAGCCATACCCATTAGTTACTACATGTACCCAACTAAGACTGCTCCGCCATCGAACTCGTCACGCTATCCGCCTCCCCCCTACCATACCCCTCTTCCCTCACATACTCCTCGCTGCCCACCTCACTATCATCCACGCCGCTCGCACTCCTAATGAACGCCGCCAGCGCCTCCACCTGCGCCCTGACGCCCGCAATCGTCGCCTCGTCCGCCAAGTCGGGCACAACCTCCTTGACATCCACGTCCCAGCCGTCGCCCAGGACGTCGATCTCGCCCTGCATCTCCTCCCACTCCTCGACGGCCTCGTCGTCCTGCTCGCCGCGCGCGCGGTTGCTAGACACGTTGCGTGCCTCGCGCGTCTCGATCCACGCAATGATGAGCATCAGTGGCGAGTAGAGGACCGTCATGACGTAGTCGTTGAGACGCATGTAGCTGGATTTGGGCAGCCACCATTCGAAGGGGAGGATGAGGCCGAAGATCTCGATCAGGTTGAAGGGGGGGAGGAAGACGTTCTCGTCGGGGGCGCGCACGAATTGGAGGGTTTTGGCGGCAAACTAGTGAGAGGGGGTTAGTGGGGGTTTTGTGGGGGAAAGCAAGGAGGGGGGTGGGGGGGGGGGGGCTACTAGAGCTAGGTATTCGTCAACGGCGTTCTCAGTGATGTCGGTGTAGGCCGAGTTGTAGAGCGCAATAAGGATGTTGAGGAGGATAACCATGACTACAAAAGTAAATAGGTAGTATAGTATGATTCCAAATGGATCTGCAGTCTGAGGTTAGCACATGGGAACCACTAACGGCGCTCATTGACAAGGGACACATACGCGCAAAGTCCCCAAACCCGTCAAACTCCGGACTCTGCAGGATTGCCTTGACCATGGACTCCAGGATGAAGAATGTGGTATCCACTTTATGGTCTTCTGCAGAATCCAAACCCACAAAACCTTGCAAGAAACCAATGATAATAACGATAAGGAGCGCGAAGAAGCTACATTCCATATATTAGCACATCACTCACTCACAACATTCCAGAAGGGGTTGGACAAACATCAAACTCTCCATCATCATGACCTTCAGCACAACCAGCATGGCTCCGAAGAATTGTATGGTATCCAGGTACAGCAACATGCGCGCCCAGAACATGGGCGCGACAAACGCCAACCAATAGTACGATACCTCGTCCCAATGCATTCTTTCCGCGCTGTCAGCTGGTTTACTAAAGGCGTACATCCGGAAGCTGAACGAGACGGTCAACGCGGCATACAGCGTCAAATTGAACGTGTTCCAAAAGCTCAAGTAGAACCTGCCAACCTTCCAGAACTTTGTAAACTCATCAGCGATAAACGAGAGGGTGAAGAGGTAGAGCAGGCCCTCGACGACATCGAGATCGCCCGAGGGATTGATGGTGTTGATGGCGACGGTGTACAGGCCCAGATAGCAGAACGAGATGAGCACCTGGAACGCATTCTGGAACTTTGGCGCGCGGATGCGGTCGTGGTCAAAGTGCGCCCAGTACGACTTGTTGGCCACGTTCTTGTACCCGCAGAAGTGGGTGGGGTCGTCGAGGTCCTGCGCGAGCCAGCCCTTCCACAGATAGCCAATGCACTTCTGGTAGCCGCTCGAGCCGATGACGCGGGTGGCGTGCAGGTCGACGGCGCGCTCAATCACGTTTGAGGGCGTGCTCTCAACGCCGTTGCGCAGGATGCTGAAGCGCTGCAGGAGCACCTCCGAGAAGAGGTAGTCCTGGTCCTCAAAGTCCTCGATGATGCGCTTGGCGATCACCTGGCAGGCCTCGGCGCGCAGGATGTTGAGGTCCGCGTCAAAGAGCTCGAGCTTGGCCTGGCGCTTGAACCAGCGGAGGCAGACGAGGAGGCAGTAGACGACGCAGGCGCGGTCCTCGTCGCCGCCGGCGCGGGCGGCGAGCGCGACCACTTCTTTGGTGATTATTTGTGAGTGCGGGCGGGTCACTTGGGACTCTTTGAGCTCGAAGGGGACCGCGGCTTCAATTCTGGCGCCGGGGGATCGGGTCAGTGCGCTGGGAGATAGACAATGTGGGGGAGTGGGGGATAGAGCTTACAGGTACTTCAATCTTAGTGCAACCCGTGTGACCCTGGAATTTCAATGCTTCTCAATTAACTCGATTCGGCTACTACTACGTCGGGTCGGGGGGACAAAGGAGACTGTAGATACCTCTTGGCCGGAATGGCCGAATGGACGTGCTCTGCATTATGGCTGGGCAGCAGGTGCTCGCGAATGTCCTGCGCGGTGTCGCGGCTGCTGTGGCCGTCCTCTGCCCCGAAGAAATGACGTATAGACATTGCTTCACGGTAAGAGTCGTGAAGAGTGTTTTTTTTTTTTTTGTTCTGTTCACTCACAAACCCCAACCTAAGCTGAGCGAGCGAGTGGGAGAGGAAAGAAGGAGAAGAGCGAGAGAAGGACGGACAGACGGATGGATGGGGGGAAGGGAGGGGAGGGGGGGGGGAAGAGAGCAAGAAAAAAGGTGGGAAGGGCGTTGGTCAAGTACTGTAGGTAGGGCACGTAGAGTAGCTAGAGATTGGACCAAGTTTCATAACACGCGTTAAACCAACCCATGCTTGCGGCGGGGAGAGAAGGGGGGGGGGAACACTCGATTATTGTGGAGCCAGCCAGTGACGATGGTTTGGCAGTACCTACATTACATACTCACATGCCTCCAAAAAAAACTACAACAATTACATACAGGCAGGCAGGTAGGTAGGTATCCCTCCCTCCTTCCTTCGTGGCAAACAAGCCAACCAGCCATCCAGCAAGCGGGTAGAGCAAAGCAGAAAAATGCAGAAAAATGAGTGCGTACTCGGGCACCCATTGGTTGGTGACGCAGTGTGAAGTGTGTGATACCTCGCTGCCCTCCCAGGCTTCGCAGGCTGCATGAACGGCCGTACGTAGAGGAAAGGTGGGATTGGATTGGATTGGATTGGATTGGGGGGACAGGGAGATTCTAGAGGGAGGGACGAGCGAGTGAGGGGAGTGAATCAAGTGTTGGACAGCTAACGATATCGTGGGACCAGAGCACAATCGATACCGCGCAGCACCTGACTGTTTGGGACTGGCCTTGTAGTGGGTGTAGAGGAGCTACTCTAGCTGCTAGCTAGTACTGTAGAGTACAGACTGAGCAAGGAATTGAGCACGGAGTGGGCGACTCTGAACTACCTCCATCGAGCAGAGACCTAGAGAGAGAGATCGAGGGCACACAACTTCACAAGTAGCTCCAGAGAGACAACAAACACTCCCTTTCTCACCTTTTCTCGCCGCCCAATCAAGCCACTCTGTCTCCCCACACTTTTCCCACTAATCACGTGGCTCAATCAGGAACAGCTTGCTGCCAAGCCCAGTCAAGCAGTGACGTGACCGCGCCAAGAGCAGGCCAGCCAACCAGCCACGCTGCGGGTTCACAAGCTTTTGCGAGAACGAAACAGCACACTCGTCCATTGCTACATTACATACACACACACACACACACATCCATTCCCAATCCCCGCCCGCAATGGCCCCCTCCACAATCCTCCCCGCCCCCAACCTCCCGCCCATCACCGCAACCCCCCTCACCCCCGCCGCCTTCCGCCCCTTTGGCAGCGTGATCCAACGCCCTCCCACCACCACCCCTTCCTCCTCCTCAGTAACCGTCAACCAAGGCACCGCCCAAAAGCACCCCAAAGTCTCCCTCATCACCACCACCCCGCCCCCCAGCGGCGCCCCCGCCCTCCTCAACATCAACATCTTCGTCTGCGCCCCACGCACCCTCACCGGCCCCGCACGCAACACCTTCGCCTGCACGATCCTCGAGCGGCACCCCTACACCTCGCAGTCCTTCATCCCGCTCGCGCTGCCGGCGTCGGCCGAGAATGCCACGGCGTCGCGGTACCTGGTGATTGTTGCACCGACGCTGCGCGGTGTCGACGGGTGTCCGCCGGATCTGAAGGGTCTGAGGGCGTTTGTGTGTACGGGGGTGCAGGGGGTCACGTATGCTGCGGGGACGTGGCATGCGCCGATGGTGGCGCTCGGGGAGGTGGAGGTGCAGTTTGCGGTGGTGGTGGCGGAGAATGGGGTTGAGGGGGAGGATACGCAGGAGGTGGGGATTGGGGGTGGAGGGGTGGCGGTGGTGGTGGTGGGGGTCGGGGAGGGGGAGGGGGGTTGTGGGGGAGGGCGAAGGCGAAGGCGAGGCTTTAGGGTGTGTAGAGTAGGTAGTTGGAGGGGGGGGGTTCTGGGTGGTTTAGAGTAGCTTTGAGTAGCTTTGAGTAGTTTTGAGTAGATAATGTGTTGGTTATGAGTAGTTACATGTAGTAGTTGGAAATTGTTTATTCAGTTTTTATATATACGTTGAGGATAGAGAAATATAATCAGGTTATCTATCAACTGGCAGGCATATTCCGGATGTCCGTCCGCACGTATAGGTAAAGCAATTGTTACACCGCGCGCGCGGGGCCCGCACCGGTCACCGAGTGATAATATGTGATTGGAATAATATGTGGGTTAGTTATTTAGCTATGTAATGGTGACGCACGATTAATATAATCTGCTACCTATTACTACTTCTAGCAAGTCGTTCGAACCCTTGGGTTCATTGCAGTGTGTTTTTCGGTGGGGTGTGTGTGACATTTTGGGCGCTCCTATATGTTAAAAACTACGGAAAAGGTCTAAAGTGACACAGTTTTCGGTACTAGACGTGCTCTACAATAACACATGGATGCAAGATGACACAGTTCGGTATAATCTAAAACGAAAGTATACGTATTGGCTGAGCAATGATATGTAATATCGAAGTTCAAGTATCACCTCGGGCACAGCATCCACTATGGGCGGGTGGTCTAGTGGGATAGACTGCTCGTCAACACCGAGCGTACCCAGGATACAACCACACACACATAAGATCCTGGGTTCAAACCAGGGGTTTGGGGGAGGGGGGTAGCAGTCGCAAATGTCTTAATAAGTCGCTGCAGTACCTTTTTGTAGTTTTGTACCTTTTGTAGTAGTTTTATAGAATATTTTGTTCTTTTTTTTTTTTTCTTCTCCTTTTTTTTATTTGTAGTGATAGCGAACTGTGTCTTTTGCGTCATGTGTTATTTCGGAGCACGTATAGTACCGAAAACTGTGTCATTTTAGACCTTTTCCGTAAAAACTAATTAGCTTTATATTTACAAACACGCTCAAAGAGAGCGAATATATGCAGCTAGCTATTGTTAGCTTATATGATGTATATCCCATAATCCGGTGCTTAGATGCTGTCTATTTGACAGAATATTATAATTACTAAAAGAGGAAGGGTGGCAGCCGAATATGTGTGAGATCCAGACACAAGCCACAGCTGAAAATACGCCGCCCGAATCAATAGGCAGCTTTAACGGACTATGGGATACCAGATACTGCCATGCAATTAATGAATTAAACAAAAAAAAAAAAAATACCAGATACTGCCAGTGCGGCCGGTCTTGATGATTTGCGGATCTTCCCACTAACCAACCAGCTGCGGCGGCCAGTGCAGTTGATGCAAAGGGGTTCTCTTCTCTGGCCAACTACTCTAGGGTAACCCATCGACTCCTAACGTTAACCACGTGGATAACGGCGCTTCAAGACTGGCGTTAAACCTTAAATTTGATTTGACACCTTGCTGGTAGGGTATGCAATTCCAGCGGAGAAAATATATGCTGATTCGGTGTAAAGATCGGCGAGACCGCGCTATAGTATGTAGCTAGGGAATCCGATAGTTATAATGGTGTATGCAATGTGATAAGGAATACCTATCTACTTCTAATGTTGATTCCTATCGGAAATCAACTTCACGGGATGTATATCAGCGGTGTTATGATTACCTAACCCTCGAGGACCACCATGTCTTGAGACCAGATCTCTCGAGGCAGGTACAGGCTTCGAGAGTCCAATGCCACACTATGTAAGCTGCTACCTACTATCGGAGTCGGAATCCTAATTGAAGCCCGCAATTAGAGTAGATAGCTAAGAATCGTGTCCAGTCGAACTATACTCTATGTAGACGTCATTAATTCCACTTATATGCCGATCCTTATAATGGTATTATTCCAGAGGCCAGTATGCTATTATAGCCCATAAGCCAGCTATCCAATTATGCTTTTTTTTTCGTTATGACGGTGGTCCGTTTTAATGACGTGATAAATATTCGTAGAAGTCAACACCTCCCTCCCTCCCTCCCTCTGTAAATATATGTTCCCCCCCAGCTAGCTGTCCTAGGCCTATATGTTAGGATAATATAAGTATCTAACGTAATCAAGATGGCCGGTACACGTATGTACGATGATGCCCTCTCGATCTCCCATCGTGCAGTAGTCCAACAGTTTTTTTCCACGAGCACCCCCCCCCCCCCAAAAAAAAAAAAAAACCTCTACTATATGTACCTATGACGTTATCACTAGTTGCAGTAATACACATAGTTAGGCCCAATTAGTAGCTTAGTAGCAATAGTAATAGTAGCAATAGTAGTAGTAGTAGTAGTAGTAGTAGTAGACCACTACCACCATGGCCAATACCACCACAACACTAGTACCAAGTGGTACCAACAACAACCAAAAGTACCAGCGTGGCCGGCCAACCAGACAGCTAACAACAACTAATAAAACAGAACCAATCGACCAAAAAAAATCTCAAACGCCATTTTTCCCCACAAAACACCAATCCCTCGATTTTTTCGCCCCCCCTCCATAAAATCATACAGCCCAATCCAATATTTGAGTCTGTCTCGATTCGAATTGGTTAGACCTTTTTCTCCCCTCCATAGACTGTGCTTAGATAAAAAAAAAATCATTGACTCTCTGCCCCCGCTAATATGTAGATGTAGGTAAGCAAGTAAGTAGTAGGTGAAGTTGTAGGTAGGTAAGTAGGTTGTCCAAAGAGTAATAATCAAACAAGCAAGCTTAACAAAGTAAGTATATGCAGCGACGCAATTACAAAAATACCCAGTATCCCATCGTGTAACACCCAAATAAACAACAAAAGCTCTACCACCGCTCTATCCTCCAAAAATAAAAAATAAAAGTCCAATCCTCTAAGAATGCTTTAATCTCATCACTCACTCCAAAAAAAAACCCCAAATTTATCACCATCAATAGTATTGTGGCGAGGAGGAGGAGGGAGATGAAAGAAGGGGAGCTCCGAAGAGAAAAAAAAATATAGCCCTCCCCCTCTTCTCCGTCCAGCCGCAAAGGAAATATGTAAAAATAGTTCATAGACATCATTAGAAGAAAGGAATTGGTCCGCCCTCCCCACCCCCACTCCGGGAAAAAAGAAAAAAAAGGCACTGTTCATTCGCCAATAAAGAAATCCAAAATAAAAGAAAGAAAGAAAAGCAATAAAACCCCCAGTAATAAAATAAACAAAAAACATAAAAACAAAAACAAAAAGCCATAAAACCCCACCAGATTTAAACCTACAAATGCACGCGCGCACCTGACATGATTGAGCTTCTCCACAATGTAATGTCCTTGACCCCCCCTCACTTTCTTTTCAGGTCATCCAAGTAGATGTCCCCACCTTCCGCATTTACCCATCTCTTCCATGCTTCTTCGTATGCATCTTCTAAATCGCTAACCCAACGCTTTGTATCAAACAGCGCGCTTTTCCACCTGTGCTCGAACAGGACCTTTCTAACATCGTTCAATTCTCCATTTCCCTTTCCTTCCTCTCCATAAACCAGCCCATTTGCCAATTCAACAGCACGATCTTCATATTCGTCTTCGCTAGCGACTATTAAACTATTTGCAGTTGCTTTCCCTTCTGCTGTCTGCGGAACAGCAGCTCGAAGAATACTTGCTGCTATTCGAGAACACATCTTATATTGATGACGAGGGAATGTTAAAAGTGGCGTTCCAGACCAAAGCACGTCCGCCGCAGTGGTGTGGGCGTTGCATTCGGGCGTGTCGAGGAACACGTCGCAAACCTGGGCCCTTGATATATGTTGAAGCTTTGGTGCAACATCGGTAAAGATGATACGCGAAGTGACTTCTTCGCCGGCCCATTCCTGGGCCAAGTCTTTAAGATTTGTTTCCCCAAGGTCAGGGAAGCGTAGAAGCCATAGGACGGCCTTCGGAACACGGGCAAGGATGCGAAGCCAGGTCCTAAACGTTGTGGGCTCGATCTAAAAAAAAATGTTAGACGAATTTCACATAAAATAGTTGTTAGGACCCACCTTATACAGCTGGTTGAAATTCCCAAGAATCACAGCGTCAGACCGCAATTTTGGGAACAACTCCTTCCTCTTTGCCCATCTTCTTGCTTGCTCTTCTTCCCAGCTTAATTGCCTTGATTTAGAGTCCGGGGCGCTTTGTCTATGGTCGCAACAGAAGAAGGTATACTTCGCAAAGACTATGTTCTCTGAATACACCCAATCATCATTGTCTTCGCTCGCGCCCTCGTGTCCATCGTCCTCAAGCTCAACGTTGCGCCTTGATGGCCTCAAAGTTCTAGCTGGGACAGCTGTAGAGTCGGCATAGATATAATCACACCAATCAGCACCAAGCGTACCGGCGAACCCCATGAAGCTCATTTGAATCGGTGCTGGTCTCGCTGCGAAAACCTCGTTTCGGGCACCCCGAGTGAAGCCATTAAGATTAATCAGTATATGAATACCATCTTCAACTATCTGTCGAACCAAACGGTCAGGTCCCCAGGTGTGGGCATCATAAAATACTGGCGCCTCCCTCTCAATCTGTTTCCGATGGTCCGAGTTATCACTAGCGGTAGTAGCATAACAATAGGCTTTGGCTCGAGATGGGTTATGTAATCCAAATACAGACTGCATCAGGTGCGCCAATGGATGGTTATTGAAGTCGGAAGATACATAGCCAATTTTAAGATACGGTGCAGGTGGCGCTGGTGGAGGGAAAACATGCACGGGAAGCCATGGTGCCCGAAGTGTCGAACATGATATTCGCAGTCCATTCCGTTGAGATATTTGACGAACTTGCTTTGCGGATAAAGGACAAGTAAAAGTATGGAAAGGTAAAACTGTTGGGGCGCTCGGCGTGGTCAAGTTTGCTGGAACAGTGGGCCTAAGATACTCTCTTTTAGACTTATCAAGCCCTTGCACATACTTCTCTTGATACCATCTCCACACTGTTTTTCGAGACGCCCGTTCGATCATCCTAATGACCTTAGCCCCCTCATAAGGCTTTCCGGCCCAACCTTCAACATTTTTCCTCAAAGCAGTTCTTCTTTTTTCTGACCAATTCGATCCATATGCCCTCTCAAGCTCCCTGAGCAAGAGCTCTCCCGCATCTCCAGAAACAATTCCTTTCCCCCAACTTTCACCCTCTTTGAGTTGTTTCTCCACAATCTGTACCACTCTCTTCATCCAGCCACTGCATACAGTGCCATTGCCTTTAGAGTCAATAAGCCGTTTGTTGTCATCCACATGCCATCTATCTTTGTCATCCCTGACTATACCACCTCTCCCTTTCCAGTCGCACACACTGTTTAGAGCGTTCGCCAAGCCGCATACAGCCTCCGCAAAGTCTGGGTTAACATCAACGGCCCTACGGTAAAACACGATAGCTTCTCCGATCCTTCCTTGATCCTTGACTGCATTTGCTAGATTTGCAAGAGCAATGTCGAATTTAGGATCGCAAGTGACTGCCTGTTCGTACATTTTAATTGCTGCGCTTAATTGATTGATATCCTTAAGCAAACTGCCCAGATTTGTGTAGAGATGTGCATGTCGTGAGTCTAAGTTGAGGCCGTAGTAATAGTAGTCCAACGCAAGTCTAACTCCCGCTCCAATCCCGGGAACCTGCGGGTGTTGTGATGGAGCCACAATAAGTGGTGAGGCTGGTTGGACGCTGGCAAGGAGGATTCCAACGTTATTCGCTGTCGATGGGCTTGGATGGAGCGAAAGGGAGAGATAGTATAGTGCCAGAATGTCCTTGACTTCTGCAGTAGATCTAGGCGCACCCAAGGTGCTACCGGATGACATGCCATCTTGAAATATTTTTGCAAGTGACAATAGTGAATTACTGGTTGTTGAGATTGCCGCTCGCTTGGCCGCCGGGTTTGAGATATCACGGAGTCCCGGAAGCTCGCCACTTGGCTGGAAAACAAGATGTGCGGTACGAATGGCGGCCTGAGGAGTCAAGAGGACTGGTCCATGGACAGCGTTCATGACTAAATTATCGGGTATGACAACGCCGTCGATGGAAGCCTTGAGAACGGCGAGAATGCGGTTTATCAACCCTCTAACACCACCTCTCTGCATACCTGCACCGAGCAATATGGCTTGCTCAAATGCTCTCGCAGCTCCAGCGTTATCGCCCAGTTGATATAACGTATTTCCCTTAGCATGTATCAGACCAAGCATGCGGCCATTTTCTGACGCCGGTATCATATATTCGCTGAGCCCATAATTCATAATATTGTGGGTCCTGGTAAAGCGGCTGACATCGTCCTCATCATAATCAAAATGAATATCGGATGCTGTTTGAACCGATTCATCGCTCGATGAACTGCTGAAACTTGGATTTCGGGCGCCAAATCGACCCGGTCGACGTAGTGACACTTCCACGAAATTAATGATGTCAACAGCCTCTTTGCCACGATGGGCGCCACAAAGCAGCCCAACAAGATGTTCAACAGCTTCGAAATAACTAGGTCTTTTTCTGACTGCTCGATGCCAGTACCTTTCTGCTTCTTCACGACGACCCAGTGAAAGGAGTGTTGCGGCTAGATTTGACAATGCCTCAACGTGACTTTTTTCAAAAAAGAAATGTCAGTTTCACCAACAAAATATAAACGATAAATGAGGTAAGATTTACTTTTCATCCGCCTCCAGTATTCTAAAGTACCACCCCATAGCTCTAGGTAAATCACCCAATCCCTATGACAAAAATCAGCATCTACGAAGTTTATCCAAATCCCAATAAGATGGGTACAAACGTATGCCAAGCACCCTCCTAAAAGCATTCCATCCAGCCATGTCCAGCCGCTCTCTGCACAATATGCATTCAACATCTCTAATGCTGTCCCAGCTAATCCTACGGCTGAAACTGGTGATGGGTTCGGCATGACGCCAAGACCATTATGAGGGGATAAATTTAGCGGCCAAGGCCCACCAGATCCCCCAATCCCACTTGAAGCGCGATGTAGAGGACTGGCAGAATAGCAATCTACCGGTTGTTTTTTTGCCAAATATTGATCCCCATTCCAGCTCTCAACATTCCCGTTATCAACCAGATCGTCACTTCCGTCGTGTATTGTGACACCGTCGTTGCGGAGATATCCATCATTATTGCCAAATAATAACTGTGAGTGTGATGAAGAAGTCCCAATCCGAGGATGATTTTGTTCTTGTGCTGGGTTAGGCCGCATCCGTTTTGACCTATCCCCGTCTCCCCTATTCGGGGCAAATCCATCATGCATTCCATGTTGGACTGAAGGAAATGGTGCTTGCCCACCTAGGGAAGATTGGGGATGTATTCCATTGGGTCTCCAGGTGTTTGTTTGAGGTTGGACAGATTGGTGACGATACATGCTCGGCTTCGATGATCCATTATTAACACGTGATCTGTCCCCGGGTTGTGCACGGGCCTCCGTTGGTCGGTGTTGCTCTTGCACCGACGCTAAGAGTTTGACATACACACCATGGGCCCATGCCAACACTTTATCGCGATTTACTCTGTTCGGGATCATCATGCCGTGTGATTGCGTGTCAAGCTGAAGGTGTTGAAGCTGGGCCTCGGGGGTACCTGCTGGCGGGATTGACAGGCCATATTGGGCCGTTAGGTGTTGCGGAAATGGTATCGATACAGAGTCCACTGCAGGAATTTGGTGTTGCCAAATGTTTGCATTGTCAATTTGTTGGGGTGGGTTATATATGGCATTTATCTGGTAGATTGGTGCTTGTGGGAGTTGGTTTTGAGCGGGATTACCGTTTCCCCAAGCGCCATAATGGCCATAAAAATTACTATCCCGAGGAACATCATTGTAGTGACCGATATCCATAAAACCATTAATGTCCTCACATGAAGCTGTTGGGGGGGTAATAGGGTTATAGTACGCCTGGAAACCATATGGTTTTCCACCAGCATAAATGTTGTCCGCTGCTATAGGATGCATTTGTTCTTGTCGTACGAGAAATTCACGCACGTATGGATCCAAGTTGTCATTTACTGGCATCTGAATCTGATTGTTGCAGTTGGTAGACCACATTATCGTCGGATCCATACAGCCGCTTCCCAAATTTATATCGGCCCCTCTGAGCGCCAGCGTCCCCTCCCATGACTGATTTCCCTGGGTCCCAACGCCTTGCCATCGAGGACTTTGATCAAGTTGAGGATATTGCTGTTGTTGAACATTAGATTGTGGTATTGGAAGTAGAATTTGTTTTGTCGGTCTGACTGTTGACCACTCTATTGGGGTAGCATCGTAGGCAGCGGCCAATGTTCCTTGGGGCGTCTTGCGACGCAGCAGATTCTCTTGGTAGGTATGCTGGGACGGAACAGGTATTAACGAGGGTGATGAGTGTCCACGATATAATGATAATGGACGACTTGACATGGCTTCTTGCGCGAAACCGGACTGTTGCGTTTGTGGTTGTGGTAGTTTGTTGTAATGTTGAAACGAGCTGTAGGGCGTCGTTGAGGAACTATGGAGAGAAGGGTGCGAGAGCTGAGCATGGGCAGCGTTGGCTGCTGCTGATGCAGGGGTGTTTGTGGCAGAAGCAGAAGCAGCCACAACAGCAGTTGAATGAGGCTCCGACTGGTCAAACTGCCGCTGCAAGGAATGGTGAAAGAGCATCTCGAGAGGTTAGATACTCACTAGGTACTCGGTGCTACTACAGAATACTGATAGTGCTACTGCTACCACTATTTGGGAGGCTCTAAGGCTGAAGGAAGCTGATCGTTGATGTAAAGTTTGCAACTGTCAGCAGCCGCGGGAGGGCGGCGACGGGAGACAGCGACGGCGGTTTCGTCTTCGTCGGGGACTCCTGTTCGGACGATTGCTGCATTAATTAGCTTGTTCCGTCTGGCGGTTTGTCCTCTGTGATCTTGTGGTCCTTCTCCTGCCTGATCGTTTTGCACCTTTTTCTTGATGATCTTCCAATGCTTCTTTCCTCTTTCCTCGCTCTTCCTCTATTACACTCTCCACCAACCACCTTCTCCTTCTTCTTTTTCCCGCTCTATCTTCTTCGTTCCCCCCACGACCTGTACACTTCTTTTTTATTATTAAGATTTATTTATCCTTTAATTTTAATTTCCCCCCTCTTCTGTTTCTTTACTTTTCTTCTTTTTTCAGAGCGTCGACGAGCGAGTGATAGGTGTGGAGAGATTGGTGAGGATATGTGTAGGCAGACTGCAAGACGGCAGGACAGGCATGTGAGTGAGCGACCACCACCACCACCTTTTCTCTATTTCTCCTCCTCCTCCACAAATTCCTGTCAGGATCCGCTTACCTTAAAACACCCCCCAAACTCAGATACGCACCCGGTCAACCGCGACAATCGAGAAACCGATTCCTCTCCTTTGATAGGTATTGTTTGTTACCCGCACCACCCTCTTGCCTGGTTTCTGTGCGTATCTATCCTCGACTACCTACTCGTTCAGCAGAATTTATCTTCCTTCGATTCCAGCCTGTAAACGAGGGGAAATAACAACACAGTGTCTGTCTCCTCCCAAAGCAGCAAAGAGCAGGGAAAAGCAAAAAAAAAAAGTGGGATGAGAGAGAGTGAGAGAAAAAGCAAAGAGGACCCGTCCTTCAGTTGAAAGTGCTATGTAAATAAATGAGTCGATTTTTGTCTAAAGGGATTGACGTACTCTACATACCTTATGTGGTGATGATTGATGCTCCTCACTTCTTCGCCTCTAGCGCCATGGGGCCAAGGACTTGGGGTACTCTAGAGTAAAGTACTTACCGCTCTTCTTTACACCAAACAAGCCACTCGACAGCAACAAACTCACTCAACCTGACTTACATACGTTCACACGCCTTAATGGTACAGGCAGAAAGAGTACATACAGGATGTAAAACCTACTCTACCGTTCTTGAGGCATACGCACGTTCCTCTATGACACCAGCCCAAATGAGAATGTGCCGATCTTGAAAGGGCAACAGGGATTCGTTCACGTTACTCTGGAAGTTAAAGGTCCGATTCTAAACGGTCACATAAAGAGTATTTAGACCTTATTAGATCTGTAGAGAAGATATTCCACATATTGAGATACGTAGATACACAAGAAAGGGGACCAGAAAAGGGACAACAGCGAGATCGAGAAGGACCCAAAACACATAAAGGTTGAGGGTTGATGCTGATGTTGATCACACATCCCACGAACGCAGCCAAGAACGGATGCGCAAGGGCAACCTGGGCATGGACAAGCTCATTGGCACTGTGGGCACTGGGAAGTGTCCTTAAATTTTTTTTTTTTTTTTTCGTGGCGTATCTTAGACGGCGGGACGAAGGCTTGGTTGGCACCCAACGCAAGCGTTGAAATGACGCTTTTTGCAACAAACGGCGTCCCCTACCTACGATATGGCAAAGAAAAAATCACAATGTCCAAAGAGTCGGTGAAGGCAAATACCATAAAAAAACGAACAGTTATAATTATCAAAAATCCAACCATATCGACCCGCAAGCTACTCTAGGTGTTCTGGCACTCTCTTCCTTCTTCCCTCACTTCATGCAGCCATCCCCTTCAAATCTTTAGCTTGCGTTGATCTTAACTTATGTATGTATGTATATGTATGCACGCTGCCAGCTTACCTACGGCAAGAGCCATCATACTGCATATTGCACACAATGTCCCGAATGTTTTCAATCGAACCCCCGATGCCTGGCTCCGCCTAGGTAATGTCCGTGTTCTTTAAAATAACCCGGATCGTACCCACGGCTGTACTCTACACATTTCCCATGTCCCTCCCAAAGAACTGCAACGTGGTATCTAGAGTAGCAGTACTGAGTAGGTGGAGTTACTCGAGTGTCTATGCTACAGTAGGTAAAAGTTCTTAGCCTATCGCCAAATACCTAAAAAACTGTCAGCCGGACCCTTCCCTTCTTTTTTTCTCGAAGCCTTCTTTTCCCCTCATGCAGGGAAATGAAATGTGGCGGAGGGAGACCGTTGAACGGAAAAAATATGCGCCGATCGGTAAGTTGAGATGCAGTCACCCGTTTCTGTTAGGTACTCTACATACATGTACTCTAGACCACAGTGCCGGTAGCGGCTGTATGCTGTAGGCGCAGGTCTTATCACAGGAAACATCCATCACGAGAAAGAGAAACATGCCGCCTACACAAATTGATTTTTAATGCTACATGAGAGAATCAGGCACGCGCGTCTCAATCTCCACCATAACCAGAAATAGATACAACAGGTACATAGATACATATACTCAATACCCTAGGCTTGCGTTATAACTATCGATACGATAGAGCAGGCAGAGCAGAAATGAATACGAACGTATTAAAGTACCTATGTACAACGCTGGTTGGTTGACCGGTCGGTGCAGGTGATCGGATTTGACTGTTGATCCACACGCAGTAAACATACCAAGCCGGTTAGTTGCACACTTCCCAAGTTAGATCGACAACGGTTTTTGACTGCGACCGGTAAACCCGGGGACGAAGAAAGAAGTTTTGTGGTGCAATCCCCCGGGAAGAAACGTAAAACGAACAACCACAACCTGGACAGGTGACATGAGCAGTAAGTAATTTATGGAACAAACCACGGCAATGGGGCGGCGTCCGGGTTTTAGCAGCTCTTTCCACACACAGCTGAAAGGAGAGATACCCAAGTGAAACGAAAAGCTCTCTTGAAATATGAACGCCTCATTCAGCCTTCTTTCCGGATCTCAGGTGGAAGGGAAAGAAACCGTTCAAAGAGGTACATGTAGCTGAGTATGTACAGTCGATCACTGCCACTTTTGACACTTGATGAATACCCTTAGTCGATAAACAAGGAGGTTTTGGTCAATAGAGATGAATAGTAACCAGAGGCTATTCATTGAATGACGGTTAACGACTGTACAGCGAGAGGTAAAATTATTGTAGAAACGGTCTAAAAACAGGGTTTCTGTGGCTGGGCAAGCCAATAGGACTCCTCCCATATTTCTACCGCAAGCTGTACCTACATACATGTACCTACTCTACGCACATAAATTTTGGCCTCAGGCAGCGATCCATGTAAGGCGGTGTTATGATGACGTTGGACTACCGTATGTATGCAGTTGGCGGTTATCCATCTGTATTTAATATACCTATCCCTCAGTTTAGGTAACGACCGGGGGTCCTAACGATTTATCTTGGGGTCGGGTCATAACGATTTTGATGAGACCGGGTCTTCGACCGGTCATAATGTAGGTCGTATCAGTACCAAGAAAGGCGATTCTATTAGAAAAAAAAATACAAGTTTTCCATAAATTGATACCACCCCAGAAGAGGATACGACCTATTTACGACCCATGGGTCCTAACACTGACCGGTCGTTATGGGTCGTGGGTCATTACCAACGCTGCTATCCCTATAGCTGGCCTCTGAGATGCATACTCGTAGATTCGGCGCAATCCGATCACCATCTTCTTGGACATTCCATCCCGGCTGAGAAGGACCGTCTTGGTGTTTCCGGCTACTTTCTAGGGTGGTCAGCTGTCTATCTCCATTTGAGAAGTTATGTACATAACTACTTACGTATTCTGTAATTCCTGTGGTCTCTGTAGGCAGGTGCGAAATGAGCTCCTATATAACATCAAATTTTGCAAGCTTGACTTCCGGCTAACCAAATTCCAGTTATGTCTGTCATTAGCTGTTGCTCATGAAGGGGTTACCGCAGTATGTGCCTAGAGTACCTATGTGCTCTGCTCCGGCTCAAGAATAGCCAGCTATATATGTTCATCCAATATTATATTTGCCGAAAATAGGTTAAGCCACCAATTCATGATAAACATGCCGTTTCTTCTTTAATTGGGCCAAGCAAGCCGTACTAATCTAGAACAATTTAGCGAGAAACTAGTGTAACTCCATCTCCACTAACTCGGCTTGGCATATAGATGGGGGATCTTGGTAACATCAAAACGGCTCCTCCATACAGATCTTGAGAGTGTGAATTCCTCGACCACGTGCTTCAATTATCGTAGCTAGGTTATAGATTGGTACTCATTTGCCCTAAATATTTAACTCCTCTTGAACACTCACATTTCCATGAAACAAGTAGGCAGGCCCTAGAAAACCATTTCCGCTCAATTACAAGTAGATAACGTTACGTTCGAGCTCGCGCGGCGATCGTGCTCTATGTCGGCCATCTATATTGGCAGGGTAACCAGCACGAGTAAATACTTATTTAGTAGGTAGAGTACGCCTGTAAACGTATATATATATGCGTGTAGTGCAGGTACAAGCTCTCCAAGTCGATCTTCCCTAGCAGGTCGCCCACGGATCCATGCTCCGTCCCTCCCCTGTTTCAGTTGGTAACGACGAGGCTTGCATGAGTTTAAGTAACGGGCGGTAGTCTCCGTGAAATTAAATATCCGAGCGAGAAACTTCATCGTTTGTGCGTTCTTCATCGCTCACCCGGATAGCGCCCCCCCACCGAATAGTTGGCACAACATTGCAAGACCTACGTTGTGACCGGATTATACCTATTCTCAACGATGGTCATCAACTGTCTGACTGAGTGGGGCGTTTGAGCGAGTGGTGAAGATACGTGTATCTACCTGATTATGTATGATGTATATAAGTACGTACTCAGCCGCGATCGACAGCGAAAAGGTACCAACCTTTTAAATCAACGTTGTCCCAATCACAACAGTTTATCTAGTAATGGATCAGATATTTCTTATATTAAGCCAAATCCATGTAGGGAGTTACATAATTACCCTCGGCGGCTATCATTCGATACGTCACTTCATGTATCCAATTGCTCTCGAATTTCCCATCGAATCGATTCCACAAAAATAGCTCCGAGCACGTTGATGCAAATCTATGTACGTGCTTGTTCCTCGATAAACACAACTCCAAGTCTTCCCTCTGAATCGCCCCGCCGTTATGAATGAGACCTTCCTTTCCGATGTGCATATTAAAGAAGTAGATATCGAAAGAGCCCCTTTTTCTAATATGTAGGGTATGTACTCGAGCTCTTCGGTAATTATCAAACAAACTAAATAGATGAACCTTTATGGTAGTCTAACTCCTTTACTTAGATCAGTGACTTATGATGGCTCGGAGGCACTCTACTGTTAAAGGAGATTGGGCGGGGCGTGATCATGGGGCACTTACAATTGTAGATATAAAAAACAAAAAGTTAAAACGGAGGAAAGTTGTTCAATAAACATCGCATGTATGCTGATATCCGGATACTATACGTATACATATTGTAGAGATAAAGCGTAAGCCAGCAAATATCCTCTATAAAGTTCGTTAAAAAAAATTGTGACCTAAGGTCAAGAAAAACGAGTGATCGTATGTGCATGGATAACCCACAGGCCACACGCAACGAACTCCAACTCTCATTTCTCCTTTTAGGATTTGTCCTATGTGGCCTGATTCATTCATGATGAGTTAGTCCGTGGTCCTATTCATCTGAAACTCATATATCGAACGTTGGTTTTATTCCACGACTTCTGCATGTATCAACCATCATGACCAGCTGCAGCTTATTAATTTCATACTATTTTCAGAGCCATCTTGGTTCGTAAGAGCTCTATACGACTGACCGCTATTAAATGACTGTTTAGTTCTCATGAGCCTGAAAATCATCTTCAGTGTAGTCGATCGAACGTTGTGATGGTACTAGTGGTGTGTTATTCCTGGGCTACGAAGTCGGGTTGTCAGGTGTCCCTTCTCGGGAAGGGTCATATACATGTACATGTTGCTACATGAATTGATACACATACATGTACGTCATGTATCGGTGTATGTATACATTTACGTATACATCATGGGACGGTCTGACGTACACACTTACTGGTAGAACTCGCCCCATTCCAATCTACTTGCTATAGAGAATCATTGATATCGTGCTATGTTAGCCGTTGGGTGAAGTTTCTAATCATACGAACAAACAGACGAGCACCGCCCCTTGAAAGCTATAAACACCATAAATTTTTCGGTATTAATAGATTACTTTATTTGATCCACATCTCACATGCAAGTCCATGGAACGGTATTCTCCATACATGCGTCGATCAGTTTACAGCGGGTTTCTGGAAAGTATCAGCATTTGAGAGTTTTACTCGGTTAAGCACGACAATCTAAAAGAGATGTTGCACCGGTCAATCACCAACGAGGTTCGACCTTGCATGTCATAAAGATGAGTTTAAGTTCATCTAATCTTCGGTCCCTAATAATTATTTGGATGCTGATATTTCAAGACTCTGAGAAAGAAATAGAGAAAGACGTACTGGGACCCCAAGGCAGAATTACTTCTATAGCTAAAAGTCAAAATAAAAGAGAACTCAAACGATATCTCTGCGTATTCTGGTGCTAGTGCTAAACAACCAGCAAACCATGAGCATCACCACCGCACCGCATACTCCACCTACATCCTGATCTATCAGGTATCTGTTAAGAAAGATCAACAAAATAATTCAGGTTCCTCAAATCTCAGCTAAACATATTCGAGCCTAGGTAGCCACATATAATCAAGCATTTATAGGTTATTGACCGGCCTCTAAATAGGTGCAAACCACCGAGCTCGACCGCCTTCGTACCACCGAGAGTTTCAGGTGTTCTCAATACTAGCTACACTTAACATAAAAACATTAATTCGATATAACGGGCCTAATTATCTACAAAAGATGTTTACTTAATATGGTATGTGAGAGTTGTTTTAGCTAGACGGAACGAGTCATAGTTCATGATTCAGTTAATTTCCGTTTTCCTTATCCCTCTTTTTTTTCTTCATGAGAACGTGAAATAAAACCATAGAAATAGCTTAAAATATAGTTGATATAGTTTAAACTTTCACGGAAAGCCGGCATCGTATCCTCTACTATATATATCCGGATCTCAGCGGGAAAGTACCTACAGTACATGTCAATTGATAACAGTATAAACCCGAAAGCATAAAACATAGATGACAGTCATGCTATCCGCAAGTCATAATTGATTTATGTTAAGACGCTATATAATTAGGTGTTTCCTACATATCATGACTCTTTAATGGCTCTTTAACGATAGGTATGTATGACCCGCAAAAGATTTGTTGGGAACCTTATAGACAAATGCTCTGAAACGCAAACAAAACTTACATAGTTCTATCTATGCTCAAGCTCCGGGTCTTTATTGTGTCTACTGATATGAGGTCGTAATGGCATAGTCGGAGCCTAAGACCGGGACCATTCGCTGGTGAACTTTTTTAGAGCGAATCAGAATGATAAACAAAGTATTACAACCTTATCAGGACCCAAATCTCTTCAAGTTGGATATAGAAGGGTGGATACGTAGAGAACAAGCGATAAACGTGCCAAAGCATTTTCAACAAATTGCAAGTCCCACCCAAGCCACGTAAAATCAATAATGAGTACAAGAAACAGGTTTACGGGGTGAGGTGCGTCAAAAAAGAAACTGGGTAGATAAGTAGTACCACAGACACGAAAGTTTGTTTGTTGAAGCCAGCCAGTTGCTTGGATATCAGAATATATGGTTACTTTCTTTAAATCTCATGATTAACATGAGTCCCGATGCACTATACTATGGGATTAATGCAATCTCCGAGGAACAGAAATTTCCGCGTTTCGGAGGCGATTAACAGTGACATTCAACTTCTTCTCTCATGCTCCATGTTAGTCGCCAAAATAGGTCTGGGGGGTTTCTACAATATAATCTTTCAACAGTACGACCATTCAGATTGTTTCGATTTCTATATAAATGGTTAAACGGATACCGACTTTAACCAAAGCAATTCTACCACCCATTCGATAAAGTCACAAAAGTGTATTCCAATCAATTGGGTACTGATAACAATCCCGTGGGGTCACAGCAGGGTTGCTGTTGATGGAAGGATGGGGACATATGGCCACGTTTGGTAGGAGTCCGAATAGTTATATACATTACCCAACTATAACTAATTACTACATGTACCTATATTACACTTGATAAAAATTTGGAAAAAAAAAACATGGAAAAAAAAAAAAAAACGCCGAAAGCCTAGATTCGACTATTTGAGTGAGCTCTCCGGAGCAACAATCGATTAGTCCGAGGGAATTTTATTATTGTATTCGTACTTATTTTCGCTAACTAGTTATTACGGTATAGCTTTGAGGGGAGAAGGGGGGGGGGGTTCGGTGATGTCTCGAATACGGAAGTCACGACCTCTTCGTATCAAGTGGCTATCCGTTATGGATCGTCATTTCTTTTAAACCACAAAAAAAAATCAAATAAAAGTCCGGAGCTAGAATCGAAAGTTCATCTCACTATTGGTAAAAGATATGTGATCTTCGCCCAAAAAATAACTTAAGCCGTTGTGAAAAATAAAGCCGGCGTCAGCGTCGGTGCGCCAATACATAAACTTGTGATTGCGCGTGGTTGTGGTTGCGTTTGTGGTCCGACAGAAGCTGATCAAGAAGGATAAGAAGGAAGTCTTGGTTGAGACACTGCGTCGCCAAGCCCAATTCTCGGGGGAAAAAAGAGGGTGGGCGTCCAATGACCAGTATGACCGTCTCTTCGGAGGTAACAATTCGGACACACCCCGGATCCGTGATGGCCATCGCCGGTGATGATCGGAGGAGAAATTCAACTTCGGAGCCGGCGGAGGAGAAGGCCCACGTCAGCCTTTTCTTTCTTTCTTTCTTTCTTTTTTGGCTTTGGGCGAGAGCGTTACGAGAAAGCGCCCCGGCACCCTCGCACCGGATAAGAGTATATCCCAAAAGCAAGCAGCTTTTGTTTTTTCCTTCTCTC